GATGCATGATGTCTTTACCTATCATTTGGTATATTTTTTTTATAAATCTGACTTTTTACCTGCCTACAGGGGGGGATTCAAAATGACAACTTTTTCACAAAAAATTGACTTTTTCAACTTAAATTTTGAAAGTGTTCCGGAAAGTCTGACACTTTTCTATATATATTAAATTAAAGCTAATGTAATCTACTTTATTATGTAAAAAAAAAATTTCGGACTTTATTTTGTCTTCACGGTGAAAATGGCTACCAAATGCTAGTATTGTGTGAAAATTCTCAATTTTATTTTTTACATTTTTAACTTTATAATGCTATAACTTATTGAAAAGTGTATTGATCAATATAATTTTTTTATGGGAAATACTATTTTTTAATAATCCCTTTTTCATTCGACATACTCTATCTTAATCAGGATATTAATAGGGATCTAGCAGTTTATGAAGCTTTTGGAATAATCCATCAATTTTTTAAAATTAAACACTATCTAAAGATTTGCATCGAAGCGTTTTTTTTTTATAGTGATTTTAATCACTGTCAGATATCATTATACTTGATCCAACTATGCTACGTCACCACTGTGCCGCGACCCCCCTGTGCTGGGTTTTTTTTTATTAATTTTGATGACTGTTTTCATCATGAAAACAAAATAAAGTCCGAAATTTTTTTTTTTTATATTAAAGTATATTATATAAGCTTTAATTTAAGATATATATAAAAGTGTCAGTATTTCCGGAACACTTTCAAAAGTTAAGTTGAAAAAGTTGTCATTTTGAATCCATCCTGTGGGCTGGTAAAGGGTTAAATTTATAAAAAAAATATACCAAATGATAGGCAAAGACATCAAGCATCTATAAAATAAAAATTATATTGATTTGTTCATTTTTGAAAAAATTAAGGCAGTTTTTAGTAAAAAAAATTGAAAAAATTTCGAAAATTAGTGATTTTTAAATTTGTAATTTTTTTGGAGGTTTCCCCCATTTATGGGGAACGAGGGAAATTTTTTTAGTTTTTGAAGGTAATATCTTCGACTAGATACGATTTGTGATCTTTTGACGTATCGTCGAAAGTAATCCATTCGGTGAGAGCTGAGAAAAAGTGGTAACAGACACAAAAAAATAATTAAATAAAAACCCATCATAGTAAAATTAGCACCTTCTCAGCTTCGAATCGAAGTTAAAAGAAGTTGGACTATTCTATGACTTTAAAATTAAATCCATGTATCATTAAATAATTCTAATGTTTATACAGAAAATTAAAATTAATATTATATATATATATAATATATATATATAGAGAGAGAGAGCTTAAAATGGGAGATCTCAAGTGAGCTCAATCACCTTTAAAATGGGGTTCGATTAAAAAACGGGGTTTGAGCTCTAAAAAGCTTAAAACCTGTATCATTTAACAAAATTGAAAAAAAATACCTATAAATGCTTAAATTTTTTTACCAAAATTGCCATTATAGTGTGATAAAATAAAAAAAAAATTAATTTTTAAAGATGCTATTTATTGGTCAAAACTTTTCTGTTATATCAACTTATTAACGATTTAATATGAATATATAAAAATAAATATCACTTATCATATCTGGTAACCGGTTATACCTTAGTAGTAACAAAATAGTATTTCAAAGATGTAGTATTTATAAATCTGATGTTTTTCAAGTAATAACATTATCTACAGAATAAACCCTTATTAATTCAATTATGTATTTTATAACCTATATATTTCATGCTTCATGTACTATAAGTAATTTCTTATTGTGTTATTTTATTTAAATATTGCGAAAATTGTGAAATTACTTACTATTTATCTACGAAAAAATAACTATAATTGGAGGAAATACAAGATTTGTTGTGTTTTTACTCGTCCTTTTTTTAATCGTCTGCCTGTAATGATTTAAATAAAAAATTTTTTGGAGGTAATGAACGTGCTCATTACCTCTCACCTTGACACCATTAAATGGTGTCTCCTAACTTATAGGACTCATAACCTTAAGACTGTTTGTAAACACGTGTAACTCTCCAAATGTTATTGTGAAGCGAGTACGTTTTCAACTTTATGTCTTATACACATCCCTTGTATAAATATGGAAAAACTCATTGAAAAATTCAATATTACCAAAAAAAACTAAAATAATAGAATGATAATTTTTTTTTTTTATTACTAAGTTTTATTTTCATTATTACCAACACTCCTATTATTATATTAGTATAGTTTTTTTTACTTCTTAACAAAAACATACTTAAATGTTTTATATTTTTTAATGACGCACAATAATATTCAAATAATTATAATATTAAATATCACAAATCTGTATAACATAATAAAAAAAATTAAAAATTAATTTTAAATTTTTAAAAAATTTATTTAAAACTATTTATGTATATTATTAAATAATATCCATAAATAGTATACTAATAAATTAACTAGAAAATTACTTTCTTAGTAAAATGTTTTAATTAATATTTATCAATATTATTTTTAAAGATATCAGTATATTAAGCAGTATCGTGAACATAATTGAATTGATCACCGAATTTATCTCTGAATTTTCTTTGATCCATGCTGTCCATTATCTTGGCAACTTTTTTGACTGATGATCTATAAAAATTATGTGTTACATAGTGTAATTTAATATGTCTAATTCACAAAAACTGAATTATTGAAAATAATATATTATAATTCACGTTACACTTTCCGACATACTTCTTAAAAATTTTTTTTTCCAATCGTGCACGAGGAGTATTTTGTTCTTTTTTAAAATCTGTCAGCTTTGGGTATTTTTCTTTTTTTTTTCGGCTTCCTTTTTTCGGCATTGTTAAGTTTACACCAGTTTCGCGCTAAAATAAATATATACATCTATAACTCACTGATAATGTCAAAAATAAACACAATCCTACTTGTATATCTCTCAATAATTGTGGGTCTTGCCAATCAGGTACTTTATTCTTTTGTAATTCTATTTCATCTTTTGGGTTTATTGGACGTCCTGACTCGTCCCTAGCAACGATTACGCCATGAAAAGGACACTGTAAAAACCATAACGATACTTCAAATGTATACAATTTAATGTCTGTTATTTTAATGGTATACTTTAATTCGATCTTCTCTGGCACACAGTTTTCCACTTGGTAATGGCGCCCGACATTGTCTCTCCACTCTTTCAAATTTACCTGTAAACTCGATGACTCTTGTACGTAAATTTGAAGGACCCCCTGGCTGTATTATCCCATCACCGTCAGTATCCATAACCGAATTAGAAGACCAAAAATGATAACCTTCGGTATTAGTTCTGTAAATAAATTATCAGAAACATAAATGTATGTTTTTAATATTAGAGAAATGTTTAGCATATTTAATTACACTAAAGAATTAAAATACCTAATAAACCACGTCAAACCAAAATTTAACCCTAAATAAATATTTAATTCCAAAAGACTTAATGTCTTTTGGAATTAAATATTTATAGTTCCATTTTAATTATTGTCAAATAATTTAAATAATACTACATTTTTGGGTTGAACTGAATCCACTTACAAATATATAAAATTAACTTTATTTAACTAAAGGCTTATTTTAGCTAACAAATATAAAGTTTAATTTTCTAAATTAACTTTAATTTAATAGAATTATACTGAATTATTAAAACTAATAATGTGACTAAGCTAACATTGACTGAACACTCTTATGCAAAAAATATCATAAATAATAATAATAATATAAAATGCTATTAATAAAATTATGATATTTAATCGAATATATAAAATAGATATAACTAAATCAAAACTGTACCATTACAATTCGTGAAGTACGGTTGATTTAAAAATACTTTTACGTAAATAAATTTTTAATTTAGTAAATAAAATTTGCACAAATCCAAGAATAAAAATTGAAAGGTGTCGATATAATTTTCTATGATAATTATTAATTGCAACAATATTATCAGTGTCTGTTATTGAACTGTATAATAAATTTAAAGTATTCAGAATTAAAACTTAATTATTATAATAACTTTTTTTAGTCCACAAAATCTGTTCACTGTAGTTTGTAATTGAGTAATAAGAAGTATTCAGAAATTATTTCCTAATAAAATATGAATTATCGTTAGCAAATCAGTTTACATCCTTATTTTTTTTTACTTAAACATTATCTTTAACAGTGATACCTCCAATTTTAACATGCTACAGAGGGTGGCCCTCTTTCACGTGTTAGGGTATCAAAAATGATTCTTGGCTAGCCCAATGATGGACGAGAAGGGTGTTATGGTCGGGTTATACCAGATACCAGACATCACCAAATCATAAAATCACAATAAAAATCTTGTAAGCACTCTGGGGATCGAAACCGTGCGCCAAAACGTACGTGTCTACCCACTAGGCCAGACCAACCCTAAAAATTTTGGTAAATATGTAATTAGGATATATATTTATACTTATAATACTACTAATTCTCTTCTTCTTTTTCCTCGCCTTAATTCAAACTACTTGGGGTCGACTACCCTTATATTAAACTTCGACTTGACACGATCTCTTACGCTCACAATAATTAATTGTGTTAAACAAAATATTATATTTTATATTATATATTTTGTTTAACACAAAATATTATATTATAGGTACCGCTGAAAAAAAAATTAGTATTCAACAGTACTAATTTTTCGTAATTTGTTTAGAAAATAATTTCTTTGTTGAATTTCAGCTAATGGATATTTACTCTTTTCATGTCTCTTATTCCTAAATCAAAATTATTTTTTCTTTACAACCAAAATATATAATTACGTACAAAATAATGATAAAATCTAAAATGACTTTATTTTAAATAGTTTTCGGTTTTGTTCGAGGTTACTAATTAAATAAATTTTTTATTCAACTATTATGAAATAATTACTACTAATTTTCTGTATTTTTTTTTTTAACTTGATGAATAATATAATTTAACAATCACTAAAAATATATGAGAAATTAGAAAAAAATACATAGCAATAAATGAAGCTAAACATCTAGATCAACAGATAAGATTAAATAAAAATTATAATAAAATGTCTCAATAATACTAATCATAGTCAACTTTTTTATTAACAATGAAAACAAAAGAAATATGATTGAGTTTATTGAATATTTTTACTGTGAAGAATAAAGCTAAGAAATCAGAAACCTCGAGTTTATTTGAAGGTACTGATGTAATAACGAAATTGAAATTGTTTTTAAAAACTTACTTTATAATATGATTTTATTTAATAAAAACTACTTTATATAGATATAATTGAAAAACAGACATGTTCGATAATTTACCGCCGAGGTATAACAATAACTACCTTTACTTTTTGTTACGTTTTAATGTAAAACAATAATTTTGTTTTTTGTCTCTCCTAAATTTTTTTCAAACTACAAGTAAAACCAATACAACTGCATTATATATCCTATTTATCAATTTTTTTCTCTTAAACTTAAAAAAGTGGTAGTAGTAAATAAATAGAACTAAATACTTAAGCTTCTTCTTAAAACTTTTAAGATAAAATCTTATTATTGACATTAAACTAGTATGTAATATTGAAGTTAAATTTATATAATTAGGGAATTTTGTCATAAAAATCGCAACATTTATTTTTTGTGTTTAATTTAGATAAATGACTGATAAGAAAATTGAAATGTGACATCATTTTTATTTTAACTAACTGTGGTATTTAGTAGTTTTAACTGATACATATTTGATGACATAATAATATATCTTATTAATTATTATTCGAAGTCATAAGATTTTAATTTTCAATTTTATTATTAAATTACTTAATTTCTATGGTATTAATTTTGTTTTAAACATTTAATAGTTATATAAAACTAGTTTTACTATATTTAATTATTTACTTTTCTAAATAAATATTGTTTTTTTTGTTGACATAAAAATGAGCTATGTGATTAGTTTTAAAATGTAGCACCTTTAAATTATATTTTATTGTTGGCACAATAAGTCGAATATTAATTATTTTCTTGTCTCTTACATTGCATAATTTAAAAACAGATTATTATAATGGTGAATATGTGACACGTTAATGATCATATAGTGACCGTAGTTAGGAGAATTATCACAAGATAGTTATTTTAACTTAACATATTTGTTTTAAACAGCATATTCAACAATTTATTTATAAAAACTTTGCTATTCGATATTCATAATATTTATATAATATAATATGAATAACCCCCCCCCCAATGTAAAGATGTTAGTTAGCTGTATACAGTAATATTTGTGTTAAAAAATAAATAAAAACGATGTCAAATGTTAGAAAATAATAACAAACAATATTTAGCATACTGGGAATACTAAAATTTATATTTACAATTATTGTATAAAAAATGTGTAAATCAAATGGTATTTATTTATTGATTGATCATACAGACACTAATTAGTTTAGTTATTTTCTATTAACATACTTTTTACAGGGCGTGACATATAAAAACGAATATTGTGAATTTATAGGTCGCTAGTTCGTTCAATAAGTAGGTTGTGGACAAGAAATAAACCAGACATCGCACAATAAAAGTTTGAAAAAAAACAGACGACCGTAAAAATAAACCAATGTTTGCCAATAGCAATCGATCAATTCAAAATGTATGAATAGCCAATAAGTCTTTTCAGTTTGTAGAAAAATATTTTTAATGGGTATTTAAAACTTGACATGGAGCCAATAATTTTTTTGGTTGTTATATTTCTGACTATGAATATTATAAATGGCAAATTTAATTAACCATTTCCTCACAATACATTTTATTTTACGACTAAAACATAAGTGAAACTAATTTTTATTTTTGTAAGCTCACACAATTCCGTGGTTATTCAACGAAAAACATTTTACTTATGAGTAAAATCTTATTCAAGACGTTTAAAATTTGTTTATGCAACATGAAAAGTTTATGCGCGCAGCTATTTATAACTTCCATCATTTACATAAAAAATATTCACCCGAGAATACAAGAAATAAATCATATAACTGTTTTTAAATAAAAATAACTAAATATGTTAATAATTAGAACACTCTAAATTCATTCACTTCCTCAAATAAAAAATGTCTAACTACTTTTAAGTCTATTCACTATTTTAAATGTAAAGTATTATGATCTCTTGCAAGAAAATATTTTAGATGTTAATACATAAAATCTTATACATACTAACAATTTTTGAAATTAAACAATATGAAATTATTGAAAAGCTGTATTTTAAGTTATATCTAATGTTTACATTGCAATATTAAATTTAAAGTATTAAAATTTTTAACTTTAAAAAACTTCTATAGATGTGCAGGGTGGCATTTAAGATTTGTGTCACCCTCAATATTTTTTTTTTTTGCTTATCACCCATCGAATTCTACAGGAAAACTTAAATGGGATCCAAAAGTACAGAGGTTCAAACCCTTCTACAGCTGTAATTATGTAATTAACTGAAGAAATACTCTCTCATAGAAAGTGACTTAATTTTAACACTCGCGTTTAAAAACATGATAACAAACTTATGGAAGGAAAATGTTTAAATTACATATCTGATTATCAAAATTATCATGTTTGATAACTCTTTTTTTCAGTCAGAACTATGTGGGTACATTAATAAATCCAATTAATGAATCCACTTTGGGTAAGAAAGTACATTTCTAAATAAAATATTTTTTCATTGTTTTACAAAATACAATTTCCAAAAATAATCAATAAATACAAAAAAATGGCTTCAATTTTATATTCAATGTTACTGGCCAGCGTATTTTTTAGATGCGGCCCTAGAGAGGTATAATTAAATTCTCATATACCTTTCCTTTAAATAACCTCCTTTATATTCTACATTTAAAAAAGTCACAACTATTAAACTTATTTATATGAAAATTTATATTAAATTTTACTTATATCATTTAAATTAGCATTGAAAGCCAAAAGACCAAAAAGCCGAAAGATTATATTTTTAGTTTAATTTGCTTCCTTACGGTAATACTCGAGGAGCTGCAATATTTTCGTCTTCCCAATGATACAAATCCACATCAAATGGTAACTTGGGGACATCTAAAGATTTTTTTTTTATTTCATTCGACAAATTTTGTTGAGAAGACGTAGTCGCGCTTGAAAACGTACTCTGTTTGAATAAAAAATTTAAATAACAAAATCATCTATACACGAAATTAGTTTAAGTATAAATACATTATTTAAAACATATTGTGTTAACAACTCATCTGCAATTTTCGTTGATGGTAACACTTCTTCCATGTCTGAATCATCATCGTTTGAATTATCGCTTTCTCCATAATAAATTATTTTATTTTCACGTTTTATCAAATCTATTATATATTGCTTCATTTCAATAATTTTTTTCAATAGAACTTCATCTGGGCAAAGCGAAATACAATTACATGTTAATAAGATAACATAAACTAATTATTTAGGTTATTTAATTTTTAGATTATCAAATGACTTGGATCATTAAATTTATTCATTTAGTTAAATTTTTAGTTGCACTCAGAATTGACCTTGGGAAACTTGCTAACTACTAAGCATTACATTCCTTGTTAAGGTGGTATTTATTTACAAAACACAATAGTTAAGAAGCTATAAACATAATAGCTAAACTCTGTATACGTGCCTCATTTTTTAAATTATTTTATTGAAACAAATTTATAAGGAACAACTTTAGATAAACTACTTTAGAATAGTAAAATGTTGTATTTTTATGCCAAATTATGCTCTCGATTTGTTTTCTGTATAAGTGGTGCCGCATAAGTAAAAAAAAATGATTTTCATAACAATATCGAATTTTACTTCATTTTTGTTTTTTCAAACTGATTTCAATTGTCGTTTTTATAAAAATATAAAGCATCTAAGCAATATTAGTAACATAGTTCTCTAAAAAACTCTAATAGGAATTCTTTAGAGGACTAACCACAATTATATTGTTTCATTCTATCATAAAAAAAATTTCATTTATAATTATTATTATAAATAATATATATTATATATTAACACATATTATTTTTAGGTAAAAGAATTCGAATTTAGCCTTCTCTACATTTTTAAATAAATTTAAATCAATTTTTGTTCAATAAACTTTTAGTGATGATCTAGGCGAAATTAGAAAGAATATTTTGAGCTTGATTAAATTACATGATTCTTTTTTTAAAATTTTACTGAGAAATTAATAACTCCAGGCAAGATTTTTTTTACAGTAATAAGAAGATTACTTTATTAGGTACACAAATTTATCTATGCAAATTAAAAATTGTTTCACTACGAAATAATATATTGTTGTAAGATCAAAGAAACATATTAACCAAAAATATTTTTTAAACTGAATTATTTAGTTTTTTTTGTAGAATTTAACTCTTAGAGTTATGATAAGGTACCACTAAAGTTACACAATTTAGAAACAGATTTCAAAAATAATTGGATAAAATTATTTGGAAAAAAAATTTTTTTTTGTTAAGTTTTTCTGATTCTACACCGACGAATTCATTTTACGAGTATTTATAAGGTAATTTTTATTAAAGTTAGATTGTATAAAACAGTGTTTCTCAGTCGGAAAATCGCGAATTTATTATCAAGGACCACCAAAGTATGATTTATATAATTGGAGGTCGCTAAAAAATGTTTAATTTATGGTAACTTCAAAATGAAGTCACCATAAAATNTTATATATCAATTATTGGAGGTCGCTAAAAAATGTTTAATTTATGGTAACTTCAAAATGAAGTCACCATAAAATGTTTGAGAAACACTGGTATAAAATATATTTAATATTAAACATTAATTGAATATCTTCTTACCCTATATATTAATATCAGTCAATCAAATGAGTAATACAAAATATTACCTTACCAAAATTTTTATTATTTAATAATTTTTTATTATATAAGTAATTCACATATTAATTAACCCCAAGTAGTTGGGATAAAGGCGAAAATATAGGGCTGTGAATTACAAAAATTTATAAGTTTTATTTTAGCCATTTTGAAGAGTCCCATGTTCTTGCAATTTTGCCATAAGATATATGCAGACATATTTCGTTTTATAAGGGGATTAACTTCATAATCCCCTCCTTTTAAAAAAAAAAGTCAACATAGGAAAAAACATATTACTAATTTATTAAGTCAATTAGAAAAAAATTATACTGGCTATTAGTGTGTTCGGATTAACTTAATAAAATGCATATCATTCACAACCCTGATGATAAATAATTTACACTTACTATTAGATATTTTAGCAACGTCCTGTAACCACTGTTTTACTTTTGGTAAGTATTTTTCGGTAATGAGTTTAGTTTGTTCATTAGCGGATTCAATTACATCTCGGTTGTCTTCGGTCTTTTTAACCCTCTTTTGGAATCCTGATTTCAAGGTAACTGTGACAGAATGTTCAGGATATATAATTCCATTTTCCCTAAGATTTAGTTCTTTATCAAAGCATTCAGGAGCTATATTAAAAGACTCATTAGTTTTTTTTTGAATAAAACTATCTTTATTGATGATTTGTTCTACTTCCGGTATAGCAAATTGTTCAGGAGTAGGAATTAACAATTCTAGACAACTTTCTAGACTTTTAATTGCTATCACGATTTCTGGTTCGAGTTCTAACAATTCAAGCATTGATAATTAAAATATATCTATACTAATGCTTTAAAAAATTCTCGATATTCACCTTTTAATTCACTCTGAATTAATTTAATTTTTCTTTCATTAATATATTTTTGTCGGCATTCTCTATCTTCAATTCTCCTAGCCTCGTCAAACGAGAGCACAGTCATCGTTTGAAAATCGATCTGTAACACAAATATTTTTTTTATAAAAATAATATGAGCTGTAATATTTTAAATCCCTTTACCTTTTTGTACTTGTTTAAATATTTAAAAACAAAATCGAATTCGTCGATAAAATCACTTCCAAACTCGTCTTTCCACTCTTTGATATACTTCACAGACATTATTTCTAATTCTTTGGCAAATTTTTTTGGTGGTGGTAATGGTTTATTAATATCAGTATTTATAGTAAGTTTTAAAAAAATCGAAAAATCGTCAATTACTAGTTTTCTAAAATGCTGAAATTTCCTAAATATAAAAATATTTTTTTTTAAATAATATTGTTGGTTATTTAATTCCATTAATCTTATTGGTAAAACTTAAAAATGACTTCCTCTAATAGTAATTATAAAGTAGAAATCAGATGAATCATTTTAAATAAAATACAGTTTAGTTAATATCAAATACTTTGAACAAAACTTTTTAGCTTTGCATTTAAATATACTGAATATGTCAAAATAGGTATATAGTATATACATACTTAAAAAGAAAATCGTATACTCGCAAAGCGCTAAATCGAACCTCTGAATGTTTTTCTTTAAGCTGATGTAAAAGTAACATGTGAACTCTCTCAATATACTCAGTAGATTTTCTAAAAATTGGAAATTCATTAATAAATTATATGCTCCTAATCATACTAGTCACAAACATCTAACATAAATAAATATTCAAAAATTCATTTTAATCTCGATGACATTCAAAAAATAAATAAAATACCAAACAATTGTATTAATAAAATTAAAAATAACACTAATCATTAAATATTTAAACTATTAAAAGTGTATTTTTGATAAGTTACTTTTATTTAAAATCTAATTTACAAAACAATTATAAAAAAATATCACTCTAGTAATATTTTGTTTGATATTGACTCAAATTCTTATTTAACCCAAAATATGATTGACAGGTCCCAATGTGAGCAGTTTCTCCTAGCGGTACTATTTTAGCGGCAGCAAAATTTAAATGATCTAGAATGTATAAACTGATCAAAAAATGATTTTTCCCAATGAGTCCCAACAATTTATTTAAAAATTTTTACTGCTTATTAAGGACAAAGTGGCCTCCTCCAATTAGTATCTTCAAAATATGTATAACACAAAACTGGTAGCTATAATAATGACAAGAATTTGTGAAAAATTAAAAAAAAAAATCAAATTATTTAAGAACATATAACAGCACGGAATTATTCTTTATCAAGTTTACTGTTGATAAATCATATGGTAAAACATATTGAAGTTATAATGTACTAAAAATATACTTTAAAGAGGGACAAAAAAATTATAACCATACCCAAATAATTTTTTACTTAACTATAATACAGAGCAAGAAAATTTTGTGTTGTCACCCTCGAAAATGTTTCTAATCGGACCTGCGTATAGGTATATATCACTTACTAGTGTAGTTTTTACCTCATTTATTCCCCGTAGAATCCTAACCAAAGACAACTCAAATAAACTTATACACGTTAACAAGACTGTTTTTTGGTGGACCCTACAAAAAATTTACTAAATCATAAATTAGTTATTTTTGAATTAAACACCTAATAAGCTGCCGTAGATTAAAACTGATCTTGTTTTATAATAAGATAAACATTTTTTTCAATAAAATATTATATAATTTAATAACATCGAGTTCAAATTTAATAACATAACGGGTAACAGTTGAAGTAATAATAATAAAACATTATTATCAATCCAGAAGTCATAAGTGCAAATAAAATAAAACAAAAAATCTAAAAAGAGCTAAACTCAGTTTTCCCTTACCAAAACTGTATGCGTAAATATGTTATATAATAGTATATACATTTTATCTATAGTTTGAGGTAAAATTTGTGTTTATGTTACTAGTAAAAATAAATTAAAACTTTTTTTGTAACAAAGCCATAGACAAAATTGTTTTAATTTAATTTAATTAATTTTCTATCAACTACAATATCATTTAGTTTCATCATCATACAGAATTTACTTGATACACCTACACAAGAGCACATAGTAAAATAATATTGATAATTGTTATAATTCTATTAGAAAATAAAAAAATAATTTTTATCACAAATGTATTTATGATTGTAAAAAATATTAGTTTGTGTACTGTAATATATTAAATCAAATCGAATAAAAACTAAAATAGGAAGCAGTCAATTATGTTCAATGCCAATCAAATATTTATCACGTTTCATGGTATTAATCAGACAATGTTTTAAATGTCATAGATTTAAAAAGAAAAACGTCTATTTATATTATACAAATTTAAAAATAAAGTAAAGATTTTTCAAATATTTCAATAAAAAATTTAATTATTTAAAAAACTTTATTTTTAGAATCACAAATTCCATACGTACGTTTTGTTACATACCATAATTTATGAAACCTTAAGCAATATAAAATGTTTGTAACAATTATTAATTATTGACAAATAAATTAGTGAATTAAAGCAAGAAGGGCATATGTCACATTTTTACTATTTTAAAAATAAAGTTTATTAAAAAAAATCCAATGCCATTTTTTTGATATTTTAATTATTTGTTTATAAATAATCATAAGTTCATAAAAATGCCACTAAGGTCCTTGAACCAAACTACAGATATAATATATGACTTAATTTTTTATTATATTAGAATGATTACACATAAGACATTATATTACTATTAAAAAAAAATATTTGTAACAAGCAACTTGCTGGAATTATAATAATAAGGAAATACCCTTGTTACAAATAACTATTAATAAAATTATAAATTCATTATTTATTTAAAACCGTTGTTAATTTCCGAATAGTAGCCATTACATAACGAGTATTTAACCATTTAAAACATTTCTTTAATTGTGTAAAATTTATTATTATAAAAAGCAATGACTACTAAAAAATAACTATTGTTTAATATTCAATGTATACTTCATACTTGACGCAAATTTTATTATCACATAATATGTGGTTAAATTGTTTTCAATTCTGGTAACTTCAACTCAAGAAAATTATCTACACACGAGAGAAATGTGTTATTTTATTACATAATGTAGAAATTATAAATTTAGAAAAATTCAATTTTAAGATTTATATCAAATAAATTGATATTGTTATAAAAATAAAAAAATTCCAGTTTTAAATATTCTACAGAAATAGCCAAAATTATATTACCAAACAGTATTAAACCAACACTCAGTGTAATTTTCACCTCTTAATTTTTTTTTTTTTTGAACAATCATGTCTTTTAAAAATAATTGTATTGAATATTCAAAAACATTTTTTGTACCGAGATATGAAAAACACAACTTAAAGAAAATTCTAATACAGAATTCAAACATTTATTCATAATTTCTATGACACACCCAATTTTATAGTAAAAAATAAGAAATTACCAAAATATACAATTTACATTAAAAATTTAAAAAGGTGTAATAATAAGATCCTAGTTTATCTGATTAAAAGACTTAATATATCCCTTTTATGTAAATTCAATAAAAACATTCTATCAAATTCATTAATTATTTTTTCACCTATTACATGGAGTAACGACTAAATGTTGCATTATAAAATATAATCATTAATTGTGAAAAAAATTAATTGCGATTAAATAAAATACAAATTATAATAATTCTTGAAATGATGAAAACATCAATTGTAATTTATTTTATACTGAAGGATATTTAATGGATTAAAATTACAAAATACTAGGTAATAATTTTTTTTTAAGTCTATTCTAACAATGGTCAATTGATTAAATAAAGAATACTGAAAAAATTTTTTTGTTATAAAATTTAACCCAATATGCATCACCCTGCTTTGCAGTTCTTATTAAATACAACTAAAGTGTTCAACAAATAATTATTCTTGTACAACAAATAATAAATATCTCATTTCTCATTTATTTTTTAAATGTGCGTTACAATAAAATTACATATTTTGTAAATATATTTTCAGAATAAAAGCATTTACAGAGTAATTAGTAACCAAATAACAATATTTTATATTTAATCGATTATGAATCAACAAATCACAATTTAAATACAACTTTTTATTGTGGATTTCCTTATTATAGATCTATTATATAAAAGAAAAAAATGTAGTTTTAATAATGTAGTTTAACAAATAATAAATATTATATCATACTTATATTTTTACGCAGAAATATAAAACAAGGTATTCTTAATATATTTTTTAAATTTTTATACCTTTAAACAATTAATATTTATTTTAACTTACCTATCAAAATTAATTTGTTTATAAAAAGTAAATTTATAATTTGAAATTTTTTGTTAAGACTTGTCTATTGCAAATAAAAAATGATTTATTGCTATGAATTTTTTATAGCTTTAACAGTTTTTAATTGTTTTGGACTAATTTTTATGTAAAAAAAAACTACTAATACAATTAACAAATTAATACTGTCTAAAATATAAACATATAACAAATGAAACTGATGGGAGTAAAATGGCATAAGTAATAGTCATACACATGAAAACAAACAATTTTTTTGAAAAGTTATTGGTCATAGTACAGTTTTAAGTAATAGTATGATAAACTTTAAAAATTAGTTAATACTTTAATATTCTATGGATTAAAGGAAAGTTTATTTGTGCAAATTAAGTATTATAAAAAAATGATTAAAGAAATAATTTATATTTTTAAATCACAATTAAAATGCTATCAAACATAATTATACAATTTAAATAGAATATATAAATTTTATTTTGTTTGTATCAATACTCATGCGTATAAATATATTTAGCATTTTATCCTTATAACCAATTAGATTGTCAATTATTAATTAAATATACAGGGTGTTCAGTAAGTAAGAAAACAGGTAAATTATTACAAATAGTGAGAACAATAGAAACTCGTTTTCTTACTTACTGAACAATCTATATATAGATGAAATAAGTGGTAACCTATTTTTTATATTACAAGTAGCCTAATACATGAAAACAGCAAAACTAAATTTCACAAATTTCTTATGAGTTTTATTTAATTTTTTTAAATTATAAATAAAAAATTATATAAAATTAAAAACAAAAAGAATGTGTTAACACACGCATTTATATTTTAACTTGTAAAATTTTTGGCACAATAATTATAATTTGTGCTAAGTATTACAATGTTTTCACGTTATAATTTATTTAATGAAATATACTATTTAAAATATTTATCATCATGTTATTTTTTATCCTAATATTTATCATAGAAACAGAATAATAAATAATAATCCAGTGAAGTAAATGGTTAATATTCATAGCTTCAAGTACAACATTTTCTAACTTTTATAAAATTTTAAGTAGATATTTCTAATGAGATATAGTATAATTATACAATAGGTGCACTGTATATTATACAATTATATAGACTAATCACATTAACTATAATACTAATATATAACAAAAATGATACAAAGTTTTTCAAAGGAATAATTCCAAGAAACTTATATTAAATGTACTTATATATAAATTCCTACAGAAATTTTAAGTTAGGTAAATTTTGGAATCAATTTATGAAACAATTTAATAATAAATGCAAAAAATTGGACAAAGTAAATTAATAGTTTATTTTATTTTCTAAGGAAAATGTTTGTATTTATATTGTATACTGTTTATACTTTTTGATTATATTAGAACTTGATTTAAAAACTCCATGTGTATAAATCAAAAGTCAAAAAATTGTTTAAGAGTTTCAATAATATTATACTTTACCTTATAAAAAAAATATTTTTACAATAATTTTTTTTAATCATTACCAGCTTTCAGTCTTAGACGAGCAAAATCTTCAAATATAATATCTTCATCATGAGAAAGTACAGGACCATCTTCATCTAATTCAATTAAATTATCTACACGGACTCCATTATCATCAACTACTGCATCTGGACTAGTAGCAATATTGGCTGAAATTGGAATTTCTTCTTCTGGTTTAGGATGCATCAATATGAAAGGAAGTTCAGCAGTTAATTCTCCTCCTAATGCTCCCAAACAAAGTTTTACTTTAACTTTATATTGAACAATTATGCCAAGATTTTCTTTTTGAGATGGATTGCTAACAATTGTTGAAGAAGCTAGATTAGTATCTTCATGTTTAAGTTGACCATCTAAAGCTAAACCACGTTTATCTTTATTATTATGTAAAGTAGGTTTAACTGTATATACTTTAGATAATGTGAAGCCTGGACCAATGGGGCAACCATCTTCACTCTCCAATTCAGCAACTGTACACTTGTACTGAGCCGTTGAAAACAAGCAAATATCTGCAAATTGTCTAACAAACACTTTCACTTTTTTAACTGTTCGATTAGAGTTGTTTGCTATATGTACATTCACAGATATACTTTCACCATGGTAATAGAGTTCTTTATCTAATGATGCTTCTAAATATAACTTATTAGGGCTCATAACAAATTCTTTATAAACCTCAACTGAGGGTTGTATCTCTTCTTTTTTGGGAGCATACATAATTTTACGTATTGCTAACCGAATGGAATTTCTTTTATGAGGTTTGTCATCTGCAGTATCGCCTACAAAAGCTTTAAATTCATAATCTACCCCACATGGTTTACCAGTATCACCAACAGCTGGTTGAAGTGTTACAGATGCTGGACAGTGTGGTGGTAGTTCAAAATAGAATGGTATAGCATTAGGACCAAGTTTTTTGATCAAACGTTCTTGTAACCTTGTAGGTGTACGAATATTACCAACAGGATATATTTGTTCAGAGGCAATATATAAATCTTTACGAAAAGTTAGACCAAGAACATCTAAATCTTCTCGGCCATAGCGAAAAGCAGCCAAAACATGACCAAATACTTTTCTTCCTTTTACATAATCTGGATCAACTAAAACAACTCCATCAATAGGATCAACATTTGTAATATGATCAACAAAATCTCTTTTTCCAAGATAGACAGTTATTTTTCCATTAGGAGAACTTTTCTTAAAAACTCTAGTTGGTTGTCTAAGAGCACCTTTCATAACAGAGTCAGATTCGCCACTGTTTTTCTCCATTGTATTATTATTCAAAATAGATTTATTAAATAAACACCTAAAACTCAATTTATATTCTTAGACAGCTGCTTAACAGGGTGACGGTCAAAACTGTTTAGATGATGTAACAGAAAATTTTAAATTAGAATCAAATAAATTTATTGATTATTATTTAAATAAAATTTTCAATAAGAATCTAATTAATAAGCAGATGTCAATATCACTGAGTATTAATAACTTACTTGCAAATATTTTCAATTTCATTTAGTTTTGACCAATCATTGTAATCTTGACCGTTGCTAGTCAACAATTCAACTAGTTCAGCAGCTCGATTGGCAGTGTCGTAATCCAAAGTCATTTTAATTGCATTAATAGAAAACTTAAATTCAAATATTGCTTAAAAATAAATATTTTTTATGCCAATCTTCATAAAATTGATGAACATTAGATTTCTAGTCTTAAATCGAAATAGTGGAACCGGTCTTAGTTTATAGGATATCGTCGTATACGTTAATTTTTGCACTAAAATGACAGAGGTGTCACAGCGTTTTTAAAAGAAGTAATAATCAAAAATCGCGTCATTAAATAACAGGGACTAATAACTATACAAAAAATCAATTCTGTCGTCATTTGACAATTTAAAATTTATAACAATGATAAATAAAATTATGAATTATTTAAAATTAAAAATTATTTATTCATAGTTACTCTTAAAGCAAGAACGAAACGCACTGATTTAATGATAATCGTTCACTAGAAACTTAAGTATAAGAATTACGAATTGCGCCAAGCGAACAATAATGTTTTTATTTAATTCTTTTTTATTACATCCGTAATAATATCAAATCGAGTAATCTATACAGTGTACCTATACAAATACAACTATACGTACTACACGATGTTCTATTAAGAGGTCACATGACTAAAATTTAGACTCTGGAAGAAAAAAGTTTTAGGAAATTCATAGAACATTTTACGGCCTTAAAAGATAAGGTCGATAAGCATACTACCATTCCACACACGAAATAAACCTATAGCGAATACGACCCTCCTCATTGGCTATACAAGCTATGTGATTACAATATTATATTTGGCGCTTGTTTTGAAATTTTTTGTAACCATTAATAGATAAATACTAAAATAAACATATTGATTTAGTTTTATTGGAAAGGAAAAGTTTTTTATGATTACTTTCATTATTTTCATTTATTTAATTTTGAGTTTTAATTCCAAATGTTTCTCAAACTTTGTGTAGATGATTTACCATCATTATTTAAAAATAAATTATGATATAACTTTAATCAGATAAATATTAATAACTTTTCTGATATGACTAAATGGAAAAAAAAGTTTTCTGTAGATACTTGCACTAAATAAAATGTCCGATCATCTGTCTCTAATGAAAAGTATTCACAGTAAAAGTGAATGATGTGTCAATGATGGATCATTATCTCAATTTAAGATTTAGTCCGAGACTGGACCCTTGAATTTTTATAAAGGATCGGATCCGGACCGATACATTATTTAAAGACCAGGACCGGGGATCCATAAAGCTTTTAAAGAACAATTTTTAACTTCAGACCCCAACTAAGACCATACCTATTTATTATTTGAAGTATAAGACCGGATTGTGGTCTAGTCTGATTCAAATCGAACTAAGCATGTCTCTACTTTGCAATTGTAATGATAGGAAATAAACTAATATTTATCAATAATTCTTTCTATAATTAATAGTATAAATGACACTGAATATGTTAATATAAACAGAATTTTCATAGCTGTTTTATTTTTTAAGTTTCGTCGATTTAAAATTTAAAAACAATAGCCTTAATACTGACACTAGGAAAAATCAAAAAGTATCCTCACATGCGTCTGAAGCGCAGACTAATGGTGAATTTAGTATACGATGTTTTACAAATGAGCGGCCACGGTTATACATTAATTTGACATTTTTTTTAACATTAATATTTGTCAGAATTTCCTGACATAAATAAAAATTCTTAAAACCTAAACTTAACTTAACTTAATTGGTTATTATGGATAGTAAACCAACTACTAATGTGATTGAATATCAATAGTATCATAGATTCTCGAAAGAAAAGATGACATGTATCATATTTTATATAAAAGAAATCTAATCTAATTTAGATATGGGCCCCTGTAACTCTAGTCATAGATTATTAAATAAATGTGAGGAAACTATATCAATTCTTGAACTAGTCATAACAAAATATTGTTGTATATATTTAAATGGGGAGGGGTGTTACAATTTTTATATCTTTGGGTATTACTATCTATTTATTTAAGATTGAATTATAAATGTTTGAACACAATTTTATTAATTATATTGAATATTAATTTTAAATTTAACACAAATTATGGATAGAGCAATATTGCGTTGACTTTTAGGTTGGTATCATAGAAAAGCAACCATAGATTAAATTTATAAAACAACTTATCATTAAATGATAGGTTCGTTTTTCCCGCCCAATTTTTTACTCCATTTCCATTATTTTGTTTAATTTTGTAAGCACGATAGAAAACGATTTTTTTTTTATGTGTTGAATATTTATCATAGTATAAACTTACAGTGAAATATTCTATTTGCATTACTTAACTTTTTACTTTTTACTACCATATTTTAATTAAGTAAGTTCTGTACTTATTTATATTACATTTTATCGAGTCCTTATCTGATAAATGTCATTTAATTTTTATACTTAAATCTAAGTTTTAATTAAAGATCTGATACCTCCTTTAGAATTCGCTTTCATTTAATGTATCTTCATTTGTAAGAGTAACAGTTTTAACTCACTATTATTTGACAATTAAGATCAAAATTTTTAAATTCAAGCTTTCAATTAAACGTGAAAGGTTAACAATATTAACTAAAAGTTACTACATTTTACTTTGGCGTTTTTACTATATATTCAAACATTGACTGAAACTAGATTGCTACAATCTTAGAATATAATCGTTTTATTCTTAATTCTTAAATTACTATGTTGAAAAAATTATGATTCTGATTAATTATTTTTTAGACTAAAAGTTGTTATTTCTTAAGCCTATTGTTATATTTATGAAAGCTTTTATATGTATTATTTGTTTGATTGTCACTTAAATATTAATTTCATTAGGCTCATTTATATCTTTAAATTTATTCTAGATAAAAAAATGTGGGGTATAGAATCTACGCAAGATGAAGGTGGTTTCAACACAACTATGACACAAAGTCCAGCAGTTGGGTCTGTAGGAGAATCTAAGCAGATGACAGTAATTCCTGTAGCTATCCGCCAACTATTAGAAAATAATGATGAAAACAAAAATGTCCATGTTGTGGTCGTTGGCATTATTAAACAAGTAAAATAATTAAATTTTATTTTTATATTGTGAGCACTTTTTTTTAACAATATATTATTTCTATTCTATTTTTAATTCCCAATATAAAAAAAAAAAATTCTTGGTTAATGATCATTAAAATTACTACTAAGTTTAAGAAATTCAAATTGTTAATCTAACTTAATAATTTTTATATATTTATTAATTATATATAAATTTTAATTTTTAATTAATCATAAGTATTTTTTGTCAGTATTTAAAAAATTTTTGATATATTTTCATTGATTAATGGATATATAGCAAATCAATGTACTATATTAGAATTAAAAAACTTTAAATTATAAATGATTAATTTCTTTAATCCTTCCCCCAAATTTTAAAATTGTCTTCATGACCCATATGGTAACACGGAAAAATATGTAAAACCATATTCCTATACAAATATTTCAAAATGACCTTTTATCTCATTAAAAAAAATATTATGTGGTTTAATAAGTTAAAACATGTGTATAAGTAGACCTGTACAAGTTACTAGTATGATTAGTTTTTCTTTTTAATTTTTAAGTGTTTAAAAAAAGAATTTTATTGAAGTGATCTTTTTTTATACTTTTTTTTATATCTTTTTTTAAGTTTTTGGATATTTTAAAAAATTTTATAAAATATAAATGATGAAGTTATAAAGTTATTTAATTATTCAACTGTTAAAATGAAATTAAAAAAATTCTGTTCAAAGTAATTGAATAATTTATTTGTTACTTTCATTATTATTATTTTAATTAAAATTACAAGTTTGATACAATTTATATTATATCCATTCAACTAATTTTTTTATAAAGATCGCTGTACTACTTTGAGTATATGTATTTGCATTAAGGCATCAAAAAAAATTAAGTAGACTTAAATTTTAGAAAAAGAAAAAAAGATAAATACAAAATTAAATAATGAAATAATTATTGTCTAAAGACTAAACAGTATTGAATTCCTCAAAAGATAGCATTTATAGCAACATTTTTCAAACTGATAATGCAGTTATACGTAAATAAATTTTTATTATATTAATTTTTTTGCTGTAGGTACCTCATATCACTTATACATTTTAGACTATTTCATTTGACAAATTTTAACCTACTATTTTTTTCTTTAAATATTTATATCCCCGAGTTAAAACCAAGAATCTATTTTCTAAAATTTAACAATTAACTAATTTTGTTTTTACATTAGGTTGAAACACAAACATTAAAAAATATGTTTACAATTGAAGACAGCACTGGACGATTATTGTGTATTCAATGGGGTGATGAAAATGAGTTATCTAGGTATCCCAAATTGATTGAAAATGCTTACTTCAAAGTAGTTGGTAATAAAAGAATTCAGAATGACAAAGTTACCTTACTCTGCCATAGCGTTGAACCCTTAGAAAGTTTGAATGAACTTACCCATCATTTATTAAGTATTATAGCTTTACCTTACCAAAATGAAGAACTTAATATGACTCAAGTAAATATTTTTAAAAAATTTTGGCATTTCAAGTTAAATAAATTTTTTTTTTTTTAGATGAATAATCCTACTACTAGCAACTTTATTAAAAATGAATTAAATTTCTCAATAAATGGTGATACCACTAGTGGTGGGTTTGGAGCAACAAGTAACAGTCTATCTCTTAACCCTAAACAATTAAAGATTTACACAGTACTAAAGCAATGCCCTGATGAAGCTGGCTATACATCATCCGATATTCAGAAAATACTTCCAGAAAAAATTCCTTTACCAGAAATTGAAAAAGTATTAGCTTTCTTCATTGAAGAAGGTCATATATTTTCAACAATTGATGAAAACCATTATAAAGTTACTGATTTTGGTAATTAAGATTTGTTATAGGATTTACACAATATTTTTTGTTAGCATTTTACCTATACATAAATTATATTTATTATATCCTCTTAATGTATTTCTCTAAAACTTATATTGTATTTTAAACTTTGAAAACTAGTATAAATTTTGAATACAATATTATTTTTTAAAATTATTTTTATATATAATTAAATTAATATTTAAAACATGTTTGGATGTTTTAATTTTTTTTGTAACTAAATATATTTAAAATTTCATAAAATGTAAGTTGGTTTATACATTAATGGTATTCGACTGACAGTAAATGAATTTATAAGTTAATTAAATTTGTGTTCATTTATTAATATTCTAGGTAGAATATATTTATTTTTAAAGATGTTTTTGGGTTTGAATTTTAATAATAAAGAAGTAATGTAAAACAATTATAATCATTTTAAAAACCAAACTATTAATACATTCTCTGGTATATTTATAATACAGAATTATTTCATTCTGATATGAACATAAAATAGGAAAATTTATATAATTAACTTTTAAATTAATTATTCTGCAATATAACAACTAAAATTGTTTTTTGTATCAAAAGAACTATTTATTTTATGTAAAAAATATTAATTAAAAACGTTAGTCCTAAAAAAAATTATTTTATTTCATCATATTAATTGATTATTCTTCATATACACATTGTTTTCAATATTAAGTCATTTTTAAAATAAATTTCAAAAAACTAAAATTACTCATCCAATATAAATGGACAGATTCATGACATATTAATATGAGTTTTAATTTTGGCATACAATTATTATACTTTAAATAGTTTTTAGAAAAAAAAATACCGAATTTAGATAAATGGCAAGAAATGTTCAATGATTATCAGATTTGTATAACAATAATAGTACTAATTTATATTTAATTATTTACTACTTAAAATTACTTAAACTACAATTTATCTTATTTTATAATATCTATTTTTATAGTTTATATTATATAACACAAAAAATATTATAAAATAGTAAAGTTTAGAAAATAATAAATATTACTTAAACAAATCACAGCACTTAATATTTTTAATATGATAAATCTAATATGTCTCTTAATATTATGTTATCTTCAAATTTAATAAATTTTGGAAACTAGGTAATAATATAAAGATTTTATTCTCTGACTGGATCATAAATATTATTCAAATCATTTATTATATTATACAATGGTGTATAAAATTCATCTTTCAGATATAATGTTTTATAAAAACTAAGCAACTTCATAATTGAAGACAAAAATTCCTTGTTTAATTGTAACATAGAACTACACGATTCCTTCATAACCAATAATGATTTTCCTGCAGCTTCAACAAAATCATTATTATCTTCAGTACCAGGATTACTAGATGCTCGAATTATCACATTACCTAATGTCTCGCACCTTAAATATTTACATGAAAAACAAATGAATTTATATTTAGTTGATTATTAATAACACTAAAATAGTATTATAGTGTTATTAAAGTATAAGTTATAGTAACCACAGATTACTATAACTCACACTTAAAATTTTGGCTAGCGTTAAAAGAATCAATCTTTATACTTTGTTTTCTTTAGTTGCTAAAGCCGTTTAAAAAAAATTACAACATTATAATTATATTAGGGATTTAAGTGTGAGTTTTGCCTCTTTTTTTTTTACGAATAAGTGAGGAGTATAAACACCAACTCATTATCTTTTTTAAATAAATTATATCTATAAATATAAGAAAATAAATTTACATACAACCCTGAATTAAGTCAAAATATTATTGTAGTTTAGAAAAAATTAACAATTGAAACATTTTTACCATTCATTCTTAACCAGGTTGAACTTTAAGTTGATTTCTTTATACTGTTTCACTCTTTCTTTAGCTAAAGCTACTGATTTTTCATTTGTTTCTTCTTTCAGTGTTAACTCTGCATCATCTTGTTCCAGTACTAAATCTTCTAGAAGTCTTACTACTTTTAACTATAAAATAATATTAGTAATATTATTATAACATATTATATACCATTATTAATCAATAACAGGTTAATAAGCAAATTCTTGCAGCCTAAAAAAATAATTTTAAATACACACCATAAGTTTTAGATTGTGTTGTGTTATAGGCTTGTTAAAAATATGAATGAGAATAGGTAAACCTCCATTTTCTATAAATATCCCTTGAGCTACAGGAAAACGTCTTATCATTGTAGATACTGCATATAAACAACTGGCTTGAACCTACAAAATATTAAGAAAGTTAATGATTAATGAATAATTGGTATATATATTATTATTGTCATCAAATAATAATAATAAATAAAGCCTATTTTAATAATTATATTTATAAAGCTAAATAAAATTCCTAAGTACCAAGAAGAAATTTTAATTAAAAATACTTAGTGTAGTTGTTTAATTGTAGATATAATAATCTATCCAACACAGAAAGCTATTTACTGAACAATACTAAATGGTAGCTCATGCCTGTTGTAAGAGGCTACAAAAATGGACCTGAAGGTAGGAGGAGGCAGTGCCTTTAGCACTATCTGTAAGTGGATGCTTCATAAACAGGTTACATTAGTAGATCACATTTCCCTGACTTTATATTGGGAGATTAAAGAGTTTTCTAATCTGGTGATGTTAACAGAAGAAATAAAGGCATTATCTTTAATAAAAATGTGTAAAGAGTCACATTGCTTACGATGATAGTGCGATATTAATCAAACTAAAATTTGTTCCTAACAACATCACAATAGTACAAGTATACATACCCACAACACAAGCGAATAATAAGGTAGTAAAGGAGATCTATGAAAAGATAAAAGAACTCATTAACCTTACAAATGGTAAGGAGTATTTAATTATCATGGGAGACTGGAATGCGATTGTGGGTGAAAATCCAAATGGCAGAAAAGTAGGCAAATATAAACTCAAAACAAGGAATGAAAGAGGTGATTGTCTTGTCAAATTATGAGACAATATGATTTAATTGTAATCTATACTTTATTCATGAATCATAAAACAGGCGCTACACTTATAAAATGCCAGGTGATATTAACAGACACCAATTAGAGTATATCCTGGTAAAGAATGGGTATAAGAATCAAATCAAATTAAGTAAATCTTACTCAGAAACTGATATTGACAGTGACCACAAACTGATAATGATCAAGTCTGTGTTGAAATTCAAGAAGTTATAAAAACCAAAAAATAAATGGCATAAATGTCAACTAAAGCAATTAGAAATAAGACAGTTGTTTGAAAAGAAACACAAAGAAAATTTTGAAATCAAAAGTATGCCAAGAATAGATAATTGCAGTAGTATAAAGCATAGATGGCGTCATATAAAAGAATCTATTGTCCAGTCTGCAGAAAAAATATTAATTAGGGAGAAACCAGCACTGAAATGCAGATGGATAACAATGAAAATAGTTCAAGATATAGAGAGAAGAATATTGTTTAAAAATAAAACTGATGAAGAAAATAAAAGACAATATGAGATGTTAAGAAATAAAATAAGCCATGAAGCAAAATATGCAAAGGAGATAGACAATATGATAAAATACAACCAACAGGACAAGGCATATAAACTCATCAAACGATAATTCAATGGAAAAGTCACAATATACGTATGTAAATTTACTTATAAACATGTTAGCAAAATATATGATATTAAGATGTGGATATAGAGATTTTGGATGTAGTGGATTGGTTATCCTACCAAAAAAACATAGAACCAATCAATGAGAAAATTTTAGGACCTTAAGCTTGATATCTTATACAGCTAAATTGGAGAGGTAATAATATCTTCTCTTATAATAATGCTTCTCTTTACTGATGATATAGTTGTTCTTGCAACAACAGAGGAAGATTAGCAATCAGCGTTAAATGTAATAAATATAATTAGTTCAAAGAATATAGTCTTCTTCTTTTTCCTCGACTTAATCTCAACTACTTGGGGTTGGCCAACCTTATCCTAGACTTTCACTTGATATGATCACCCACATAATCTACACTCACATAAGCCGTCCTCATATCGCATTCAATTACATCCCTCCATCTACTTTTTGATCTACCTCTTCTTCCTTCAAAATTCATTTCTATAACATTCCTCTCTCCTCATAATATGACCAAACCATCTAAGTTTATTTTCTCTCATCTTATCTACAATTGACGCTACACCTATACTCTCTCTTATATGTTCTTACCTTATCCTATCTTCTCTAGTCTCTCCACTCATCGATCTAAGCATTCTCACCTCTGCTACACTCATTCTCTGCTCAACTTTCTTGTCAACTGCCCAACACTCTGAACCATACATCATAGTTGGTCTCACTAGAATTTACCTTTCAGCCTCATTGGAATTCTTTTATCTCATAACACACCAGATGCTTCTCTCTACTCCAACCACCCTCAATTAATACTGTGTTTTACATACTCATCAATACCACCGTTCTTTTACCCACCTTGGTGCACTCCAACTCTTACTCTAAAACCTTCTGTTACTCCTCCCATACTTTTTACCTTGGTACAATTGCTATCATACATATTTTCTATTATATTAATGTACCTTTTTCGAACTCTATTTCTCATTAATGCCCACTTTAAAACCTCATCTAGTTAATACCGGTTCTGGAGGTAATAGTACATTGGGTAATATTTCTTTGTACACCTGGACATGATATGGCACTTTTAAAAATACTTTTTTTAGATTACTGATTAATTTGTTAACATTTGGAAATATTTCTCTGACCTTCTCTGCAACCCTGTTCATCATGTGAGCTACACACGTAACGTGAATTAAATTTGGGTAGAAAACTTTTAGTGTATCACCGATTTTTGTCATGTATGGAACTGCAACCGATAACATTACCAACACTTTTTCATAATTTCCACCCAACGGCCATAATAATTTTAGTCCATCATTGATAAACCAATCAACAGTGGAATGATAAGTTTCTTCCAAAACTTTGCATGTCAGGAGAAATAAGAGAGTCGGAGTATTTAATTTTAATATTCCCACCAGTAAAGTTGCAATGTAACGACCGTTTGTATCTGTAGTTTCATCTACAGCAATCCAAATATTATTTTCACCTATTTCATTTTTAATCTTTCTTAAAGTATTATGGTAGCACAGCTCTAGATATTTCTGTCACAAACTTGACAAAAAATTGTCTTGAAAATCGTTTGTTGGTTATTTTACGACGAAATCCATTGAACAAATAACTTTTTAAACTGCTTGAAGTTTTTGGCATATTTGTATGTTATAGACTATAACATACAAATACTATAACTTATAGTAATATGAGACTATTTTTTTTGAACTACTACAGAAAGTTGAAATTTAACAAAAAAGACTCAAAGTGATTTTGTATTTGTCAATAGTCATCATTATTACATTTATCAAAAATTTTTAATCAAAGAGTTATGCAACCTTAAATTATTGTTTCAAGGTTTTAGAGTAAGAGTTGGAGTGCACCAAGGTGGGTAAAAGAACGGTGGTATTGATGAGTATGTAAAACACAGTATTAATTGAGGGTGGTTGGAGTAGAGAGAAGCATCTGGTGTGTTATGAGATAAAAGAATTCCAATGAGGCTGAAAGGTAAATTCTAGTGAGACCAACTATGATGTATGGTTCAGAGTGTTGGGCAGTTGACAAGAAAATAGAGCAGAGATGAAAATGCTAAATGGATGAGAAGAATGACTAAAAAAGGGATAAAGAACAAAAATACAAGAGGGAGTAAAGATGTAGCATCAATCGTGAATAAGATGGAAAAAAATAGATTTTGATGGTTTGGTCATCCAGTTTATTTTATTTAACCATTTTTACTAAAAATGTTATGAAAGATTGAAAAAATCAACTTAAAAATAATTTAATTTTGTTCATAAATTAACTATGAGCTGTATTTTTTAAAAAATTTTCGATACAGAAGAATATTTTCTACAATTATATGACCACAGGATATTTTAATAATGGGAAGAGTATATATTAGGTCATACTTTTTTTAAAGTTTTTGTCTTAAATGTTTATTGTTTTAATTATATGTTTAAGTTTATTAAACATATTAAAATTTATCAACATATTTAATTTGTTAACCTGTTATTATACTAAATAAATAAAAAATATGTTCCACCTCTAATTATTTTTTAATTATTATATAATAAAAAATTAATACTTACCGAGTATTCATATTCATCATCAATGTGCTTTAATAAAAGAGGAATAATATTAGTTTCTAATGCAGCAATTTGAACTTTTGGATTATTTGAAGATGCAGCTCCAAGTATTTGTGCTCCTTGAGTTTTTAATACACTAGAGTTACTATTTAGACATGGTATAATGATATTTGAAATTCTGAAAAAAATTTCTGTTATTAATATCATTGCTGTCAAACAAAAAATGGATGATTTTGACTTTTCATAGTCAATATGTATGTAATAGAGAAGAAATTAAATTTGTCAATGAATGTAATGTAACAAATGGTCAGTAGTGGTTTATTTATTTATTGAAACAATAATTTAAGGTTGCATAACTCTTTGATTAAAAATTTTTGATAAATGTAATAATGAAGACTATTGACAAATACAAAATCACTTTGAGTTTTTTTTATTAAATTTCAACCTTCTGTAGTATTTTAAAAGAAATAATAAAGAAAACATAATTAGTTACTTTTTGCATGATGGTGACAATATAAACATTTTATTAGTATAAAATTTGAACCTTTTTTTTTAAGTTCACCCTTACCCATTATTAGAAATAAAAACTTCTGCTGTATCAACTTGATGTACAAGATATTCCATATCAGTTAAAATATTGACAAGTTTATTTTCGTTCATATCATATGTCTCAATGTGATTTTTGAATTTAGTTGATAGATCTCCTAAGATTTCTATATCAGTTTTTATAGTCATATTTAAACTGTCAAAATCTTTTTTTAATTCATCATATGATCTAAATCTACTTGAAGGTTTAAGACTCCCACTTTCTTTATCCTAAAAATGTATAGTTTAAATGATTACTGATTGTATAATTAAATTTTCCTTGTTCATTTAAGTAATAATAATAAAATAAATTTTAATAATTAATAACATATTAAATGAAAAATAGTTTTTTTTTAACCCAAAGTGTAAAACTTAAGTGGTATAGATTATAATCTATGAATTAAATAACAATAATCCTTAATAAGTACATAAATAGCCAATCCAGTAATTTCATTCTAATGCCAATTAGTCATTTTATAAAGGTAGTTTTTTCAAATAACTGTAATTTACTATCATTAATAATGCCTGATATAAGAATTAAGTTTTATATTAAACAAAGTTTACTTACAGTTTTATTTTGAGGCAATGAAACCAATTTTGTAGAACTTGTTAATTGATAAATTTGATTATTATCATCTATAAGTTTAGCTTTCCTTTCTCCAGATTGAAGATCTATCTTAATATGAAGTCCTGCAGGTAGAACTTGGTCTAAAGTAGAGCAATAAGTAGTATTAAATTCTAAGTTAGACATGAAAAATAATGCTATTGCATTTTTTACCTCTTTCTACAGTTTGCCATTCACGAGTAGGAACAAAATTTTTTGAACTCTCCAGTGTGTCATTAGATTTTTTTTGATCATTCAACTCTTGTCCCTGAAACCACTTCTGATATTCAATCACTTTTTTGGCTGGCCCAATACGCCATAAGTCCAAGTACAATATTACTCCCATTGTACACACCAAGATCAATAACAAAACAGAAATCAATTTTCTACTTAATAAGAACATTTTAACGAAAAATTTAACACGTCAAACTTATTATAGTACAATGAAGAGATAATAAACTATGAAAAATAAAATAATAAAATTGATGACACGTAATTTCATAAAATTACTCAAATATTGACACAAATAATGTACAAAACTTCAATAATCAAAAACAAATTATATTTTTAGCGAATAATAAGAGATAAGGCGGTAGGACACGTTGTCCAATGAAAAATCGGAATCGTTAGCAACCATTAAACCAGTGAAATATATAAACTGATAGGAAAGTTTGAATTTAATCATTTTAATTTAACGTAAAATCATTTTTATGGATACACTGTAATGGTTAGGCGTCTATAGGTGGCGCAACTGTCGAACGCCGGGCGAATGATGGCTGTTCTACCGGCCACCACTACTCCCGCCAAGCAACTTAAACAACAGATTTGTTTACCGAAACCGGCATCGCATCATAGTCGGCCATTACTGTTGCAGTCGCTTAATCGCGTTCTCGCATTTACTCGTCAATTTTTTCCAATCTTATAGTTACCTTCGAATCGTTTTCACTCTAATAATTTTTTTAATTTTTTGACGAGTGAGTTACCGTAAAACATTTATCCGTCAAACAGTTCTAACAGTCATAATATAAAAATGACGGAAGATTACTTTTGGGGTGAGTATTATTTAGCGAATTTTCGTTTTTCTTTATTTTGCATTGCGTGTTTATGATGGAGCGGCGGGGGACGTGTTGGCTCTATAAGACAATGCGGTTTTCGTGTTTTTTTTTTTTTTTAAATTTAAACAAAATTTTGTTGCGGCTGTGCCTTAACATGACTTGTAGTCTTAGCTTTTATGTATTGAACATGCGATCTTATGATTTGATAACCTCCGAAGTATAGTATGTGGTTTCACGCGATCACGCGTTGTACTTCGAAAAATCACATGGCACCTGTACTCGTCTAATAAGAATCTTTCTCAATTTCTTTTGCCTTTATTAAATTTGCTGTATTATTAATCAGTGCATGTAAAAATAGTATCGAATATTACTTTAAATAGTGTTAAACATTCCTTGTAATTGAACGAAACGTTTCTCATATGTGTATACTTAATAATTTCATTGTATAAATCATTTTCCTCAAAGATACGTTTATTCGTTGTAGTGTTTATTATTTTTTAGCGTTAAATTACTTATTTGGAGTGCTATACTCAATTTTTTATACAAAAATGTGATGTCAATTTAATGATGTTATTAATTTTTTTTTATTTTAATGGGCTTTGTATAGTAGTTGGACTTTTGTATTATGCTTCTGTAATTTTACCATTCTAGATTACATAATGCTTCATATTTATATAAATTTATTTTATTATATTAATTATTTTTTGTTTAATGCAAAAATCTACGATATCTTATCGTGGATAAGATGAGAGAGAATAGATTTGGATAGTTTGGTCATGTTATGAGGAGAGAAGAATTGGAGGAAGCTGTAAGAACTGTATAGAAATGAATGTTGAAAGAAGAAGAGGTAGAGGAAGACCAAAAAAAAGATGGAGGGGATGGTATTGAATGCGATATGAGGACAGTTGATGTGGGAGATCGTGTCAAGTAGAAGTTTAGGATAAGGGTGGCCGACTCCAAGTAGTTTGGAAGGCGAGGAAGAAGAAAAAGATTTTTTGTTTAATGCAGTTATAAATGCCTTAAGTTCAAATAAATTATGTTGTATATTTTACTACATAGTTTTTAAATTGGTTACGGTTTACTGTAATTAACTAATAATCTAAAACAATGTCAAAATATTATGTGACATTAATATTTACTTATTTCTTATTTTATTATGTACTTCTTCAGGTGTTACATTAGATAAAACTAAGAATGTTGAAATTTGGGACCCAGATGTAAAACCAGATGCAAATGATAGTTCTCATGTGTTTAGAGGTGAACACACTTTGCTTGTTAAACAAGTAAGTTAATTTTCTAAAAAAATATATTGTAACTATAATTACTATTTTTTATTTTCTTTAAATATAGGCTGTTCTTGGACCTGAAGTACCAGATGGTGATGTTAATGTAATAGAAGTAGAAGCAATGGGTTATAAATCTGATATTAAATTCCCAGTTGTAGTTTTAAAAGGAGGTGCAGGTCTTAGTCAATGTGTACTTGATTTACTGTTTCCTGATCCTCCAGTAACTTTCAAACTAGTTAAAGGCAGTGGACCTATACATTTATTAGGAAACCATTCTGTTGGTAGTAAGTATTTACAATTGATCACTATTTATATAGCTGTGATGAATATTTTTTGGGTAATTTGCGTCTGATAATATTTTGAGGACCTTAAAAGAATTCTGAGCATTAATTTTATTTATAAATGTAATAATAAACATAATAGTTTATAAATAAAAGGTTTAAAAGTTAACTTTTATTTGGAGTAGCTGGTGAAGGAATGGCTGATGAAGAAGATGATGATGAAATAGATGAAGAATTTGAAGAAGAAGAAGAAGAAGTAATTGAAGAAGTAACGGAAAAAAATAGTGTAAGTTATTTATAAATTGTATTATAATTATAGCAGTATATTCTGTATGGTATATTAAGTTTTTTTTTTTTTACTTAAGTTGTAATCTCTGTAATTTTTAGGTTGATGAAAAAAAAAGGAAATTAGCTGCAAATTCCAATTCAAAAGGCAAGGCGGCCAAAAGGCCTAAAGTTGACAGCGAAGTATTTAGAATTTAAAATAATAATTCAACTGTAGTTGTTTTACAGGGTGTCATAAAATATTCCCCAACTTCAAATAATTTTTTAAGTGATCTATTTATTAGTAATACTGCCCAACACTTAGTGACAAATAATATGTTAATAGATTAGGAGTTAGCCACAAAATTCTATTCAGAATAAACTATCATATTGTTTGGCACAAAAAAATATTGTTATGCGATGAATAAGAGATTGTTCCTAATAATTTCTTTGTTTTACATTTTAAAAATTATGACAATCTCTACATTTATATATTTTACTATTATTTTTAATGTACTTGCGCATTGTTGAAATGTTCTTTTATATATATATATAGAATGATAACTTATTATTGGTTTCTCAGTTATTCTTAAAATAATAATCATGTTAAAAAAATGTCTTTTTAACTGTTATATATTTTTTTAAATTTGTCCTTTATACATTTATAACTTTATTTTTTCAATGGTAGTATACAAATTTAAATAACTTATATAATACAAGATTATCTAATTATCAAAATAAATGTCCATAACTTAAAACACATTACTACAGAATTTATATATATTTCTTAATATAGAATGGAGGTGTAGACTTAGTTGTTAATCATTATGATTTGCTCTATATTAAATAAATGAAAATAATTCCAAAGTATTAGTTCAAAAGCAGTAATCGGCTAGTCATAACTACTTGCATAAAGTTATATTTAATATGTTACCATATAAGTCACTCTACAAAGGTATAAAGGATAAATTCTAAAAATAAAAAAATTGATGGAAATTCACTAAATTAATTAAAAAATAAATATTATTTTTACTATATTTGTTTTTGTTAAACTTTTAAAAGCATTTTAAATTATTAAAAAGTATAACAAATATTTTTTTGTTAAGTTTTTATTTTAGTTTTATACATTTTTTCTTCTCTATTGAAATTTCAAAAAGATTAATTTTAGCTCTTACAAAACATTTTTATTGATTGGTCATTATCTAATTTAGGATTAATACTTATTAGAGTTAATATAATTTTAATACATAGTGTGTAGGTATGTAGCACAGGGATTGTAGCTCATAGTGTTTATTTATAGTGCATTTCCTGATGTATAATACTACATCCTCTATATTTATATAAGTGTATGTATTGTTTACTAAACATTTAACTACTAGGTATCATAAATATTTGTATTTATAGTTTTTTTTTTTTTTTTTTTAGTCTAATTAACACTGTAAACATCATGTATGGATGTTCCTGGATTAATAATTCCATTGAAACAAGAGACACTGTCCTCTGGTGTTAATTTATTTAACAATTAAGTTTTATAATTTCAAATTGTTTTTTTTTTTTATTATTATTATTATTATTATTTAGTCTGCTGACTTTGTTCTTGTAATAATTAGAAGTTAAAAACTTAAGGTTCCATTTGTCACCCGCTAAATGAGTCATTCATATTGAAAAGTAACAGAGTTAAGTTTAATACCTGATACATTTTTATAATTTAAGCAACTTATACAATAAAAATACAATGTCTTGTTTTAATATAATTTTTATATTATTTTATCTAACTGTGTATTAATGAAATCAAAGTGTCAATTAATATGAATAACAGTTTTCTTTTTAATGTTTAAAAGTAAATTTTCTTGAATAACTACTATAATTCCATGATTGATTATAGAAAAATTATTCATGATCTTGTGCATAGCATGTTATGTAAGGTGTGTTATAAGAAGTAGTACAAAATTTTGAACCATTTCTAGAAATAAACTGACATCCCATCAGTAAAGCATCTTCTCTCATACAACAAAATGTCAATGAAAAAATCTAAAAAAAAAAAAAAAATAATTTAGAATAAAAAATTTCAGTACCCGTTAAACAGTGCTTTTACCCCAGAACTTGATTTCCAAACTCTAATCCACGAATCTTCAGATACTGATAACAGTAAGTCTGCATCTTTAGCAAATGATATGGATGTCACCGACCGAGCATGTGCTGATATTTGTATACTTAGAGGCAGCTTATCTTCATTATCGTCAATTGATATTCTTGAAGCTTTATCAAATATTCGAATCATTCCATTAGTATAGCCGACAGCTATTATGTTTTTTGATATAACTGTAGTTGTACAAGAAAATCTTAAAATTAAATTATAACTTATTAAATTTTGTTACAATTAATAATTATGTAACATGATGTTATACGAATTCTTTACCAACCCTCCAAAGCATTCAGTTCTAGCCTGTAAAACCAACTCTCTATTTTCAAACTTTGATAGAACACAGCACCCTGATTCGTCACATGATACTAAGTTATTTTGAAGTGATGCCATATCGGCGATTGGCATACTATGTAATAGTTTTCTGTCTAAAAAGGTAATTTTACCCTCTTGATCTGGTCCAAATACTCTTATTGAACCATTGCTGTTACCTTAAAATAATTTTTCGAATTTAAAGAATTAATTAAAAACAAGGCTAATAATTACATACCTACACATAAATATGTACAATCTAATGTAGCTATACCCTTGGCAAAAATTTCCTTAGTTGATTTATCTTCACAATTGTGCGTGTATACACAATTAAAATTTTCATCGCAATTGTATATGATTAAACCCTCAATACATGTTATTACAAGACAATTCATATACCCAAGTGTAAACCACCCAACCTTACAAAACAAAAAAAATGTTAATAAAATGAAAATTAATAGAAACTTTCTATACTTTTGTTACATCCGATTTGGCATTTAAACATTGACCATTTTCTAAACTGTCAGTGCTTACTATATGAATTTTTTGTCGATCAATGACAGCAAAATCGAAGGATTTTTTATCTTTACCCAATTTTATCGAAATATTATTGGTAATAGCTGAGGCTGAGCCTTTGAATAAAATTATTTTTTCTTTTGAATAAATCCTAAAAATTAAATATATTAGAGTAAAATTGTGTATACTTTTTTAAATGAAGTAAAATTTTCAAACAGCATTAATGCGTTAAAAATTCAAACTTCTAATTAACTAAATTTCATGTAATTATTTGCTAATATTAATTGAATAAGTTATTTTTGTAGTCAAACTAACGTACGAACCTTAAGTTTAATACTACAATGAAAAATTAAGTTCAACAATGAATACGACTTAATTTTTCACTTTTTGAAAAATTGACTTAAAAAGATCTGTTAACTTTTATTTTTTAAGATCAAGTATTTGAAAAATAGCACAATGTGCTATAGTGAACTAAGTACTTGACATATTCTTTAAATATGAATAGTTAACAAGTAAAATATAGCTAAAATTGTAAACTCTTGCGAGTTTATTTTTGAGGAATTAGTCTGTGCAATTGTAATGCCCCCAAAGTTGTCTTCTTAGTCCGTGATTCACTCATTTAGCAAAAGACATGCATTCAATCACGTACTAAAACTAATAACACAATGTAACTTACATAGAAAAACATTAATAATTCTTCAATATAAAATATTTTAACTAAAAAGTAACTATCAATAAAATAAATTTTACATCAACATGTTTATTATAAAATTATAATAAGATTATCGAACTTAGTGATTTTTTTATGATACACAAAATATATAACACTTATAGTAGTGGTTCAAATTATTATACCGTTTATTGATTTTATAAGGGAACTTATTAAATATTGCATACTGTATTTTTAAAAAACCATCAAGGTTAAAATGGAACTTACAATTATACGATGGAAACAAAAAAAGTCAATACAAAATTACCAACTTCAAATTTAAATATGTGTGGCTACACTGAATGTCTATATATTTTTTTATTTTATGAGCCATACCTCATGCTTACCATACCTAACTCAGTCGGTTTGATTTCTACAGGCATTAGATGCAAAAATTCGACTGTTATTGTTCTGGTTTTTATTTTTGTGTAATTGTTTTTGCAGAATATCTTTCACGATTAATATAATTACAAATTTTGCGATTTATCATATCGTTATTATTATTTTGTGAAAGTTTAGGATTAGCAGGTAAATAACTGTACTAAAAATTCTTATTATTTCAGGTTAACCTCCTCGTTAGTTAACTCGAGGTCATAATAAACTAAGTATTTATTATTACAGTAAAATGCCAGAATTAACCGAAATTGACTCTAACAAAAAGGTAAGTTTTGAAGATCCAAAAAAAAATGCTGATAGTGACAGTGATTCCAGTTGTGCTGATGCAGCTGCAAACAAAGGAACTGAAAGTGGAAGCGGTGCAGTATCTGAAGACCTTTCTAACAAAGCTAGACAATCTAGAGGTGAAAAGAAGGCTAGAAAAATCATTTCAAAGTTGGGTCTTAAACAGGTATGGTATTATAAAAATGTATGAGTAAAAAACAATTATTGTAGTTGATTAATTTCAAAATTGTTTCACTATGGATTTATAAAAACAATATTTATTGGAGAATACTATTAAAATCATGAATTATTTAGTAAACAAATTTTGATGTAGATAATTTTCATTTTTTACTCAATTGTATGGTTTTCTTATAACCTTTGAAACTGAAATTCTGTTTCAGATTCATGGAGTGAACAGAGTAACAATACGAAAATCTAAAAATATTCTGTTTGTTATCAATAACCCTGATGTCTTTAAGAATCCTGCTTCTGATACATATATAGTATTTGGAGAAGCCAAAATTGAAGATCTTAGTCAACAAGCCCAGGTTGCAGCTGCTGAAAAGTTTAAGTCAGCAGATATGATGCCTAGTGTTTTGGACAAAGATGGAGCTTCAAGGCCAATGGTAAGTCAACCTATTCAAGAAGAAGAAGAAGAAGAGGGTGAAATTGACTACAAAGGTGTTGAAGAGAAAGATGTAGACCTTGTATGTGCACAAGCGCAAGTAACGAAACGTAAAGCTATTGAAGCACTGCTTAAGAATAACAACGATATAGTGAATGCAATTATGGATTTGACTATGTAAAACTAAGATGTATTAATTAACACTGCAAAAAAGATAAATCATTGTTTACTTATAGACTGATGTTCAGTTCAAAAAAAAAATTAACAGTTGGATACAAAAAATATACTATAAATGGTTACTTCTTAATTTGTGTAAATACTATGTTATATTACTTCTCCCCATTTTAAAAATCTTATACCAAGATTGTTTTTCGTATAAAATATTTAATAACATTATTATTTATATGATGATCTTTCAAATTGGTATATAAGTAACATTATTCCTCTTATATTAATTTATGTTCTTACCAATTTGATCAATTTGATGGATAATAAGAGCTATATGTTTTGAGTTTATAAAATAAATTATTAACAAAATAATATTTAGTATATCATAGTCTTTAATCCAATTGTTGTAGGATATAACAATAATGTAAGAATGTTAAAAATAACCTAATACATATTTCACTATGAAAAAAAAACTTCTGTAAATGTTATACATTTACCCAATAAATTATGAAATGCATTTTATGTTATATTCACATAAAATAATAGTACAATTCTTTAACCTCTAAATTTATCCTAGCATTGTATTTTAAAAGAAAGATATCTAAACGCAATTTCAGAAACTACTTTGTACTATATAGACTAAATTTTAAATTGACATAGTTTGGTTAGTAATATTTGTCAAAATTTTAAATAATGAACTCTTAAATATTGAGGGGAACAGAAATAAGTTTATGATATTGAACACTTCAAGATAATAATCTTCATAAACATTGAAAGTTACTCAAAACAAATTTTAGGGGGTTACTGATAGTTTGAAACAACAAAAAATTGACTTGGCAATGTATAATATAAGAATTAACTGTATTTTAACAAGTGCTTAATATCAATTTTAGTTAAAGAAATTTTGTACATTTTTATATGCATAAATTATAATAATTTTTTAAATTGGTAGTTAAGTATAATTGTGATGATTCTAGAAATTTTTGTAATTACATATTTATTAATACTCAAAAGTTATATTGAAAGATTTAAAAGGTATGTTATGTATAGTATACATATTATCAAAATAACACAGTATACATTGGTGTTACAGTTAAAAATATGATTCTTTCTTTCTTGAAAAAAGATGATTCTTTTTTCATAAATTTTAAGTTTAGGTAATAATTTTAATTTCTTGATTATTTACTTTTACATAATTTCATTAAAAAAAAAAATAATTGAACAGCTCTTCAAAAACAAGATTACTCCATTTTTAAAAAAATCATTTTAACAGTTATGCATAAAAATTAAAATACTGTCGTATATACATATTAAAAAAAAATACAATAAATAATTAAGAAAACTTTTTTTTAATTTACTGGTAAAGACGGATAAAAGGATGTCTAGTTTTTCTAACTTCCTAAAAATGATGCAAAATCTTAGCATGGTTACCTTAAACTGCAGGAGTTATTTAATTGTATAACACAAATAATCTCATTACTCTCCTATAAATCTCATGTAAAAATAAATACTATGAACCATTAATTTATCATTATCACTAAGATATCTTACGACTTATCTAAAATAATACACCTATACATTTTAAATTTATTATAATTAATTAATTACATTATACAACAGTTACAATATATATATATATAAATTATACAAGTTAAAAATAGTTTAAAAATGGACGTAAAAAAAATATATATATATTAAAATTGTTACAATAGTACCAAATAGTAACTACTAACGTAATGATGTTTTATATAACTAATTTATAATCATATATTCAATATTGATGTATAGTATTGGAAATTAAATAGTATATTATACAATTACACTTCATTATATTTATAAAAACGAAGTTTAATAAATTTACAAAAAACTTAGTAAATAGGTATTATAAAGGAATAATTGTTAATGTACATAATTTTATAGTAAAGTAATTAGAAAATATTATACGCTTAACATAATATTGTCTAAGCTAATATTTAAAATCACAGAAAAAATTCACCATAAAATAATACATTTCATTATAAAATACATATTCATGAAATGAAATACAAATAATTTATTATTTTATTTAAACTAGTTTATAGTTTTAAAGTGAATAACAGAAAACCTGATAACTATTTAAATGAACATTTATATTTTTAACATGTCTTATAAATAAAATGTTGTAATAATGTATAAGATGTATCAGATTTAGTTAAACAATAATGAATGTTATTTTAGCACAAAATTTTAATATTAGGAAAACTATAACAGTGATTATTTTAATACTTAAATGGTTGAGTAATGTATTATTTTAGCAAAATTTATCTAAAATTAATTTCTGTAATGAGGTTAAATTTTTACAAAGGGAATGTATATTATTGATTTAGAAACTAATTTTTTTATAATTTATTAAAAAAAAACAAATTGTAAACATTGATAAATAAAACAGTAAAATTAATTTGTTTAAACTGATATCACAAATTTATCGACCACATATATTGGATAAAGTAATGCAATAGTAACTTATAATTTAGCATTGCTTTCATCCAGAGGAAAATTAGTTTAGCCAAAAACCAGCTTAAAATGCACCGTATAAATACGATCTCATCAGTCTTATAGTTATGGAAAATTATTTATTAAATTTTAAGACTGAATTTCAACATAACAAGAAATAATTGCCTAAATACGAGCCTCACTTGGATGTTGACTAGCTTTCATACCTCTACCAGTCCAACGAACATCTTCTTTCACTGTCAAAGGTGAACTATTATCAACACCATTGTTTTTAGTTGGTTGAACACTTCCAACTACTACTAAAGCTGATGCTATTGCTAGACCTATTTAAAGTACAAAATTTTTAATTTAAAACAATTATAATTGATATAATTTACAAACCAGAATGTCCATGAGGTGTATATTGGTCATTTCCAGTAGGTTGTCTAACAAGTAAAGTTAATACTGCTGCTTTGTTTCCAGAACATGGTTCCAAGGCCACAGGGTTTGGTACATCCTAAAATAATATTTAAATTACATTTTAGAGTATTAAATACATATTTATACATAATATAATATATTAAATTTTTTTATAAAATTGAGTTCATTTCAATATTTTAACATAATTAAATATTACCAAAGAATAGATACATTGATCCTTAAAATATTATATGACACTAAAAATATGTTCCTCATACAATAGCTGTTGAGATTAAAAATAAAATACTTAAGTCCAAACTTACCACACACTGTATACTTTATTCCTAAATACATTTTACCTAAATTACTACAGATGCTAAATTACAAATTTGATGCATTAGTATAATTAAGGTAAAAAATATATTTCATTTTAATAGTATTTTACAATAAAAATATTTTGCTTAAAACTTATGATTGATAAAATGTGTTCTATGTAGGATACGAGAAGATTTTCTAAACTCGTACTAATTTGAATTACTAAGAAAATAAAAGTAACTTAAAATGTTACTATCATTTATATTAATATACAATTAATTAAAGGTTAGCTTATTTATAGATTGGTTTAATTGAAAATTAATAAATTTTCAACATCTCACAAATGTCTTTCAAGGTTCTTTAAATGAGATTGCCGTTTGACAATTTTATCTTAATTAATAGTACTTACTATTTTACGCTTTCTTAAATTATTAGAAACTGATATTGTTGGTATTTGACAGTTTTTGGCTATATTACGTTTTTCTAATTCAACTTCCACAACAGAAAACGGTCTACTTGCCATTTGTTCCATTTCTACAAACATTCTCTAAAAAAATAGAAATTAAACTAAAATTTATATTTTTATACTAATTAATGTTTATAAATTTTTGTATTATTACTATACATATTATATTATATATAATACAATACATTTAAAAATATATTTACACAAAAATATAATGTAAATAACTTATGAATTGCTGTAAAAATATATATTACTACTATTACAACCTGAAAACTCCCTCTTTTTTAAAAACTACTTTACATAGTGGCCCAAAAAAACAGATAAGTTCAATAATTTATCATTAAGTTATAGCAAAAAAATAAAAAAGTTTTCCACATGTTTAAATAAATATTCCACATAATAAATAAATAAATTTATTTATTATTTCTTTTGATAATTTTTCAAATAATAATTATACCTGTCTTCGACGGTACATATCATATTTTTGTTTAAGTTTCCATAGTATTGCAGCTACTAATAGTAAAAGAAGAAAGCATCTAAATGTAAAATAAAAATATAGAATTAAATTTTTAGTATAAATTAAATCAGGGATATTTAAATATGGACAAAAAAAATGATGTATAACATGATAATTAATTTTATTTTTTTAATAGTGTTCAAGTTAACACTTTTCCTTTATCAAGATATTAACTGTATTATAAATGGTAGACAAACTTATAAAACTGAGCATAACAAAATAAAACCCAGCCTTATAAACTAAATAATAATAATTATAAAGGATTTGTAATGATTTCACGAGTCAAACAATAAAACTTACGAAGAAAATGTAATAAAGAATTGTTGAAGATTTAATTTAGGATACTGAGAAAAAGATATTTGAATCCATAGTGGGGGTTTAAAGTCATATACATAAACATAAAAAGTTGTCAATGAAATATTTCCATCAGTTCCAAACATATAATCAGATTTTAAGAATTTAGTTCTAAAATTTGTACAGTTCTGTAGAGGTAGTACCATTTTTTCAGGACCATACGCTAAAAAATAAAAGCAATATAAAAAAAGAGTTTCATAACTTTTTATATTTTTATTATTATACTACCAGGTCTAACTGTAATATTCATTTTAGCCATCACAGAACATGTTATACTAAAATCAGCATCTACATCCGCCTTGGATGGAGAATTTTGAAAGTTAATCTGTGTAAATCTGAGATCATCTTTTTTGGAGAGATTAAATGTAAATTGATAATCAATTGTCAGATCATCTAAAATAAAAATTATTAAGTGTTACAATTGATATAAAAAAAAATTGTTCAACTTACAAAAACAAGAGCCATGATTTGATGGATCACCTAGGTAATGGTTATTTGTATCACATTTTTCACAGTTATCTCCAATGATACCTTTCGTTGTACAAAAACATTTACCATTTTCTTGATTGCATTGATTTCCTTGATTATTACAACGACACTCTATAGTAAAAAAAAAATTTTTTAATTGATTATTTGATGAAATTAAAAGAATATTTTTTACCTTTACATTCTCCTCCATTAATTGGATTTCCGTAATAACCTTTAATGCACAATTCACAATTTCGACCTTCTGTAGAATTTGAACATGGGTGTATACATATATCTGTATTGTTCAAACATGTACTATGACCATTACATTGACAAGCTAAAAAAAAACAAATTTTATGCTTATAAATGACAAAGTTAAATTGAGATTTCTTTTTTATACATTCAACTTACTGGGACACTGAGTGAAGTACCATTTGCTCAAAGAACATGACTGAGGTGGAGTACTACCACCAGCCATACAAGATCCAAGACCTGTACCAGATCCATCATCACACCAACCACACTCGGGATCACTTCGACAATCTACACATGTGCGATAAAAATTGCATTGAGAATTACCTAAAAAAATTTAGAAATATAATAATTTTACACTTTACTTATTATTTTTCGAATAGCTATATTACAAATATAACATACCAGGTGAAGTACGACAACGATGTTCATCAGTTGTCCATTCTCTACACTGGCCATATGGAAAAGATGATGTATATGCATTTTTGTCAATACATCTTTCATTGTTTTGACACCATATGCATTCATCTTTAGTACAATTAGTACACTCAGTATAATGATCACAAACACTTTCACACACATCAGGTGACTTAAATATAAAAAAATATATAATTATTTACATAGCTTCAAGACTATGTTTAAAATAAATAAGCAATTTTTTCATCACCCCTTTAATAGTAAATTGAGGAAACAAATTAATTTTAATTGAGTTTACTAATATAAACTCTACTCTAGCTAATGATTATTTTAACAAATGAAAATACAAAATAATATTATAAAACCACCTTTGATTCATATGCTGTAGCAGAATTCATGATAGGCATACATAATGGTGTTTCAAGTTTAGAATTCCAATAACATCCTGTGTGAGTGACACATGATTGACAGGAATGTAAATGACTACATCTCATGTGATCAGTATTATCATTACTACACTGATATTCAGATGTTATTGGCTGATAAAATTTGAAAATTATTACAAAAATTATTTATTCAAAATAAATAAATTATAAACATACTCGTTCACTATTAAATGGCATTCCTTCTTGTGCACATTGGTCAACATCATGAATACAAGAATTTGATGAGGGACACCAACCACAACGATGAGTGTGTACACAAGACTCACAAGTGGTCTGTTGTTTACATTGAACATAAATTTCTTTTACTTGAGATCTACTTTCTTCAGGACATCGACTTAAGATTTCACAACAGAAAAATTTTTTAGCAAGGTAATTCAATACAAATATTAAAAATATAATTAGAAATAGTTTTTGATAGGTATACTATAAGAATATAATCATGAAATAAACAGCTAAATAATTATAACTAAAACTATTACCTATAAGTTGACTCATAATCTAAGCCTGGAGCATTTATGGTAATTTCAGAGAATGCTAAACAAGCTGATTTCTCATGATCCCATATACATTTAACACCGAAATGACGACTATTCAAACAATTGTTTATCATATTATTTGATGAACAATTTCCAGGAGTAAATCTAATAATAATACATAAAATTAATCTGCAAGTTCTTAATATTTTTAATTGTATACTCACTTTAATATATCATTTAACATTTGTCCATTAAATCCACCATATATATAAGTTGACTTTTCAAATGTTATTGCAGAATGTCCAAATCGCATGACACTCGTGAATAAATTTGAGGGCAATGTTATTTGTACCCAAGAATCACAATAAGTATCATACAATAAAGGTTCAGAAGCATAACAATGGGCATCTGACACCATAGAATTTAAACCAGTATCATTATGAATATTTCCACCATAAACTAACATCAAACCTCCAGATGAACTTAACATTGAACCACTATGTAAAAATCTACCATTTGGTCCATTGCTCATTAAATACCTAATTAAAAATATAGAAATAATAATGACTGATTGTAATAGTATAAAATCAAAAATTAAATTTTTTGAGTATAGTACAAGAATGTTTGATAATCATAAAACTAGGCTGAATTATTTTTCAAAAAAACCTTAATCAATAGCTAATTAACATAAATACTAAAATAAATTATTATGTAATAGCATTTTAATAATAGGTAAACATTTTACAAAATTATTTATAAATGAAAATTTATAATAAATATAACATTTTTTGGAGAGTTCTAAAATGCATTAATAAAAAAAATTGTATTTTAATGTAATTACCATTTATGTGTATAAGGATCATATGAATACAACTTAGAAGATAAGGCAGATTGTAATGGACTCATTGACACATAACCACCATAAACTAGTATACGTTCAGTTACAGGATCCCATGCAGCACTATGACCATAACCACCTTTAACTGGATAACCTTTGGTTTTTACAACGGCCCATTCTCTTGTACCTAAAATAAGTTTAAAATAAGTTAACAGTTACATAATAAAAATCAAATAATTTATCCTACCAAAATAATATTCTTGCACAAAATTTAAAAAACCATAGGTAGGAGAATGTCCAAAAATAACTATCATTCTTTCTGTTATATAACGAGAATTTGATCCAGGTGAAGTAGATTGCTGAATTAATGAAGAAGGTGGTACTAATGTCGCTGTATGTCCTGAACTTCGTAAGGGACCACAAAGAGCTTGATTTGTAAAACCATTGTTTAATAAATTACGTTCACAAGAACCAGTATTAACTGTAACGTTTTCCCAAGATTTGGCATTAATATCATATGCCCACAACTCGTTACATACTGTACCATCGCTTTTCACTCCACCATAAACATAAATTTTATCCTAAACAAATATTAATCTTATTTTTTTATAAAAAAAATGTATTTTGAATACATACACCAAATAATACAGATGAGTGGCCATAACGTATGGTTGGGGTTGTTTTGCTTATGACATGGGGAGTTTCCCATACATGACCTAAAGTTCAGTTATAAATAAAAATACTGAAATTTATTTTAGTATGTGTATATTTTTACCATTAAAATCATAAACATATAGCATATGCCCTTTTTTAAAAGACTCTCCTCCAACTATGTACATTGAATCTTGCCAAACAACAGCTGTGTGAGAAGCAGATCCTTGTGGAATAAAATCACTAGTTTTAAGTACTTCCCAATATCCATGTTCAGCTACTTGACTGCAATCATCTCCTGAAATTGTTCAAACTATTTGTTTATAGAAGTTATATAAAAAATATAACTTATACTAAATAAATGAAAATAAAATCATAAAGAAATGTTTAATGAGAAATACCTCTATATTTTGGTTGACATACACAACAATGTAGTTCTCTATTACATTCACCATTGCTAGCAGTACAGTTATTTGGACAAATAGGAATATGGCATGCCTTACCAATGAAATTAGCATTACATGTACATACAGAATCAATACATACACCATTTCCTGAACATTCAGCTGATGATGTAGAACTAGGACATGAATTTAAACTGAAAAATGTAATACATTATAAAACAGTATAATATAAAGAGTTATGATGAAATATAATAAACTACATTTATTTTTTCAAATATATACCTATAAGTAATATTAAATCCAGATAAATTATATGCTATATCACTATAAAAATGTAGCAATGCAAATCCTGAATGAGCAACTACTTCTGGTACACTTTGTAGTGAGTAAGATTTTGTATACATCAAGCCACTTTAATTAAACAATAATCAATTATATTATTTTATTTTCAATTGAGTAAATAATTATTTAATTTATTCCAACCTGTAAACTCCAAGCAATGGGGAGTGTACACTGTCGCCATCATAAATGTATAAATGATCCCAACCACATTCAGTATTAAATTCTTCAAAATGTAATCTTATAGTTGAATTAGTAGAATTACCAGCTTCAATAAGCCAACTACATTTAACATCTAAAGAGTAATTTCCAATGCCATCAGATATGAAGCCAGAAGTTCCATTCAGTCTAAATTAATACGAAAACATACTTCAGTCAGAATTTTATAACAGTGAACATTTTAACAGAGTTAAAAATTAAAATTTACTTTTCTTTATTTAATTATTAAATATTTTACAAAACATTACAAAGTCATCTATCTATATACAAAAATACTAAATCTACTTAGGTTGGGTCTTATTTTTCATTAACATTCTATCTTTAAGCTCATACATCACCTTATTTGAAATATTTAGTTATAACTACTTATTTTTGACTTTAGTATTTTAGTTTTATAATCAAAATAAATTTTTATGTTAAAAAAAAACTCAAGTACATATAGAAACACAACTTATGTCTGTGAACTTAGAATAGTATCATTTAAGAATTATTAAAACATGATAAAACTATTTTTGAAATTAATTTTTTTATATAATTTGAACTATTTTAAATTATATAATAAAAAATTATTCTTCATATGTATGTAAAAACAAAAACTTATTTTACTTCTTTATTTTCATTGAAGAATTAAATAAATTTGTACATTTTAAAAATATAGTCAAAACATAATTAAAATAGCAACAAATAAAATTATATTTTATTAGTAGAGTTGAAATGACCCACATTTTATTTTATATTGATTGTTTTATATTTATTTATACTCACTTGACTTTACCACCACAATATTGACATTGATTTCCTTGCCATCCATCGTAGCATAAGCAAGTTCCATTTTGACAAACCCCATTACCGCAATCTAAATCTTTGCATTGATCTTGATTGCAATTTATAGTAGAAATCAAAAAAGACACTAGCATTAATGTATAAATAAACCTAAATAACACCCGTTTTCGCCGGTATTTTGATTTAAAAAGAAACAAAAACATGTCCACCAAAGCTTTCATGCGACTGAAAGCACTAAAAACTTTGGTCAGGACGATTTTTCACTTTATTATTGTTTACTACGGCAGTGTCCCAATTCGTTTCTGTGTGTATCAACGTATCTATATCTCTCTCGCACACACATCACAGGTTATACAGTTATCCATACGTAGCGCAAATGTATTGTGAAGGTATTAATGTTGTCAAACTGATAGTGCGATTTAATGTGATAACAGTGAAAAACAATAAAGGGAACATTGCTTCGCAAAAAGTGATAAGAACGACGAATCAAATATAATAAAATTATCGTTATGACACAGCAATGTAGAATTATTTTAGTATACTATAAGCCATTGGGTGACTGTCCTATGAACTAGAGATGGAAAGTTTAGTTCATTTCTGTGAATAGTTCATTAGTTCATTAGTTCATAGTTCATTCAAGTGAATAGTTCAAATGAACTATTCTTAAGTTCACTAATTTTATTGATCATGCTAATATTGTTTGGCAATGAACTATTCATTTTATCACTATTAGTATAGCAGTACACAGTTCAGTTGTAGTTCACACTACTTATGGGCAATTAAGTTATAAACTAACCCTTAACCTGAACATCATAAACTAAGAAAAAATTATTATCAATACCCTCATGGCTCATGTTATCATTATCACCTAATTCAAGGTAGATATATTGACCAGTAGTCCTAAGTTAAATCAGAATTCTGATCTAATATTTGTACATAGTATGAATTTATTTTATTGTTAAACAGTTAAAAACTGTGTAACATTTTAACAATATAATTTATTTGTTATCTAATTGTAAACAGCTATTAACCATTTACAGTATTTCGAACAACGAACCACAGAGAATTTTTAAAGAAGTTCGCGAACTATTTCATTTATACATTGCTACCAATTTTTTTCGAACTGTGAACTGTTAAGTTACAGGTACTGAAACAGTTCAGAATAGTTCATCTAAGTGAATAGTTCAAATGAACTATTCGTTCACGAACTTAACATCTCTACTATGAACATGGTAGCTATTTAACCCCATTGATTACTGATAGAAATGTATTCTTATCTTTTTATATTATGTACAATATAAACCCGAAATTTCCACAAAAATAATTTTTATTAATGACTTGTAATTTTTTTTAAATACTAGTTTTTAAATAATTTGTAAGTACTTAAACAGTTTTAAAAATGAGTGTAGATATGGCCGAAGAAGGACAAGTAAGAATTGAATATAATTAAATTGGATATTAATATACAATATCTTAACTTCCTGATACATCAATACCATTATTTCATAATTTACATGATTTTTTCATATTCTCTATTTTAATTTTTATATATTTTGTCATTATACAACTTTTAGTTTTAAAACTAATCTTAGCATTTTTTAAAATTACTTATTGTGCAAGGTTGCATAGTTTTCTTTTATTAATATCATATTGAATTTTATGATATAAAATCGAGCATCATACAGCCTTGAAAATGGTTACAACTAATATGCTTAAAAGGATGCAGGTTAAGAGTAAATAATATTTATTTAATAATTAATATTTAATATATGTTCATAAAAAGTACTTATATAATTTTAATATGACTGAAAAATTAGATAATATACAGATTAATTTGATTGTTATTAATTGTATTATATTTTAGTTTAAGTTTACCATTTCAAATTATATTTTATATTTCACAATTACCTTGTGGATTGCCTAGTTATTTATTTATTTTCTTTATGATTTTATAAGATATTAATAATATTAATGATGTTCTTTTCACTATTTTTTACTGATACAATTCTTGATTTGATCATATTAACATTAATATCTTAACATGTTCACCCATTAATAATTAATAACTTTTTGTTCATAAAAAGTTTTATGCTCACATAGTTTTATCTGTTATTATTGTCTTTTTTTAACTTTATTGGAAGTAATTTGATGGTACCTCCTCTCCTCTTTGATATTATTAAAACTTTTAAATTGTAATTATTTATTTTTGAAGATTTATTATAGTTTTTTTATCTTACGAGTTCTAAATTTGATTGGGTTTTCAATGCTGACCTCATCAAATTTTTAGGTTCTGTAATAATTTTTCAATAAGTCCTTTAATAAAATATTATATAGATCAAATAACTGAATAGATATTGTAAAAAAATTTGAAAAACACAAATTATTTCAGTAATTTATTTTAGTTAACCAAACCAACAACAATTTTGTTTTATTATATACAACTTTTTTATTGGGTTTAAATTCATAAAACTATTATTAAAACTAAGAAGTTAAGTACTACTGATTATATAAAAGAATTTATGGTCAATCAAAAATGTACTTAGATTAAGTGTTTAATTTTGTCTTGTTCTTTAATTATAGAGTATTTTGTTAATAGGATGACGAGACTGTAGGATATGGTGGTTGTGAAGGACCCGATGCAATGTATGTTAAGTTAATATCAAGCGATGGTCATGAATTTATTGTAAAACGTGATCATGCCCTCATGTCTGGCACTATCAAAGCTATGTTAAGTGGACCTGGTCAATTTGCTGAAAATGAAACTAATGAAATTCATTTCAGAGAAATACCGTATGTTAAATAGGCTAGAAATATCAGCTAAAATCAGTTAATAGGCTAGAATTTAATATGTTAATAATTTTAATTTTAGATCTCATGTTTTACAAAAAGTTTGTATGTACTTCACCTATAAAGCTCGTTATACAAATAGCTCTACTGAAATACCAGAATTTCCAATCCCACCTCAAATAGCTTTAGAATTGTTAATGGCAGCCAACTTTTTAGATTGTTGAACTAATGTTTATCAATCAATTGTGAACATGATTAATAATATTTTCCATGATAATTTCAGATTCATCTATTTATATAAAAAATCTTTGTATAATTTTAGAAGTTAAAAAATATTAAATGTATGAATTTAGAAAAAATAGTTTAAAGTACTTTTGTAAAAAAATCTAATAAATAACAAAAAATAAATTAATATTGTTTATCTGTTTTATTATTTGTAACTGAAGACTGTACAAGATACCAGACTTTAAAATAATGTAAAAATTGATGTAACAACTGCTATATATTCTATAATATTTAAAAAATAAAAAATTATACACTTTTTATAATTATATATGTATCTAAATAATATAATAATTAAAATAATTTTGAAATTTTCTTTTAAAAGGTAAATTAGTTGCTTAATTTTTTGATACTCTTTAAAACTACATGTATAGAGTTGCAACACCATAGATCGCTGTAACCTATAATATGAAAAAAAAAAATTAACATTAGATAAGAATACATAAAAAAACCACTTTTATGCAGCAACCACATTGTACTGGTTTTTTTTTTATAATTTGATTATAGGATTAAGTTAATAGTTAATAGTTGCTTATAGGATTATATACATTATCAACTGTCAAAAAAGTTGATGTGTTAGATTTTAAAATAAATATTTTATTTAAATAATTAATAAAACTATCTTTTTATCTTAATCTCTATTTTTATTTTTACTAAAAAATTATTGGATAACTACCACAATCATTTGAAGTTTTATAAAACATATCTTTTTTTGGAAATAAGTTAACGTCTTGATATTTTTCTATATTTTGTAGATATAAATTTGTCCAAATAAATCGACTTCTATGTCTGACATCATGCACATGCATTCCTACTAGTGTAGGTCGTGTGTTATTACAAAATCTAAAAATTATTTATTATTATACTAGATAATTTTTAACATTTTATTTAAAATATATACCTAGTTATTATTTTTTGTTCTAAATATGTAATTGATGCACTCGTTTCAAATACCCATATAAGGGAATTTTCATTTTTATGATGTGTGTTTTCAATTATATTTTTTATTCTAATAAAATCAAAAAACTCTTCTAAAACACCATTTTCATCTAAAAAATAAATTGTATTCTATATAATAATTTAAATTCAAAAGTCTATTTACATATTTATTTTTTTTATTTTTAAGACAAAATTGTGTTTATCTTTCATACTAAAATTGTCTACTGTACTTAATAATATATTATAATAACTTTATATACTTAAAAAAAAAAATGTTTTCGAAATTACATAAATTGTAAAACTTAAATAATATAGATATTTTTTCAAAATAATTTAAAAGTAAAATTTAAATAAGTATCCAAGACTGATACAAATGATAAAATCAAAAAATAGTACTTACCAAATTTTTTTAAATCATTTTCATCACTTATATTAGGATAATATTTCATTAGTATATTAAAAGAACTTTTTTTTTCTAATAAATCAGAAGTTGTAATATGCAAATCATCTTGAATGTTACATGTACAGTCTTTGCCATCATTTAAACAATAATTGAATACTTTACATTGCCATTTTAATAACTCTAACACTTTTGATACTAACAACCATTTTCATTTTTAATAAACAATTCTTATACATTTTAATAGAATACTAACAAAAACTTACTTATATCAGAATTATGTTTCAAAACTAAAATACTTATTTCTATAGGATTTATTCTAATTTTATTTTTCTTGATTACTGGGTACAATTCATACACCTGCAATTATAACTTTTAAAATTATTAAATCTTAAAATAAAAATTAATTAAATAAATACATTTTGTAATTGTTCAAAATTTGTTCTTCTGACTAGTCCACTTATAATACTATTTGGATATTCATTACAAGCAAAACAACTCCAAGGACTTTTCCTTAATATTTCTTTTAAACCACCTTGTCCACAATAGATATTCAAACATACTGTACAGTAAGATCTATGAAATAAAATATATTGATGGTACATAATTATGATATGATATATTTTTAATAAGACTCATACCGTATACAAACATCACACAATACTAATTCATCATGCTCTAAAGAAACACACACACAACACACAGGCTATAATAGAAACGTAACTATTATTAGAAACTAATCAAATGTTTAACATTTCTAATATAAAAATTAATATCCATAAATTATTACAGAATTATGAGTAGTTAGCATTTATAAAAATATAATGTCTGATTGAATGAACTGAAATTTAAATTATTTATATATATATGTAACCGTATGTACACCATTGAAAATATTTTATATATTTTAAAGTATTTTAAAGTAAAACACTGGCTTTCGTAATTTTCAATTAAGCTTAAGATATAAAACAAAATCTTTCATTAAACTTAGCCAGTTAGTTAATAAAATTCATAAGTATGCTTAAACCCTAATAATATGAGTTGGACTTCAAACTATTAAATCTATTTAAATTTTTGCGAATTTCTCTAAATTAATCAGATTTAAATATAAGTAAATTACGAAACAATAAAAAATGTTTATTATACATAAGTTTTACATGCTTATTTAATTTAACTTACATTTGAGCTATCACTAGCAATTGGCATCAATAAATCTTTTACTCGTTCCTAAATTTTTGATATAATTTAATACAAAAGTTTATAGGATTAAACTTTTTATAAAATTATAACTTACAAAACAAATTTTACATAATGATCCATGAAATAAAGGATGATTATAAGTCAAATCTTGAGAAGCAATACGACATGATAAACAATAACGATATTCTATTTTAGCTGTAAAATCATCAAAACATTTTAAAAAACTAATATAAATATATATACCTAGTACAATTTTAAATTAACTAATTTTATACTAACTTGAATTAACATGCTCAATTAAAAATATTGTTTTTAATATACTTAAATGCTAATACTATATTTATTAATAATAGGAATAGTAGTATTAGTAATGTTGGTGTGACGACTATTTTATAATAGATAAAAAAACAATTCCATTAATTTCATAATTATAAAAAATACAATGAGTATTACTGATTAAGTAGAAGACAAATTAAGTGATACATTAAGTGCTGTTTATGAACCCAATCCTACCAAATAAATAATTTGACATCAAAAAAAATTATAACATTTTTTTTTCTTATTGTATTTATAAATCCCAATATAAACATTTTTTGCCAAGCTTAGTGTGAAAAATTTCTAGTAAAAAAATACTTGTATAATTTATAAGATTTTTAAACACTATAAAAATGTAGTATAGTGCTAAGTAAATTGAATATAAAACACATTTATTCTATCTCAATAATTAATTTACTTAGCAAGACCTTATATTTACAAATAAACTTCTATTTACAATGGACATGTATTAAAATATTTGAAGTATTAGAATGAATTATTCTAATAATTTAAATTTAGTATTTAGACTTACTTATTATTATTATTATTATTATTAATTTTATTAGCTTTTTTTNAATTTTAGCTTCAATGCAAAGCTGAGAAAGTATTAATTTTATTAGCTTTTTTTTTTGTGTCTGTTATCACTTTTTCTCAGCTCTCACCGAACTACTGATTTCTTTCAATAATACGTCAAAAGATCACAAATTGTATTTAGTCAAAGACATTAACCTCAAAAATTGAAAGAATTGCCTTAATTCCCCGTAAATGGTGGAAATCTCTAAAAGAATTACAAATTTAAAAAACGCTAATTTACGTCATTTTTTCAATTTTTTTTACTAAAACTGCCTTAACTTTTTTAAAAATTATCAAATCAATGTAATTTTTTTTTATAGATCCATGAGATATTTACCTATCATTTTATATATATTTTTATAAATCTGACCCTTTACCTGCCCACAGGGGAGGATTTAAAATGACAACTTTTTCACAAAATTAATTTTTTCAACTTGACTTTTGAAAATGTTCCGAGAAGTCTGACACTTTTATATATATATTAAATTAAAGCTAATGTAATGTACTTTATTATGGAAAAAAAAATTTCGGACTTTATTTTATCTTCACGGTGAAAATGGCTACCAAATGCTATTTTTGTGTGAAAAATTTCGATTTTGTATTTTACATTTTTAACTTTATTATGCTATAACTTTTTGAAAAATGTATGGATCAACATAATTTTTCTATAAGAAATACTATTTTTTAATAATCCCTTTTTCATTCGACATACTTTTTCTTAATCAGGATATTAATAAGGAACTAGCAGTTTATGAAGCTTTTGGAATAATCCACCAATTTTTTTAAAATTAAACACTATCTAAAGATTTGCATCGAAGCCTTTTTTTTTATAGTGATTTTAATCACTGTCAGATATTATTATACTTGATTCAACTATGCCATGTCACCACTGTGCCGCGACCCCCCTGTGCTGGGTTTTTTAAAATATTCTATTTATTTATTTAATATATTTAATTTTTTTTTAAATATTTTTGTATTATTTAATTTAAGGTTTAAATTATATTCAAATCAAATAAAATATATATTTTTTTTTGATTAATATAAAATATATAGGTCTTTACCTCTACAAGGCCAACTTTCAAATAGTATTGAAATGTCATTACACCATAGCAATTTATTTTTATATAAAATTTAAGATCCTTTAAAATTAAATATATATATAATATAAAGAAATAAACACAATACTGGTTTACTAGTATACAAAGGGGATAAAATATGGTCTAAAGCGTTGCTTTCAGCCAATGTTTTCAAAATTACAAAAGTATAATCTGCATATCATGCACAAACTATTGAAACTACACATAAAACAATTTATTAGATTAGTAATGGGTGAACTCTAACTTTTGTTATAGACTGCGTCCCACCAGATTTTAACATCTTTAAGAACTTTTGATCCAGTGATAATTTTGCGTTATTTTTTAAACTTTTTTTTAAAAAATTTTGACAATATTAAAAATATATTTTTTATTATTTAAAATAAATAATAAAAACGGTAGCACAGTGGGGTCGTGGCATAGTGGAGACATTGCATAGTTGGGTTCAGTATAGATTTAATCTGACAGTGATTAAAATCACTATCATAAGAAACGCTTCGATGCAAATCTGTAGATAGTGTTTAATTTTAAAAAATTGATGGATAATTGCAAAAGCAACATCAACTTCTATTAAAATAAAATACAAAACCCANCCACATCAACTTCTATTAAAATAAAAAACAAAACCCATAATTTTCATACAAAAATAGCATATTTTTGAATATGGTAGCCATTTGCGTATAGAAGATAGATCGTCGGGACAAATTTTTTTTTTTCATTTTGTAGTACATAAAATAAGCTTTAATTTTATATATGTTTAAAGGACGCAGTATTTCCGGAACATTTTCAAAAATTAAGTTGAAAAAGTTATTTTTTGTAAAAAAGTTACTATTTTAAATCCTCCCAGTGAGCAGAATAAGTGTTAGATTTTCAAAAAAAATTATATCAAATGAAAGGGAAATATCTAAGGTTTCAATACAAAAAAATATTATTTTTATTTGTTCATTTTTGAAAAAGTTATGGCAGTTTTAAGTACAAAAAACATCCCGATAAAATGTAATTTTTATCGCAAACATTACATTTTTTTTTAAATTTTCGACAGCCATTTGCACATAGAAGATAAGATGTCGGGACAAATTTTTTTTTTTCATTTGATAGTATATAACATAACCTTTGATTTGATATATGTTTAAAGGACGCAGTATTTCCGGAACATTTTCAAAAGTTCAGTTGAAAAAGATCTATGTTTTTTACAATATTTTAAGTTTTGAACGCCCCCTATATAAGGGGAAATTGTCCAATTTTAATAAAAAGTATGTCAAATGAAAGATGTACTTATAATGTATTTAGAAAAAAAAAATTTGTGCTGATATATACATTTTTCAAAAAGTTATAGCATTTTTAAGTTGAAAATTTAAAATCGAAAATCGAAAATTTTAACACAAAAATAGTGTTTTTTTAACTACGGCAGCCGTTTAAATGTAGAAAAAAAAGTGTCGGGACAAATTTTTTTTTTTCATTTTGTAGTACATAAAATAAGCTTTAATTTGATATATGTTTAAAGGACGCAGTCTTTCCGGAACATTTTCAAAAATTAAGTTGAAAAAATTAATTTTTGTAAAAAAGTTGCCATTTTAAATCCCCCCCAATGAGCAGGTTAAGTGATAGATTTTCAAAAAAATGATATCAAATGAAAGGTAAATATCTAAGGTTTTAGTATAAAAAAAAATTATGTTGATTTGTTGATTTTTCAAAAAGTTATGGAAGTTTTAAGAAAAAAAAGTGAAAAAATTTCGAAAATTAGCGATTTTTAAATTTGTAATTTTTTTGGATATTTCCCCCATTTGCGGGGAACGAGGGAATTTTTTTCAATTTTTAAGGGTAATGTCTTCAACTAGATACGATTTGTGATCTTTTGACGTATTTTTGAAAGAAATCGGTCCAGTGAGAGCTGAGAAAAAGTGGCAACAGACATAAAAAAAAAAAAAAAACACATCTTAGTAAAATTAATACCTTCTCCGCTTCGCATCGAAGCTAAAAATATTATTATATTTTAATTTTTTTGATATTTCAAAATACCCATTGTATACCCCTTTACTTACAAAAAATTTTGATGGGTCTATATCAACTTTATATTAAATACTAATTGAGTTACAAGCATTTTAATACAAAGAGAAGGTATGCAGTACGTGTGGGTTCAGCTCTGCTAATGAGTATTTATAACACATTCTATTTTTTAAAATTTCCAAAAAATTAAAAACCAAAATAATTTTTTTATTATTAAAAATAAATAATAAAAAATATATTTTTAACATAATCCAAATTGTAAAAATTAAAGAAAAAGCTTATGAAACTCAAAAAAAAAAAAAAAAATTATATCAGAAATAGTAGAAGGCTAAACTATAGGTTCTACAGCACGTAATGGAGACGAAGATCACAAAAGAGTGTACAAAAATACTTTTCTTGACATTTTTACTATCAGTCAACAAAAAATAATTTATCTTACTAATAAAGAGAAAGTTAGTTTCACCACTTTTAATGATAAACGCAAAAGGAATAAGAATATTATAGTCTATTCATTCAGGACATTTTACAAACGATATCTAATATCGTATAATATCTAATAGCTTAAAGTAAAAACTGCGCGGGTAAACTTAAAAATAGGAAGCTTCTTTCCCTATATATTTGATTAGTTGCTAATGGTACATTTAATACGATTGGGCATAAATTTTAATATCAGGGCATAGTTACTCTATTTTAGATAGAGAATTTGCCAACATTGAAAAACATATGAATAATTTAAATTACACAATGTGGATGATGTAAAATATGTAATAATCAGTCTCAGACTTAACTGGTCGTTTAAAGTCATTGATATGAAATATAAAGCATTTTTAAATTCTGATACTGCTTCAGCTAAATTTGAGGATATATATTAGAAAAGCTTGGAATAAATTTGGTCATTGGTTAAGAGTAACAAATGATAACCTAAGCTTCATATTTTCTAAAAAAAACATTAATATTCTACTTCCATTTCATAAGTGTCAAATTATTAAATGAGAAGTACAGATTGAACATATCACTAACACAGAAAATGTCTTCCAGATTTGGTATCCAAACAATGATGAAAATGAATGGATGAAGAAAATCAGTTGTATTATAAAAGATTTAAAAAATGACTAGACTGTTGAACTTGGATCATTTTGGGTCAACCAAAAATAAAAATAGATACTTTCTGTAAAAATTATAATAAAACAATGATAGGACTGTGTGGACATGGCATAGTTGAAACAAGTATAGATGATATCTGACAGTGATTAATATCATTATCCTAAGAAATGTTATGATGCAAATCTGTAGTGTTCATTTTTAGAAATTGGTGGAATATTCCAAAAGCAAAATTAACTCCTATTTTTTGTTCTACTTTGACTGCCATTTGCACATAGAAAAAAAATTGTTACTTCTCCAACAAACATGTATAAAATTTAAATAGTTTGATGCAATGCTTTTCAAAAAAAAATTTTTTTGTTACTTATAAATAAATACACCGGTCTACAAGGAATTTTCATCAGTGACTACAATATACTTTTCTAGATCAATTTATTGCACAGATTCAAAATACGTAATTAGATATTCTCTATCATCTTTAATTTTTAAAATTAATACTAATTAATAAAAAACGAGTAAGAACAAATAGAAGATATAGGTTAAAATTAAATTTACTAACATATTGTCAGACAAAATCATAAGTAAAACTACATACAAAATATTTCTGAATATCACTATATTAAAGAATAATATAGAATATAACTATACAGAATAGAATTCTCTACTTTTTTAATTCTCAGTTTTCAGTTCAACATCTACTTAAACACCAAGAGTTATGTAGAAATGATTTATTACAACAAAAATAGCGATTTTAATGAAATTTTGTATTTATTTCATACACTTAACATTAATAGTAATTATATAAAAGTTCCTAAAAACATCACATTAATCAAAACAATACAATTTTTTTTTTTCGTAAATGTATCTATTTAATGATATCAATTTCACACTTGTTTAAAGCAAGTTTAATTAAAAAAAGTTTAACATTTTTAAGTTATAAGGTTTCATAAAAATAAACTATAAAAAACTAAAAAAATAGGTGCTTCTCTCTATTTCAACCACCCTTAATTATGTATGTTAGTAAGTATGTGTTTTATATACTCATCAATAGCACCGTTCTTTTACCCACCTTGGTGCACTCCAACTCTTACTCTAAAACCTTCTGTTACTCCTCCCACACTTTTTACCTTGGTACAATAGCCATCATACATATTTTCTATTATATTAATGTACCTTTTTCGAACTCCATTTCTCATTAATGCCCACTTTAAAACCTCTCTCAGTACTTTATCATGCTTTCTCAAAATTTATAAATATTATATCTATAATACACAGCTTTTTTTTCTTTTTCCTACACTTTTCCATTAATTGTCTTACATAAAATAATGGCTCTATTTTTGACTTACCAGACATAAATCGAATTTGGTTTTTTTAACCTTTTCCCAAATTTTCATACTATAACTCATAAGTTCATGCTTCTATATTTTCCACACTCTTGTATGTCTCTTTTACCTTTAAATATGGGCACCACAATACTATTCCTCCATTCATTTGGCATTTCCCCTTCTAATAAGATTTTATTTAAAAGATCTTTTAACCACCTTTAAGGCATAATATGCCAACACCGCCTAATACATTCCATACTTCTACTGGTGGTTTATCTCAACATACTATTTTATTCTTTTTCCGATGCAATACTTTATAAAAAAATTTTTATTTACTTATGAATAAATAAATTAGTCTACATCAGTGGTCGGCAACCGGCTGCCCGTGGGCCGGATGCGGCCCGCGTGGCTATTGAATACGGCCCGCTTTAAATTCTAAATCGACTAATTTAATTGAATATCATTTTGTATAAATATAATTGAACGTTGCGTTTTTGGTACGGGTATTTTATATAACATATTTTATAATGATAGATATACCTTGACAATTACCGATTAGATAATAATATTACCGATAATAAGTACATGTATATTTAACTTATAATCTCAGTTTTCGATTCTTTTCAGTTACGTTGCGTTTTTCGTACGGGTATGTGATGTTTGCATCGTCTGTAGCTTTAAATTTCTATAATACTGCAATTTATATTTTATATTTATAGTGATCGTTTATTTGGCCATTAATTTAAATTTTAAACGAATAATAATAATGCACGTTAATAAACAAAGAAAAATAGATTCTGAATGTCAAGTTTTTAAAAATAAATTAACATTATCCAACAACAAAAATCACATTAAGCATTTTACCAATACATTACATTCATACTTTCATATTATAAATATATTAAAAACTGTAATTTTTATTTTATACATTTTATTATTTTAAGTTTTAGATAGTATTTTTTTGCATAATAAACAATGTAATTATAAATTTTTTTTTTTTATCTGGCCCGCGAACTCTTTTTAATTTGTAAATGTGGCCCGAGAATTAAAAAAGGTTGCCGACCACTGGTCTACATAGAACTTTCATAGGAATCAAAAATATACTTTTCTAAATCAATTTTTCGCAATGTTTTCAAATTTGAAATTAGACTTTTTCCAACACTAACTATTTGATATTATTACTAACTATTAAAAAATGAATATTTACATATATAAAAATAATTAAAAACAAAAAAAAAAAATTGTTTTTAAATTATTAATGATTTTGATTTTCAATATGTTAAAAATAATACTGCAGCCATTTTCACCACGAAAATAATGTAGTTAGAATTTTTTTTTAAATTAAAAATGTATATTGCATAAGTTTTAATTTAAAATATGTATAAAAGTATCAGCATTTCTGAAACACTTTCAAAAATTTAAATTTTTGTAGAAAAGTTATCATTTTAGATCCCCCAATGTGGGCAGGTGAATGGTCAGATTAAAAAAAAAACCCAGCACAGGGGGGTCGCGGCACAGTGGTGACATGGCATAGTTGAATCAAGTATAATAATATCTGACAGTGATTAAAATCACTATAAAAAAAAAGGCTTCGATGCAAATCTTTAGATAGTGTTTAATTTTAAAAAAATTGGTGCATTATTCCAAAAGCTACATGATCTGCTATTTCCTTATTAATATCCTTAATGAAAAAGGGATTTCTAAAAAAATATTATATCTCATAAAAAAATTATGTTGATCCATACATTTTTCAATAAGATATAGCATTATAAATTTAAAAATGTAAAAAATAAAATCGAGAATTTTCACACGAAAATAGCATTTGGTAGCCATTTTCACCACAAAGACAAGTCCAGAGGTCAAATTTTTTTTTTTCATAATAAAAAATATTACATTATCTTTAATTTAAGACATATATAAAAGTGTTAAACTTTCTGGAACATTTTCAAAAGTCAAGTTGAAAAAGTTTTACTTTCTCTATGCATTTTTATGTTTTGAACCCCCCCTGTATTAAGGGAAATGGTCCGATTTAAAAAACAAGTATGTCGAATTAAAGAAGTATATAAATATTATGTCTCATAAAAAAATTGTATTGATACATACATTTTTCAAAGAGTTATAGCGTTATAAAGTTAAAAATATGAAAAAGAATTTTTTTACAAAAATCTTATTTTTTTTATTAACTTCGATGACTGTTTTCACTATGAAAACAAAATAAAGTCCAAAATTTTTTCCATAATAAAGTACATTACATTATCTTTAATTTAATATATATATATAAAAGTGTCAGTATTTCCGGAACACTTTCAAAAGTTAAGTTAAAAAAGTTAATTTTTTGTGAAAAAGTTGTCATTTTAAATCCCCCCTTGTGGGCAGGTTAAGGGTTAAATTTATGAAAAAAATATACCAAATGAAAGGTAATGATATTATGCATCTATATAAAAAAGAATTATATTGATATGTTTATTTTTGAAAAAGTTATGGCACTTTTAAGTAAAAAAANAGGTAATGATATTATGCATCTATATAAAAAAGAATTATATTGATATCTTTATTTTTGAAAAAGTTATGGCAGTTTTAAGTAAAAAAATTTCGAAAATTAGGGATTTTTAAATTTGTAATTATTTTGGAGGTTTCCCTCATTTACGGGGTACGGGGGATTTTTTTTCAATTTTTGAGGGTAATGTCTTTGACTAGATACGATTTGAGATCTTTTGACATATCGTGGAGAGATATTGGTTCGGTGAGAGCCGAGTTGTAAATGCTTAGTCATCAGTCTTTTTTTAAATAATTATTATATTTAATATTTAAATTTCAACAAATTTTACTCTTTATTAAAATATGTCCCACTTATTACCATACTTATTGTTTTTATCTTATCATATTACATACCATAATAAATGAGTATTTATCCTATAAAATTTTTTAAATAAATGAAGTAAAAGATATTTTTTACTTACAACTGTGTTGAATTTTAGTGTTCTTTTTATTGCGTCTTGGGTGAATAAAATTGTTTTCAAGATTTTTTTCAATTGTCAATTTAATATTTTTACCATTTAAACATCTAATTTTATCTATTATGTCTCTTGGAATAAAATATTCTTCACCTCTTCTAAACTTACCTGCATTCAAAATAAATTTGAATTAATATCTTAAAAAATAATAATTTTGATAAACAATTAATGTTGTGTCGCTAGAAAAATTTGAAGTAAATAAAATCAAATTCCAATACTTAGATAATAAATACTATCAATATAGACTTAGGATTACTAAAATAATTTTTTTAATTTAATTTTAATTATTTAAAATATATTCCAGGAAAAAAATTCTTTTTAAGTTTTAATGATTAATACAAATATAACATAAAATTTAACTGTATAATGTTATTCATAATATTTAACTTCAATAAGAAATAAAAAAAATATTAGATCAACAAAAAACATTTTAATATGATAATGAAAACACATATTTTGTAGAAAATCACACATGTCAATTTAGAAGTCAAAATTAATTATTACAGTAAAATAAAATTAATGAAAAATAGAAATTTTTTTATTGTAACACTTAAAATATATATTTAAATAACTAGTATTATAGAAAATATAATATAGTCTAGAAATGGTAGTTGTAAGATCTTCTTAATAAAAACCTAATAAAAGGGAAAATGTCTAGACTTATTTTTTTATATAACTGGAAAAATTTGTATTCGTACATAAGTGTTCAATAGAGTTAAAAACATTCAGCTCGAAATATTCATTTCACTTTTATGATTTTTTCAAGTCTTACTGAATAATATTTTACTACTCGTGAAATATTTTAAACCAACACCCTACATATAATCACTAAAATAAAATAATTTAGGAATACAAACCCTTGTTACCTTAGAGTGAATCAGTAATATTCAATATTTAATTTAACTTTCATTACTAAACATTCTAAATTTTTTTTTTTTATAAAATTTACAATAAAAAAGGATATTAATCTATAATATTTTACAGCTATCTAATTTCAATACCTATCTTGTCTTTTGTTATCTCTTCAAAATGATTATTAGCCCAAGGTAACAAGGTATTACATTTTTCAAATAAATATGATGGTACCTCTACTCCAAATCTTATTAACAAAATCTGAAACAATAAAACAAATAAAATTTTTAAAAGTAATTTATATTTCAAAATTTTAATTGTTAAATAGAAATAATACTTTCACAGCATCCTCAATGCCTCTTCCACGTTGACCTGTTGCAAAACTTGAATACTTTTTAAATTCCAAACAAAAATCAAATATTAAATCATTTTTTAACTGAAAATATATATTTATAGTAAATTCTTTATAATTAATACCATAATTTGGTTGTGAAGTTGAGTTAATAAGATTCTTACATGAGAAAATGTATTGTGATTAAACCACCAGACCCAAGAATAACTTTCCTTTTCTTCAAAAATCAAGTCTAATTTTTTGGTAGATATAATCATAGCTAAAAAAATATTTATTGATTGATCCATAAAGAAATTTTTACTAAAATTTACCTATTAAATCCTAATTAAGATTACAGTTAATTACAATTTTACAATTAACTCAAAAATAATATTATAATGTATTTAAAAAGAATTATTAAGAACAACATTTCAATCCAACCTACACTAAAAACTTGATAGTACTTTATAATTCATTGTATAGATAAAAAACAATAATTATAAAAAACTTTTACTTTTAAAGGTACCATTCTTGTTTTTCTAAAAATAGAAATTAAGTTATTCATTATGAAATTAAATAATGTTGAGGTATTTGTTAAATCTTTTTAATTGTATATTTAAGGTGATTAAAATTTGTTTATTTATGTTATACAATTGCATAAAGATACATGTTCAAAAAAAATTATTTATTAATTTCAATTTTGATTGGCAAATTAACTAATAACAAGATATTAAAAAGAAAAAAAAATAATTATTTAGGACATATGTTCTTTTGCCACTGAATTTATTAACAATTATCAAATTACAAGATATTTTTCAATAAAACTTAAAATAAGAGATTCTTAATATTTATTTTTTAATAATAAATTTAATAAATAAAATATAAGAGAAGATTGTAAGTAGATTACAATTTAAATACTGTAAAAACTTTCAGTTTAATTTATTCATTTTTTAGTTACTAGAGGAAGCAATAAATTATAATTCATTGTTAGAGATAAATTAATTATAATGTACCAGCCCATGCATCTTCTTTTCGAGTTAATTTTCCCCAAACTATAAGTCCATGATCATGGTCTAGATCTATCTTCATTATGACACCAAAAAATATTCAAATATTCTCCAATAATTTCTGTAATTTAAAAGTAATTAATAACTTAACTGAAAGAGGTTCAGTTACAAATCTTTTATGTACATTAATTACATTAACGAACATTTTACAAGAATAATATCAAAATTTTAAATGAATATCGTTTGTTGAATTTTACTGGCTAAGTAATAAATATAATATTACTAGTGAATATAATATAGTGAAATAATATATTATTATTATATTACTAAGAAACAAAATAATTATATGAAGTTAATATCAAGTAAAAGTAATTATTACTTAAAAATCTAAATAAGTTTGAATTAAGTAATTTGAAATAGCTTGTTGAGGACAGCACGGCTATTTCGCATGACTAATAAATTAATGGTTAAGGCTACAAGCTATATAAAGACGCGTAATTTTCATTATAAGTTCCGAATCATTTAAAAATCATGGAAGTAAAAAAGACACTTCTAAGCATAGACAATGTCACAAAATGGCGTCATTATACGCTTTGTTTTATATTGAAAAACTACTAAAGCCTAATTTTAAACAAAATTATTAAGATGTTTTTCTATTCTACAAATATATGCCCATATAAAAATACACATAATTTATTTAACTTTGAGAAGTCTAAGTCCCGAAATTCACTCTAGATCGCGCCTATGTCAAATTAAAACCAAATAATTTAATATACTTTCTTACAAAAAAATAAAACTATATTTTGGTAAAAAATATCAAGTATATCTTTTTTATTTCTTCTTGACGATTTTAGTTCAAGAAGGTAGCACGGACACACATGCAATTCCCCAAAATCCCTAACTTTCATTAATAGTTGTGTTCAGTGACAGTTTCGGTTGAGAATAAATGAGTAAAAACCCTTTAACAAAAAAATAGAATATATTTAAATTAATTGTATACTAGATGAGGAAATAAGGACGACTGATATGTGCATCGATGATGTGGGAGATCGTGTCAAGTGGTAATTTAAGATAAGAGTTTATTTTAATAGTTTAAGACAAATAACTAGGATAGAAAAGAAAAAGAAAAAGGAGAAAAATGAAGAATTACATAGTAAATTAATAAACATTGTAAACCCAAATTACAAAACACAATTTACATTTATTGAAAACATCTTATTATAAAAAAAACATTGAAAAATTTGACAATGCTGGTAAAATTATTTAACGATATCCGATTTAAAATTTTGTTTTTTTATTAAAAGAGCTCAACGATTTTATCTTATAAAAATTATTCACGAAGATAAGAATACTTTTTTTAGCACACCATAAGCGTTTAAAAATTTATCAAAAAACGGGTGGCCTCTTACCGGAATCAATGATCTAACTGTATGAATACCCTTAAAGGCTTAACGCTCCGTAAGGAACCGGGTCTGGGGCAAAGCACCAGGCAAGCAAAACATAATAAAGATTAAATATAAATTCATAATAATATTTGCTAAAATTAAGACTCATGGATAATGAGTTATTATAAAAACGGTTTTCTTAAAATATGTTATAACGATCACTATTTTTCGAATAATAGCGCTATAAATAATTTTAATACAGCAATATAAGAATATCAAACAAAACTTATCTTTTTAATTTGTAATAATCCTGCGTCCTTTAAGTTATATTACATTTAATTCATTATTTGTCCTAAATATAAATAGCATTTTTTAGAATTAATACCCTATAATTGTCAAAAACTTTTATTTTCAAAGGATTATCCTTTTTTTCCCATAATTATAATCGACCCATTCAAATTGTTTGTAAGAAAAGGCCTAAAAAATTACTAATTTAAAATAAAAAATACTTTTTATTATTACTAAAAACAAAGAATAAAAATACAATTTAACATAGTCTAAAAATTCATAAATTATTTAAAAAAAAGTATAGCGACATATCAATTGATCAATATTATAATAAGAGAAGTCATCAAAACATTAACAATTTGTTATTAGAAAATTAAACTTAAAGATATGACTGGTGGCTATCACTAGTCACTTCCTGATTGTACTATTCCTCTCGGCATGATGTAAAAAAGAAAATAACTTCCGCAATACTGGTCCAAAAATTGTTATCGACCAGTAATTTTCTTAAATACATTATCTATTGAATAAGCTAGTAAATTATGTACGTTGCCATTCGAAAAAATTAAGTTGACACCCTAATAAGTTACAAGGAATGATTCTAAAGAATAATTTATAGTTAATAAATCAAAAAATATATGTAACTCAAAATCCCCCAAACATTTATTTAATTTATTAATGGTCAGTATTTTTAGAATATAATGTCGGCTATGTTTCTCATTTAGGCAATTTAGTCCGCACATTGATTAACAGTTGGCGAATTTCAATTCACAACCCTAAAAATAATTTTTAGAATTGTCTCTGTACAATTAAATGTCCTTTTTTTTAAGTCTTTCAATAAACTCGAATGTAAAAATAAATTTAAAAAGGTTTTTATTTCATGTTCGAAGTTTTAATTTTAGATTATAGTCTATAGATTACTTATACACGCCAGAAGTTTTGCATAAATGTCTTTAATACAATTATAATACATTATTTCCGATATATTTGAAAAGACCTATTTATTTAGATTTAAATATATAAAATTAATCTAAAATAGAAAATCTATTTAAAATTCAATTTACGTAATTTAAAATGTCTTTTTATGATTACAATATCATCTGTACTGTTTTTATCATTTTTCAATTATTTATCAGAATATGACATTTCTCGAAGATCATGACCAATTATCGTTGTTAGTATACAAAAGGTTTATCTTTAACATCAATAGTGGAACGTAACAGCTATTTAAGTAAAATTAAAAATTTGTGTGTCAAGAAAGTTTCCTTCAGTTGATAAAGTGATAAATTAGAAATTTCTTTTTGTTTTTATTCATATTATTGAACTTAAATTTCGTATCAATAAAAGTTTGGTTTTTAAACATCATTACTCTAATTGACGACTTATTATATTTTACTGTTAGTAAATTTTTACTATGTAGATTATTTCTTTGGCTAATTACTCACATGTTTTTCATGAAAGGAAATCGCATAGAAGAGTTAATTTCAAACAACTAATGAAGTTTTTTATCGTATATGGTGAATGATAGTTGTAAATATCATAATAGTTTGATATTGTAAACCCTCTTGAAATGAATATTGAAGATTTTTTTATGTTCTGTAGAATGGAACTTGTAATATATGTGTAAATAGATATTAGTATCCATGTCCAATTTTATGGATTTATGTTACTTTTAGTTTGCTAAAACTGCAGAATAAAATAAGTTTGATTTCTGAAACTTTTTACTGCACTATATATAAAATGAAACTTAATCTAATTTGTTATTAGTCTTAAAGTAATAAATATTTTTGAATTTACATGTTTTAAAATTTTCTATGAGCAGTTTTCAATCAATAAATTTGTCTTATTTATTTCTAATATAACTCAATAAGTTGTATAAAAATAGTATTGAAATTTTTGATATGAATTTTCATTTTTGACTTAGGTAATGTCGCCTCCAACTATAAGATCTTCTCAAGGAACTACTGGAAGTCAAACTCAAGGACCACAGTATGCAAAAGTATTTGTGCAGCGAGATTATTCAGATGGTACTGCTGTAAAATTCTTAACCAATTTTCCTCAAGAACTAGAAAACAAAGTAAATGTTATTGTAAATAAGTTATTATTTACTATAATTAATTATTAATAATTGTAGATTGAAAAATCTGTTTTCGAGTACACTATTAATCAATTGAATACATATTTTGCTGAGGCAGAAAAAGCATCATGTAAAACCTACTGTGAAGGCTGTTTTGCTTGTTTTACAGTCTATACAATGTTTTTTTGTGTTGATACTCATTATGAAAAAGTAAATTTGTTTAAATTATGACTTTGTTTTTTGTATAATTAGTTTCATATGTATATTTATGTACTTTATTTAGTGTTTACGAAAAGTAAACAAATTTATAGTTGAACAAAATGAAATGATATATTTACCAAGGGGTTTACTACTTACCAATCCAGTAGAAAGAGGATTAAGAATTGTATCCTTTATATATACATATTCAATCTAGTTAAGGCTTAAGTTTAAATTTAATATAAAAATCACAATTTGGTTACTTTAATTCTTATAGAATAATGCCTTATTTAATATGTTATTAGGCAGTATGGACAATATAAGTCTTTAGATCTACATATACCAGGCAAGGATATAGAAATTTTTTTTTATAGGGGGATATATCTATTTTTCTTAAAATATGAGAATTTTTTAAAAAATGACTTAAAATTTTGGGGAAAGTATTTCTTTTACTTCCCCCTTTGCATTTCCACATCTTATATTTGTAAAAATTGATATAATATCCATTCATATTTTCAATTTTCCATTTTGAAAAAGTTTTAATATAGTATTGCTAAATTATTTCAAACTGCAATTATAAAAATAAAATACTAACTTATTCATAGTTTTAGATTTTAAAGATTTATTATTCACTTATTTGGAAAAATATTATAGTATTTTAAGCCTTAAATTATTATTCTAATGATTTTCATGAAAACTGATGGTTGATATGATGCTATTAGCTTAAAAACTATAAGTTTCCATCCCTTGTTCATAACTGACAAAATGAATTCATTTCAATTTTTTTCTTTTATTTTAAAAAAAAAAAATTCTTCTTTGCCTTTGATTTAAACAATTAATTTATTTATTTTTAATTCATTCTTTTTAAAATATTCCAATAAAAAAAATTTTTATCAAGGTTTTATCAGATTTTTTTACAGAAAGTTTTTTTTGGTGTTATTAGTAAATTTTGTTTTTCATTGCAGCATCTGATATTCACTGTATTAAGTAAATTATATTGATGCATGAATAACACTGATAAAGATATATATATTATTATATATATATTAATATATATATATATATTGCTTTCCCTTCAGTGACTTCACCAGAAAAGGTTATAACCTTACCTAAAATGAATAGCGATTTTTGAATTTTTATTTGTGTATGAATTAATTTTTTATTGATTTAAAATCTGTAGTTTGTTTTTTGAGATATTAGATTTTATTTCTCATTTAAGTTTTTTATGTACTATTATTTTAAGGAATTAAAAAAATTAGTCTTTACTAATTGATGAATGGCAATTTATAAAAACAGCAATTTATTAAAGATAATTATTTATAGGAGTAAAAAGAATTAAAAGGAAAAAATTTCCTAATTGTTATAAGCATTTCGGTTAACAAATTTTTAATAATTCTGTATAAATTTGTTGGTGCTTATCATTTTATGAACTTTAAAGATAGTTATTCAACTACTATTTTCCAATAATGTAATTTATGAGATATGCTGAGATACATGTTTTATTGAAATAAGAAAAAAATTCTAATTAGTTTTAAAATATACTTAAATAATAAATATGTTGATTTTTAAATCATCAGAATATTAATTAGTATATATATTGATAAAACTGTTAAACGAATAATCTATATAATTTATCTTAAATTTTAAGTACTGTTTAGGACATGTAACATGCATTCAAATCAACATTATATTAAAAAGTAAATGTAAACTAAAATATATCCTTTCAATTGTTACTTGTGACAAAAAATATTTTTCCTTAATTGCTACTTTTTCAGATAGAAATAACTTTGTTGGATCAGCCTGTTGTGGCGCGAGCATGACTTACATTATCCGTCTCGACGGAAGAATTCTTTATGTAAAAGCAAACTTTTATAAGTTGTGAGATGTTATGCAAATGTAGCATTGAAAACTAGCATTTTATCATAAAATTTTAATGATTATAATGCATTCCAGCAGAGAAGATTTTTGTGTTGTAGTGCTAAGTTAGTTATAGCTTTATTACTATTTGTTTTATATGTAAGTCTTTAAAGACTAAATATTGCAAACTAAACATTGCATTTATTTGATTTTTATTTTGTATTATTGAAGTTTCTTTTTTAGATAATAAAATATTAATCTAACAACAAAATATTGTATTCATTATCAAAATATTAATTTTCAATTTTTATTTCACTTTATCTCATTATATACAAAATATTGAAATTACTGGTAACAAAATAAAATTATTGTTTGAAATTTATTGAATAACCGCCAGTATTTGGATCTTGGTTGACCTGAAAGTTTTGAGTTGATAGTCCAAATGGTTTTAAAACCATATTTCCTAATTCTTTTAATTTACCCATCATTTCTGTTTTAAGCGTTTCATTCCTTATGTTAATTTTGTCTTGTAATACCTAAAATGGTAAATATCTTAACTAACAGATCAAATTCAATACAATTAAAACTTACAGTAATGTTATAAGCAGCATCACCATAAAACTTATCAACTTCTATAATTTTTTTTAAATCTTCTAATGCTTCATCTAGTTTTTCATTTCTTTCATACAGTTTAGATCTTCTAAGATATGCTCTTAAATAATTAGGATCTAATTCTATTGATTTAGTGCAATCTTGAATGGCGCTTTCAATATTCTATTGAACAATATTAGTTACATTATTAATATATTTTTATCAAATTATTGATTTCAAGATTTTAACATACTATGGTAGATTTAGCAGCAGCTCGATTGGAAAATAATATAGCTCTGTTGTTTTGAAATGTTAGAGGACAAATTCTTAAAGCTTCTGTATATAATTTACATGCTTCATCATTTTCTTCATTCTTAAATTTAATATTACCTTCATTTTTCAAGTTAAGAGCTTTCTGCAATAATTCCTAAATATACCAATATATTTAATTTAAATTTTGTGATGATTTAAAACTTTATTTATACAAACCCGCTTCTCGTTATCATTAAGATTTTCATCTCTTTTTCTTAATACCTCATCATCAATAAAATCAAAATCCCTTATTTCACTTTCTGTAGTAGATTCTTCGTTTAAAGATTTCGTCTCATCCTGTGAAATTAGATTTTCATCTACCATTATAGCAGAATTTTTAAGATCTTTAGTAAGTTCTTCTATAACTTCTTCATTAGATGGAATATGGTTTTTACTTTCTGACGACATTAGAACTATAGATCTCAAATATTACAATTACAAAGAAACAACAATTAGCACATTTCTGCTAATATACAAGAAGAATACATCAATACAACTTACCAATTTAGCAATAAGGAAGTAAAAACCGATTAAATTTACAAAATATTTTATTCACAAATTCAGCTTCGAGTGAAAAAAAGGAAATTTTACATAGAGTTAACGATTTCTGAGACACTATTAATCGATTGTGCTTAAATTTATTGGTTACTGAAATAGCGATGCTAATGAGAAATGTTAATGTAGTATTGTAAAATTTGATTAGAAATTGGTTAGTATTATCAATTGTAATTCTAAGTGATTATGTAGAAATATAAGCTAAATATATCAGTGAAGTGATAAGAGCTAGCAGTCCATGATAGAAATATACTGTTTGTTAACCTGATATTTTTGATTTAATTAAATTAATTAATTGTATTTTTTAATTTTAAGTTGTAGCTATTATATTCATGAATAATAAAATATCTATGATTATATAAATATAACAACGCTCTATAATAAGAAAATCATTGAATTTTAAATAATATTAGCCACAAATGATCAATTATAATTATATAAAATAATTTAATATTAACACTAATAATAAAATGGGTAATATATTGCCTTCAATATGCTACATTGAAAATAATTAATTAAATTATTTTCTTCTTATAGAGCGTTGTTATTTTTATCTAGATGCAGAATTTTAATATAATCATAGATATTTTTATCTGAATATCCACAGCTTAAAATAAAATTTTTTTTATATTGTATAAATCACCACATTATTTTTATTAAATTAAGCAGGCTGCTTAATTATTATAGGCTGCTAGAGTTAACACAGTATATTGATCAATGCTACTGTACATAAAATTTTTTATTTAATGACTTGGTTCAGCTAAATTGACACAAAAATCTTAGTAAAGCATGAAAAATATTTTGTTTGTTACGAAAACTAAACCAAATTTAACCGGTCATAAATTAAATAATCATAATTTCAGTGAAAACCTTTTAAAGTAAAAGCTATTGTTTAATTAACATTTTTAATTAAGTCAATTTTTCTAATTGAATTAAAGCTGTTTTTACCGCTTGTAATAGAAATTGGACAGTATACTAGTCACTAGGTCAATTAGAAGAACTAGAAATATCCAAGGCTTACAATACATACGATTTCAGTAAATGTTAATTAGTGGGACAACTACAAGCGGTGTGAGAGAGATAGAGTGTTATAATTTCAACTAATTTTGATAACCGTTTCTCAAAATAAAAAAAATACTAAAATTCAACATCCAAAAAATTATATGAACAAAAAATATTCATTAATGACTAAAATTCGAAAATCGTTTTTTATATAATTAAAATTTAAATACTCGTTATACTAGTAAGTGTTTATAAAATATTTTTAAATCAGGGAAAACATTTTTAATTCTATAGAACACAATATTTTAGGTCCTGGGGTATCTAAAAGTTTAATAATTTGATTAAGTTCCCTCCCTCAAATTCAAAAAAGTATGAGTTCTGTAAAATAATATTTTTAAGACATGAGAAATTAAATTCTACAAAAATATTTTATTCTAGTTGCATTAAGTAAGTATATTTTATTAATCAATTTTAAAAAGGATGTTATTAATTGTTTTCATATCATACACGATAAACTTACAGAAATATTAAATATAGTTGGAGTTGGTTGATTGAAGGCGATTTGAGAATAATAAATAATCTATAATGAAATCAAACAACAGTCATATACATTGAGAAGGAGTCGATGATGGCATTAAAGTTAATAAGGGAATGTTTAAATAATATCAGATATTTTGATGATAGTGTGATTTTTTCAAAAAACATTGCTAGATTGCAATACTTAGAATAGTAAAAGTCAGTAAGAAGTATAACTTGACTCTAAATATAAAGAAAATAAAGTTTATGATACTATCAGAGAATCATAACTTAAAAAAACATTTAATAATTAAAAATGAATGCATAGAGTAGGTATAAGAGTTTAGTTACCTCGAAACAATAATAGATGAAAATTGTGATCATTCATTAGGAATAAAAAAGCAAATTGAAAAATTTAGGGAAGCATTTTGTAAAATATTGAGGTTACTTAAGTGTAACAATTTGTCTCTTGGTACAAAAATCATACTGTTAAGGTGTTATTTGTTTTCAGTATTACTATATGGAGTTGAAACCTGGATTCTAACAGAGTTAATATGTAAAAAAAATTGAAGTTTTTGAGTAGTGGTTACGTAGACAAATGTTTAAAATTTTATGCTCATATCATATTACTAATCAAATGGTACTAGAAAAGATGGAAAAGAGAAGGATTTTTTAACAGCAATAAAAGATCGGAAGCTAAAATATATCGGACATGAAGAATAATCAGTGATACAAAATACTCAAGTTTATATAACAAGGGAAAAAAAATGTGGGAATAATATGCAATCTTGACTAAAGATTCTCCGCAATTGGTGTAGTTAAACAAAAATTGAATTATTTGGAGCATCACTTTACAGGGATATTGTTGATATAATATTTAATCCGAAAAGAATAGGACTTGAAGAAGAAGATAGACTAGGGTCTACAAATTTTTATTAGTATTTAAATACAAATGTTTTAATACAAATATATGTACATAAATACTTCACAAGACTGCAATACTGTATCTACAACACTATTTAAATGAATAGAATTTATTAATTTACAATTAGTTACCTACATTATTTTTCTTAATTACTTATATAAATAATAATTCTTATTTTAATTACTAACTACATACAGTAAAGGTCAATTTGATTTTAAATCATTTTCATCACTATAAGGTTAGTATTATGTTATTAAATCCCATATAGAACATTACTCTGAAAAAATTTAACTTTCAGTGTTTTTATGAATGTAACCTAACTAATAACAGTAACGGTATTGTTTAAAAATAGTCACATAAGAAAAATATTGATTTTAATTATGATAATTAAACTGTAGATGTTTATGAAATTCCAGAGGTAATAAAATAATATTATTTTATTAGAATAATAATAATAGGCAATTTTCTAGTTTTTTTTTTTGAATGTGAATAGTACATACTTTTTTTTATATATTCATAATTTTGTAAGCTTTCTAAAAATATAAGTTCTGAAAAAAACTTAGGGTAGTAAATTAAAAATTGGCAATTTATTTATTATTCTTATATTATTTGATTGGAAGCATCATATACGCCAGGAAAATTTGCAAATAAAACTAAAAATAAATAAGTTATACTGATTGATCAAGGAACATTACGAATTCTCATTAAACAACAAACAAACGTCTACTTTACGTGGCTATTACAAAGCCAATTTGGACTTATGGTAAACATCTGTAGGATTGTACTAGTAAGGCTAACATTGATGTTATTCAACGATACCAGAATGTTGATCTCTGTAACATTGTTTCAGCTTATCGGTACGATAGAAACGATATTATATACCGTAATTTGATTTTGCCTACGGCAGCAGAAGAAATATATTTGCCTGCAAAATTGAGGTAAGATTAATTAACCATGCAAACACCATACAACACAGCAGCTATTTAACTTTTGGACAACTCTGAAGACATCAGACATCCTAAACGTCATAAACCATACGACTTAGTTTAAATTATTCAATTTTAAATAAGGTTAATAATAAGGAGCCATCTCACTTGAAATGTTACATCACACAAATGTATTCTTTATTAATTGTTATAAATTTACGTATCATATACAATTATTATATAATATACTTATAAAGATAATTTTACTCATTTAAAAATAAAATTTGAAAGTCAGTAAATATATATATATATAAAGGTAAAGGTAAAGGGTCAGATATAAAAAAAATATATACCAAATGATAGGTAAAGACATCATGCACTTATAAAAAAAAAATTATATTGATCCATACATCTTTCAAAAAGTTATAGCATTATAAAGTTAAAAATATAAAAAAGAATTTTTTTACAAAAATCGTATTTTTTTTTATAAACTTTGATGTCTGTTTTCACCATGAAGATAAAATAAAGTCCGAAATTTTTTTTTACCATTATAAAGTATATTACATTAGCTTTAATTTAAGATATATATAAAAGTGTCAGACCTTCCGGAACACTTTCAAAAGTTAAGTTGAAAAAGTTCTACTTTCTATATGCATTTTTATGTTTTGAATCCCCCCTGTATTAAGGGAAATGGTCCGATTTAAAAAAACAGTATGTCGAATGAAAGATCTATATAAATACTACTTCTCATAAAAAAATTGTAATGATTCATACATTTTTCAAAAAGTTATAGCATAATAAAGTTAAAAATGGAAAATACAAAATCGAAAATTTTCACACAAAAATAGCATTCGGTAGCCATTTTCACCATGAAGATAAGATAAAGTCCGAAATTTTTTTTTTTCATGATAAAGCATATTACATTAGCTTTAATTTAAGATATATATAAAAGTGTCAGACCTTCCGGAACATTTTCAAAATTTAAGTTAAAAAAATTAATTTTTTGTGAAAAAGTTGTCATTTTAAATCCCCCCTTGTGGGCAGGTTAAGGGTTAAATTTATGAAAAAAATATACCAAATGAAAGGTAATGATATTATGCATCTATATAAAAAAGAATTATATTGATATGTTTATTTTTGAAAAAGTTATGGCACTTTTAAGTAAAAAAAATTGAAAAAATTTCGAAAATTAGCGATTTTTAAATTTGTAATTTTTTTGGAGGTTTCCCCCATTTACGGGGAACGAGGGAATTTTTTTCAATTTTCGAGGGTAATGTCTTCGACTAGATACAATTTGTGATCTTTTGACGTATCATTGAAAGAAATCGGTTCGGTGAGAGCTGAGAAAAAGTGGTAACAGACACAAAAAAAAAAAACACATCTTAGTAAAACCAATACCTTCTCAGCTTCGCATCGAAGCTAAAAGGGAAATATCAAAATGTCCGTCACTAATTAATATGTTATATTTTACTTTCAAGTATTAATGGTGTTAAAATTTATAAGATATTAGTATAATAATTTCAAAAATATCATTTTTACAGAATTTTTTTTTTTATTTTAAATTTGTACTTAACATTAATGTAATACCAAAACTTCAAATAGTTTATTTCAGAAGTTATTAACAATTTAAGATATGACTGGAGTTGAAGAGTGGGTGCTGCTATTTTTATTTCTAGTCATTACTTTTGGTCCCGCCTGGATATAAAAATGATAATAACTTCAAAAGTCTGGTCCAAAATTTATCATCGAATAATCATTTTCTTAATTACATTATATATCCTTTCGTGTTCCATCCTATCCCACTAGAAATCACTTTCCCTTAAATGTTCCCTCTCATCATACCTCCTATAATAATAATAATCCAATACACAGAATGCTACGCTCTCTCAATAATACTTAGTTTTTTGGTTACATTTACTTTTAAAAAAATTTAACTGTCTTATATTAATTATATATTATATTTATCTTATAAATCTTAATTTATTGTCATCATTATTTTGTTGTCATAGTTTCTTACTCTATGTTTTACATATATGCATGTACATTATTTTTTTTTCTCTTCTTTTTGTTATATTATGTTATATATTTAGGTTACCATAATATTATTCCTGTAAATTGCCGTTTGGCGTTAAATAATTAAAATAAAAATAAAAATTATTTTCTGTTTTATAGGCTAGTGTGCATTGGCTCTCAGGGCCAAAACTGAGCAGGGCTTCGGGGTGGTGGTGAGCCTGGACATCCGAAACGCGTTCAACTCCGTGCGATGGTCACACATCCTCGGAGCGTTTCGAGTGCCTCCTTACCTCGGGCGGATGATATGGTCGTACTTTAGCGATCGGGTCATCTCTTACGAGAGCGCCGCGGGCCCGAGAATCAGACCTGTTACAGGAGGCGTCCCGCAAGGGTCAGTTCTCGGGCCTCTGCCGTGGAACATCGCGTACGACGCGGTGTTCCGCGTTCCGCTACCACCGCACGTGCGTGTCGTCTGCTACGCGGACGACACGCTNCGCATTAGAGGCACTAATTGGATTGCCTCCTCTGCATCTAGAGGTGAAAGCTCACGCCAAAGCTTTTTTTTTTTTCTCCGACCGGCGCAACTGTGGACCGCCCTGGAACTACTGTGAGGTATTACTTCAGGGCGGCCCACGCCGTCTCTAAAACTCACGCCACCACGTTGTGAATCAGCCCGAAATTAATCAAGAGCTGATTCACAACGTGGTGTGGCCTCCTCCGTTGAAAACGAAGGGGCAAAAATAACTCACATAAACATAAAACATATAAACACTAGTACCTAAGGCGCCGGCCTAAACCAGCGCCTTAGGTCCTCCTGTACCGGGCGGCGCGGCTGCCTCTGTCTCAGGCGTTCAGCTTCCTCCTTCTTTTTCAAGATGGATTCGGCGAACACCTGGACGAGCCTCCACGCCTCCCGGCTCCTCAACATCAGGTCCACCATGGACCCGACTCGGAACGTGGACCCTAGTCGAGACTCTAAAGAGTCCCGTTCCTGGGCCCACGCCTCTCACCGGAAGAGGGTGTGCAAAGCGCTATCAGCCTCTCCCGGGCGATCCGAACAGTGGTCGCACGTCGGCGCGGCTGCTTTACGAATACGGTGTAAGTACTCGTTAAAGCAGCCGTGGCCGGACATCACTTGGGTGAGACGATAAGTCATCTCACCGTGAGTCCGGTCCACCCACCTGTCCAGCCGATCCAGCTGGGCGCCCGATCCCCGGACCTCCAAAAGGACGGCTCCCGTTCGGGTTCGCCTGGTACCCGCCAATTGAACCCCAAGGGCATTGAGGTCAACAGCAGCCATCGCGGTCCTTATGACCGCGGCGTACTGTTGTCCCTCCTTAAGGGGTCCAATCACCACCGCCTCCGTCCTCGGAACTTTGGCCCTAAGCTGAGCGGCAGTCGGGCCTCGGAACAGGGGCGGCGGCTTGGGCTTGGGCCCACCAGGAACCTCCTCCTTGGGAGCCGTCGTCGCCATGCGCTCCAATTTCTTGGTCCCCCTCCGCTTCACCATCTCAGTCCACAGAGTGGCCGGTAGTGGTGCTGAAGCGGTGGCACGAGCTTTCGGAGGACGAGGGGCTACGCCACTGAGTGGCAAGGGCGCCATTGTGTCCACGATCGAACACCCAGCGTCCTTTGCTACTCCCTCCTTCTTCTTCTTCGTCCTTTTCCACTTTTTGGCGGCGGTGGCAGGCGGGAGCGCACCCACTGCCACCTCGCCACCTTGTAGGGAAGACATTTCCCTCAAAAATTGAAAAAATTTCCCTCGTACCTATGGACCAATGCAATATTTAATAAGAAATAATATTTATATACTACTTTCATTTGACATACTTTTTTTTTTAAATCGTACCATTTCCTTTAATACAGGGGGGGTTCAAAATATAAAAGTGCATATAAAAAGTAGAACAAATCAATATACATTTTTTTCTATAGATGCTTACCAAATGGGTAAAGACATCCATTTGGTATATTTTTTTATAAATTTAACCCTTTACCAGCCCACAGAGGGGGATTCAAAATAAAAACTTTTTCACAAAAAATTAACTTTTTTAATTTAACTTTTAAAAGTGTTCCGGAAATACTTACACTTTTATATATATCTTAAATTAAAGCTGATGTAATGTACTTTATTATGGAAAAAAAAAATTTCGGACTTTATTTTGTCTTCATGGTGAAAAAGGCTACCGTATTTAATAATATGCTATTTTTGTGTTAAAGTTCTTGGTTTTGTATTTTATTTTATTATAAAGGGATTATACTGATTTTCATAAATATTATATCAATCTAATTGACATAGTATAAAAAGTTAAACATATTTTAATTTTTTTGTTTCTTTGAAGTTGAGAAAAATAACTTTAAAATATGAACTAGCTAAATTTCCATTTTTATTAAGTGACGAATGCGACGTATGGTATCTGAGACGGTAACACTTGCGTCTTTCACGCCTGTGGCACTGAATTTTTTCTTAATTCTTTTTTAGTTAGAAAAAAATGTTTAACTCATTTGATATTTATCGCATTTAGATTCAATAACTTCAATAAACATCAAGGATCCCATTACTATAGTCTTTTTTCTTGAGAAGAAATTCATATTAATATTATTTTACTATGTGGTTTTTTTTTGTAGCTATTATTTATTTTATCAGCTCTCACTTGACCTACTTTTTTGACAAATATTTTTTTTTAATTAAACACTATCTACAGATTTGCATCGAAGTGTTTTTTACGATAGTGATTTTAATCACTGTTAGATATCATATATACTGGACCCAACTATGCCACGACCCTACTGTGCCTCCACCCCACTGTGCTGGGTTTTTTTTGCATTAATTATATTTATAGTATGTTTAATTATAATATTTATATAATATATCTACATAATATTGACTTAACTTTGTATGCAAGTGAAATTTCTAGGTTAAATGAAGTTGATCAATAATTTTTAAGTCAGAAATAAAAAATATATATTTTATTTTATATATCATAATATATATTTTATATTAAAGTCATAAAATGTATAATTATCTATATACGTTTAAATAATATAGTAGTTAAAACGTTATAATCTAAATAATAATTTCTATTCGATAAATTTTGTCATAATATATATCAAAACTTTACTGGGCTGTAATACCCGAATTTTATCGAGTTATTGAATCCAACTGTTGCAATACAATACAAGTTAATTATTAGGTTTTTAGGAATCTATTCGTTTCAAATTATGTAATAATAGACAATAAGTATCACCCAAATAAAATATCTGATTACATATATTTGTTAAATATATGTAATAAATATATTCATTAAATTCGAAAAAAGGACGAATGGTCTTTTAACAATTCTTTATTAGGTATAAAACAATATAATTCATAGAGATCAAACTATTAAAATTAATTTTATTATTTGTTGTATTTTATGAATTATAATCAATTAATAAACACTATCAAAGTATATAGAAAATGATTAAATTTGAGAAAGTTAAATGAAAATACATAAAATATGTTTTTTAAAAGAAAAAAATTGTGTAGACATGTCTTGAAGTCAATATTGAGTGATTTTAAGTTCTCTTAACAAATTGATATTTAACTTTTTCGGGTCTTGAAGTAAAATAATTGAGGTTTTATGTACTACGTTAAAACAATGATCATTATTTTACATTCAGTGTTTCTTACTTAATTTATTTTGTGGGTACAATGGCTTATTTTTAATTATTAAATTTTCTTAAGATATCTATACTAATGGCCTGCAGCAGTAGCTTTAATTGATGAATGTGTACTACTATGCTTGAAGTCGTACAAACGAGGAGACACAGGACTTCCAAAAGGATCATTGATTCCTTCAGCACTACTGTTCCGTCGCTGACGTTCCCGTTTCTGAATGTCACCATTTGGAGACTCACTATGATTATTTGCAATGTTAGGTAACCTGAATTGGCTGGATCGATGTTCACTGTAGCCACTTGTAGCACTAGCTCCTAAAGGAATGTCGAAGGCTTGTCGGCTAATAATAGAAGCTAATGAGGATGCAGCTGAATTTAAGCTATCATCAATTTTGTATACATGACGTGGCTGTTCAATTGGGGTTGTTTTTCTATAAAAATAATGTCTTTTTTAAACTTTGTAAATATAAATATATATTTTGAATATATTTTATCCACAATATATTCTAAAAATGCCGACTACTAATGACTGATGAATGTTGGAGAGAGATAACCCCTCTATACGGAGTGATTGATATAACATTGACTACTACTAGTTATCTTCCAAAATAAAAATAATTTTGAGAATTTTTTTGGTTTATTGAAGTAGTATTTTTTTTTAATTTATATTATAAAATAACTACTCAATTTAATCATACCCGATAATAAAAAAAATCTAGCACAGTGAGGTCATGAAATAGTTAAGAAAAGTATAGATGATATCTAACAGTAATTAAAATCACCATAAAAAACACTTCAATAAAAATCTATAGATAGTGTTCAATTTTTAGAAGGTATTATTGAATTATTCCAAAAACAATAAATATTTAATAATATAGTTTTTGTAGTTTCTACGGAGATCTTATAAAAGTTATAAAAATGATATATACAGGGTGATTCTATTATTCTAAAATATTCCATTCCAAAAGTAACTGAACTTCTCCCACACCTTCGAACGAAGCGATCACCCGCGGGCGTAATGGGGTCAGGGTGACAGTGAGCACTTCCATCTACGACCCCAGACCCCACTCAGTCGGCTGCGAGCAGCGGTGTGATATGTATGTTCCGCACATTAAAGCTCTGTGAAGAAATCTCGTCGAGATTTCAGTGGTGCTAAAAATAAAGTTGATATCCTTATGAGGAATAAGGGATGAATTAAAAAAAAAACTTAATAATAAATAAATTGAGAAATATATAAAATTAAAAAATACCAAAAAGATTTTCATAATATAATTATTATTTTAAGAGAAATCGTATGAAGATAAGATTGGCTATTAAAAGAATCACCATGCATTTTGTTACCTTAATTTATTTAAGTCATTGGTAGTTAAAACATTTATAATTAAGGCTTCTTAAAAAAAAAATTTGTAAAGGGGGAGTAGTTATATGATGTAATTACGACCCCCCATTTATACCACTGGACTTCAAATATAAACATAATTTATTAAAAAAAAATATAACACGAATATTTGTTCTTTTCATATTTAATTTTATCATTCAAGGACTTTTTTTAGTTTCGATGTTAAGCTGAGAAGGTTTTAATTTTATCATGATGTGATTATTATTATTTTATTTTTTTTGTGTTTGTCACTACTTTTTCTCAGCTCTATTTCGACCGATAATTTTCAACGATACGTCAAAAGATCACAAATCGTATCTAGTTAAAGACATTGTCCTTAAAATTGAAAAATTTCTCCTCGTTTCCCGTAAATAACGGAATCTCCAAAAAATTACAATTTAAAAATCCATAATTTTTGACATTTTTAAAACTTTTTTTACTTTAAACTTCCATAACATTTTGAATAATGGATGAATAAAAAGACAATATTTTATATTGATACCTTATTTATCTATTATTTGGTATATATAATTTGAAGATCTAAACCTTTATTTGCCCACAGAGGCTTCAGATAATAACAACTTTTTCAACTCAATTTTTGAAAATAAACATTTACATACATCTGAAATTATAGTTTATGTAATAACTTTATTAGAAAAAATTTGACCTCTGAAATTTTCCTCTTCATGGAAATGGCTATCGTATTTAAAAATATGCTAGTTTTGTGCCAAAATACTCAATTGTATATTTTCAACTTAATATTACTATAACTTAGAAGTAAACTTTTCGACATTACAATGGAACATTTTGGATAGCATAAATGTTTCAGCGACCTCAATAAGCACTAGAATGTAACATAGCACCCAATCTGATAACATTGCGACGTCAATGAGATAATTTTGAAAACAGGTAAGATAAAATAATTAGACTGATAAGATATTAGGAGGAAGGTACGAAAAAGATACGAGAGATTAAATTAATAAAAACGATTGGGTTGGGTTGCGATACAGTGTGGACGTGGCATAGTTGGGACAAGTATAGATGATATCTGAGAGTAATTAAAATCTCTACCATAAAAAACGCTTCGATGCAAATCTGTAGATAGTATTTAATTTTAAAAATTGGTGGATTATTCCAAAAGCTACATTATCTCCTATTTCCTTATTTATATCCTGATTAAGATATAATATAGTATAATAATATAATATAGATATAATATTAAGATATTAAGTATATCGAATGAAAGAGGGATTTAAATATTATTTCTCATAAAAAAATTGTATTGATCCATACACTTTTCAATAAGTTATAGCATTATTAAATTAATAATGTAAAATATAAAATCGAAAATTTTTACACAAAAATTGCATTAGGTAGCCATTTTCACCACAAAGACAAGTCCAGAGGTCAAATTTTTTTTTTTCATAATAAAAAATATTTTAACTATTTATGGTAACTATTTTCACGGTGAAGACAAAATTAAGTCCGAAATTTTTTTTTTCTATGATAAAGTATATTACATTAGCTTTAATTTAAAATATTTATAAAAGTGTCAGACTTTCCGGAACACTTTCAAAAGGTATTTTTTTGTGAAAAAGTTTTCATTTTAAATCCGCCCCTGTGGGCGGTAAAGAGTCAAATTAAAAAAAAATATATATATGAAATGATAGAAAAAAATACAATGCTTTTAAAAAAAAAACATTATATTGGTTTGGTCATTTTTAAAAAAGTTATGACAGTTTTAATTAAAAAAAATTGAAAAATGACGAAAATTAGTGATGTTTCTTTTTGTAATTTTTTAGGAGATTTCCCTCATTTACGAGGAACGAGGGAAATTTTTTTAAATTTTGAGGGTAATGATTTTGATTAGATATGATTTGTGAACTTTTGATTTAATAAAGATAATAAAAATTATTTATATGTCAAAAATGTTACATGTAAGATTATTAAAAATGATTATGTAATTTTGATATTAAAAAAAATAAATGATATTACCTCTACTTTTTATAACAAAAAATATAATATTTACCTTAATATTTAGCCTAATATTTCATATCTTATAATTTGGGTTTACTATTGGCGGATATTATTCCACGATTTTCAATGAATCTAGCTATATTATTTATTCCAAAAATAAATAATACAACCAAATCAAATTATAAAATTCGCTATTATAATAATCAAAAAAATGTTCAATACGTTTTTCTAATTCCTTTTTTTTCTGTTTTTTTTTTGTAGGCCGCCGGTAAATCTCTTTCTGTTCTTTCTGACATTTGATTCTCCTACAATAAATATGAAAATATTATTGTTTCATATTTGTAAAAATAGATTTTATATATTAATTCATTTTATATAAAAAATTTAATGTAATAAAAGTAAAAGGAAATAAAATAATTAGATTTAAATGTATGAATATTTAAAAAACTTGAAATGTTTTAATTAAAATTATTATTGATATTTAAAACGAATAGTTGAGATTAAAAAATATATTTCAATAATATTAGCCTCAAGTTGATCATATATTTGTATTAGTTTATTATTATTCAATATTTTTTAAACATATTAAAATCTTCTTGTAATACTCAAATTATCATTGAAGAAAATTTAAAAAGTCTTCAATTTTAGAAATGGGTATAGAATTAAAAAAAATGCTCAACTTGCAATATTTAAATGAATTAATAGTAAATCAGTTACATTAAAACCGTTGGCAAGTTTATATAAACTTTAAAATAAAGAAGAAATTTAGAAAATATTTGACGAACAACTGTTTTCTTGTTATATTTTCAAAACATACTGCTATTAAATATATTGCCTGGAAGTACTTAAGCAAAAATTAAATTTTTCAAAATTTGTATGAATCTTGATGATTTATCTGAAAATATTTTTATGAAATAAAAATTTAATAAAACATTTGATTTATTGTTGCATAAATGTACTTTATTGGTTAAATATAAACAGAATCAACCATTTATAAAAAAAATAAACATTAGTTTTTTTTTGTGATTTACTGTATTGCACAGAAGTTAAAAATATTTTACTAATAATTTCATAACATTATCTATTAATAGTGATGTGATTATTTTATAATAAAACGCGTTTTAACACATAGCTACAAACAATATAGCCAAGTGAAATAACAATTATGAATGAAGTTAAAATAAAATAATTACACTTTCCTTCATTCATAATTTTTGAAATTAAACGTATAATCGTTTATTACTAAATATTCAATAGAACGATTGATCAAAGTTAATAATAGAATGTATAATTTTCTTAGGTTACTTAACTTTCAATTTGAGGATCATTATTTTAAAAATTAAACTATAAAGTATCGAAACTTTTAAGTGCAGCAGTAAAATAATATACTGTTTATATACAAATTGATCTTTTTTTTAGTTTAGATTGTAAAAACTTTAAACATCATGTAAATATCTGAAATACTTTTAGTGTCTTTAAACGACACTAAAAAAAACGAGTAAAAATATTTTTATGGGCATCAAAATTACTTTATATATGTTGTAATACAATAAAAATTATTGACTTTTGGTGTACTTTAGAATTATTTATTTTTGAGTAGTTTTTTTAAAGATATATTATTACAAATAATAATTATATTTTATTGCTTAACTTAATGATGTTTATGGAAATCTGAAAAATTATGGCTTAAACTATTAGTGCATATTACAGTGTAAACGTAAAAAAAATAGGCAAATAACTATACGTATTTATGTTTTGCAATAGTGTTTCGTTTAGGGAAATGAGTTTTGTCTAGGTTAGACCCTTTGAGTTCTATTTTGATAAAAATGTTTGTTTTGTGAATAGTTTTGTTTAGGCTAATATAAAGTAGTCACAAGGGTGCATTACGAGTTCTAAATTTCTCAGGGGTCTAAATTCTGTATGCTATTGACTTGTATAACTAGAAGTATAACATGAAGTACACCTATGAGTAACGAGTCTTTATTTTTTTTTATTTGAACAAAAGTTTTTATTGAAAATTGAAATCATTTAATAAGTAAAATTACTAAATCAACTTGAAGTTTAATTGATGATTAATAGATTTTTGTGAGCATATTTAATCATAAGGTAACTTTTTTAAATAATTGGTCAAATGTAAATAATTTTTTTTCTTACAGTAATTTCTAAGCTCACAATCAAAATTTTCATTACAACTGAATAATAAAATTTTAGCCTAATTTTTTCTCCCTTTATTTTGACATATTAAGTTTTAGACGCAATTTATTTTTCCTAGGGAACTTTAAGAAAATAGGATATTAAAAAGTGTTCTAATATTGATATTTTTAATAAATAAAGTTAATATTTTTATTAGCACAAATTCATACATTTTTTTTGTTTAATCAATTTAGTTTTTGTATCTAAATATTATTATGCTAACTAATAAAAATGTACCATAAGATTATTTTAACTACGTAATGAGTGGTACTTGAATAATTTCATTAGTAAACCAATAATCTATGAATCTAATAAGTTTTAATTAGAAAATTATTGTTGTATAATTGAAGAATAGTTAAATAATTAGTTTCTTATTTTTACATCCAATTTATTTGTGAGTAAAGAATAAATTAAGTAATTAGTTTTATACCTAGAAAAGTTGAAGTTTATCTCTAATTATGTTTTTATTAAAATAGTTAAAATTTAAATACTATTAATAATACAAATTGATCACTTGTGGCTAATATTATTTAAAATTAAAACCATATTAATTAAAACCAAAATATTTAACTCAACTATACGTATTTCAGCAAATATGTTACCATTATCAATGCTAAAAACATTGTGTGTGTAGCATGTGTATTATGTGTACGATTTTTTTGTCATTTTTTGTGATTTTTGAATTTAATATTTTTAATATAGTTTTAATTTAAACTAAAATTAAATACTGCCGTTGGATAAATTATAAAATAATGCAGAAGCATAGTTCTAATAATGTTCATTTAATGAAGCAAAATGATTTCGAAATTTGTTTTGAATAAATTATTACAAAATGTTTATATTTTTATCTTGTATTTAAATTACCGTAAGTAGATTACTTTTGACAGCATTCGTCTCAACATTATCTACATATTGGCCACGGGCTGGAATAATCGGAGATCTTATACAAGCCCTATAAATGTTTTTTGCTTTAAATTTCAATGATAAAAACTAATTTAATTAAATTTGTGTTATGTAGTGCTCACAGATATTCCTTGTAACGTAAAGTGCTAATGTTTCTTTTTGTTACCAAAAAGTAGGAATATTATACAACTTGAACATGTTAATAATGTAATGTGTAATTATTATACCTTATTTTAATCTTAGTGCAAAATACAATTTAAAAGCTAAGTAGTCGCATAAAAAAAAATATGTGAACACGCGCTACATTATGATTTTTACACATTTAATATAATTAACGTGCAAGGATGTAAATACTTTTTTGTTACATCTAATTAATATTGTTATTTCTTATTTAAATCTATAATAACTTTTATAGATACATAAAAAAATGTGTTAAATAATACATACCATGTAATATTCATTAATTTTCTCAGTTTTCTCTAATTTTTGTTATCATCAATTGTCATTTTTTTGTATTTAATATGTTAATACATTTCATATAGAATTACACTCTAATTAAATTAACATTAATATTTGTAAGTATTGAATTATGCTATTTAAACGTTTTAAGTTTAAACATTTTTTGCAGTGTTCTCAAATTGATAACATTATTAAAATTACGTTAATTTTTTATACTAATAATCAATTTTATTAAATTCGTTTAACTAAAGGTTAAATGAAGACTTTAGTTTTATAATGCAAGTAAATTCATTCATCATAAATGTATCTAATCCCCGATGATCGTATAAACAAACAAATTAATTGTTTTTATACATTTTATTGCAGGAAATTTCTTCTAAGGCTCAAGTTTTTATATTTTATCGAAATTCTGTGTAAAATATTAAAGTGTGATCTATCATTTTGTGTTTTTAATTAAAGTAAGAGTTTCTTATACTAACATTTTTCTTTAGAACTTATTTATAAAATGATTATTTTTAAATCTTAAAAAAAATTTTAGTAAAAAAATGATTTTTTGTGAATGCAAAAAATAACACAAAACACATTTTTAATGATAGACTTATAGTTTAAAAATTGATTAAAAAAAAGTATTTAATGTTATGTAGATCATAAATTATATGAGTTGTCAGTTAGATCCGGTCCACTCTGTATACAGAGTGATTTTTTAACATAACCCACTCAATTACTTAAAAAAAAAAATAATTTAAACATTTTTTTTTCTTATCTTTAGTTACACATTATTCTTGAATTATTATTTATGTAATACTTTTCCAGTTCATCCCTTATGCTTTGTAAGGAAATCAATTTTGTTTTTTTAAATGGGAACACGTATTTTGAATTTAATAAAATATTTGAGTTTTTAATTTAATAGTAAATGGCATAAGAATTTTAATAAAATTTTAAAATTTCAAATTTTTTAACTAATATACAAGTATAATACACAAGAGATTACAAATACATGTAGCTAATTGGATTTTTATGACGTTACTATCATAGTCACAGAGTGTTTATTGTCAATTATGACTATCAATAGATATGCTTTCTGTATTGCTAATTTGTGTATTTATAAACCTATAACAATGCGCCTAACTAATATCGCCGTCATAAAAAACCGATTAGCTTCCTGTATTTGTAATACCACGTGTACAATTTTCACTCAAAATTTTAAATCTAATAAACGAATAGATTTATTAAAAATTCAAATGCCATTAACTATTAAATTAAGAAGTCAAATATTTGATTAAATTAAAAATATATGTTAAAAAAAACAAAATTGACAAAAAGTCAAAGAGATGAACTTGAAAACTATGACATAAATAATAATTTAAGTATAATATGTAATTAATAGTAACCAAAAATTAAAAAAAAAAAATGTTTAAATTATTATTATTCTATAAGTAATTGATTGGGTTATGTTAAAAATATCTCCTTGAATATGCAGAATGGTACAGATCTAAATGCCAACTCTTATAACTTTTAATATAATTAAAATTTCAATGTAATTTTTTTTAACAGTTTATGCAGTCTTTTATTTTATTAGAAAAAACATTTGTTTAAAATAAATTTACATAGCGTTAGTATAGTTGAAAGAAGTTACCCATTGGTAATACCTCAACTAGTCTTAGTTAAAGTTGTGATTTTATTATGTCAAATGGTCTCGGTTTCAGTTGAGTTGGCTTTAAATCTATTTGATGGGTGTCAGGTTTTTGTATCCTTAAACTCATTAAAGGCCATTTTTTATTATTTATTTTAATAATAAAAGAATATAGTTTTTTCATTTTTCAAAGTTAAAAATTAAAATAGCAGTTTTTAAGAAGTTTTTTTTACAAAAAAATGTCATGGGTTTATATCAAATTTAAGATATATATTTCGAAAATTGTTAAAAAAAATTTTAAGCGAGATTTTAATTGTATCAAAAGTTGTCAAAGTTATAAATTAGATCTGTTTTTTTGTATGTGTAATGTGTCCCGCTATGTTCTTACATCTTTCAAACTTTTAAACCAGTAAATATTTTTTAAATAATTTTGACAGTTTTAGACTACATTAAAAACATTTTATTATTATTTGTTTTTATTTATTATTTTTTCAAAATTTTAAAATAACCCTTGTTTTAGCATTATTCTTCTTACAACAAATTTTTTTAGTTTAATAACAACTAAAGGATAAATCTTGTTAATTACTTATCCTAAAGTTGTTACAAACCTATCAAAATATTTTGTATAAAATGAAAAATTGTATTTATATTAATGATAAAAATCAATATTGCTTTAAACGTAGTCCACAATTGTAATGAAAAAAAATGTAACGCAATGTATTTATTGGTTCTAAATGTTATTAAAGATGTCAGAACATGTAGGAACACTCTATATACTTATCTTACTATTTTTTTTTATGGAATAAGTTGTTTTGATCATCAATATTATAATATTTTGTAAATATTATTTTTATTATTATTGTAGTATTTATAGTATTTGGTAACGTTGTAAACATTAAAAGACATACATGAACGTGTTTTGTAGAAAAAAATCACAACAACAAAAACATAACAATACACAATAAATAAAGGAGAAAAGGAAAAAAATTAATCAAGCGAAAGAGGTACACGAAGATTTATTGCCATGTCACTAAACAGAGAAGACCACAACAAAAAAAGACTTAAAGGCATAACAAGTAAAGACGATCACAAAAACTGCAATTTTTATTTGTGAATGTATTTACGAGTTGACATCTTCAAGTTTCTTTAACAAACGTTCGTTTTCCCGGCAAACTATTTCGTGATCCCTCTGCATTAGGTCTCTGGAGTTGAACAGCTCAGCGTTTTCCTTACGTAACGCTTCATTCTCATTTGCATAGTGTTTGACCAGATCTACGAGTTCTTTAGGGTCCATTTGTATCAACCGATCCATTTCCATGTTGTGTGGCATTTTTACAGCTTAGAATAATATAAAAAAATATTATATTAGTAGACTTACAAACTATTTTTTTAAATTTTTTGTCGTACAAAAGTTACATTCACACTGAAAAGTTGTATAACTTTTAATTTCAAACCCAAACTTTAAAAGATTAAAAATATTATTTTTAATGTTTTGTTGATAAACAGACATATTTTTTCTACAAAAATATTAATATATTTAAAATATTATTGAAATATTTTAAAGCTTTTAAAACTAGAATTAGAAAAATGAATTAAGGTATACATGTTATCTCTCTTTAATTTTGAAATACTGGATTTTACTTAATAAATAGACATGTTAACTCTCAACGCTGTTGGTTGATTTCAATCTCATGGTTTGCATATTGACTAACATTATAATTTTTGAGGTAATTAGATTAAATTTAACAACAGATAAAATAATATTGATGTTTTACGGTAAAATATAGCTCTGTAACAAAGCAGAATTACATAATTGACTTTGAAATGTTCTTTATTACCTTTAAGGAATATAATACATACGAATGAAAATGACAGTAATGTGGTAGCGTGATTCATTGGAGAAATTTTCTTGGTATAAAAAATAGAGTGTTTTAAAAATAAACCAATAAAATGTTTGTGATTGTGTTTTAATCTATAGCTTTCAATAATTGAAAGCTTTATCCAAAAATAATTATTTTTCTTGAATGGTAATAATATTAAAATGAACACTTACTATTAATTTTGGTAACTGATGCTTTGTTAATATCTAAAACCTTTCGTAAATGATCATTTTCGTTTTGAAGTGCTTCTACCTCTCGCCTCAGACTCACTATCAGTGACTCTCGAGGGTCCTATAAATTATTACGCAATAATAACTTTAGTATAGTTTCTATGTATATTAATAGAAATTATAAACAATATATCCATACATATAAGAAGTTTCAACATTTTTCTTTGAACTTTAATAGTATAATACAATTCAAATTACTAAGAAAACATTTTAATAAATTAAAAATTGTGTTATTTTAGGTAAACTAATATAGTTTTATCTTTGAATTGCTAATACTTTTAAGTGATACAGTTCAACAGTAAAAAATATAGTATAATATTTAATAACTTTATATATTTAATAAGTTTACAGTATAGTATAAAATAACATTATAAAAAGCTTTTGATGTTTTGTATTATTGTAGTAATATATTAAATTCACTCTTGACATCTATAGGATAACATCTATGAGAATTGCTGTTTATTTATAAACATTTAAACATTTTAAAAAAAGGTTTGGAATAAAAAATTTGAAATAAATCTTTAGTTTAGCTAAAAAAAAATTTAATTCGTTATAATTGAAATTGTGCTCAATAACATTAATGAAGTATAATTAACTTAAATATGAGATAAATTGAGATAAAAGATAAGATGGTTGATGAGATAAGCAATCTGTGTAGTATGATTTAAAATCTTTTTTTTAAATCTCTAACATGATGTATGATAGTCCAGCAAAATGAGAATAAATTTTTGTGTGTCTGTCGCTACTTTTTCTCAGCTCTCAACGGACCTGTTTTTTTCAACAATACACTAAAAGATCATAAATCATATCTAGTTGAACTTTGCCTATAAATATTGAAAAGAATTCTATCATTCCTTGTAAATGGGGGAAATCACCGAAAAGTTAACAATTTTTAAAATTGTTAAATTTTTACTTTTTTTAACTTCTTTTTTTATAGACTGCAATAACTTTTTTAAAAATAAACGAATAAAAAAAATTAATTTCTTTTATAAATATCTCAGGTATTTCTCTTTTTTTGTGTATTTTTATCTTTGAAGGTATTAGTCTTACTATGATGTGATTTATTTTTTGTGTGTCTGTTACCACTTTTTTTCAGCTCCCACCGAACCGATTTCTTTCAACGATACGTCAAAAGATCACAAATCGTATATAGTCAAAGACATTAACCTCAAAAATTAAAAAAAATTCCCTCGTTCCCCGTAAATGGGGGCATTCTCCAAAAAAATTACAAATATAAACATGGCTAATTTTCGATATTTTTTCAATTTTTTTACTTAAAACTGCCATAACTTTTTTAAAAATGATCAAATTAATATAACTTTTTTTTTTATATATGCATGATGTCTGTACTTATCATTTAGTATATATTTCTTATAAATTTGCCCCTTTACCTGCCCACAGAGGGGGATTTAAAATGACAACTTTTCACAAAATATTAACTTTTTCAACTTAACTTTTGAAAGTTTTCCGGAAAGTCTGACACTTTTATATATATTTTAAATTATAGCTAATGTAATATACTTTATCATAGAAAAAAAATTGACCTCTATACTTGTCTTCATGGTAAAAATGGCTACTGTATTCAAAAGTATGTTATTTTTCCGTTAAAATTCTTGATTTTATATTTTTTATTTTTAACTTTATATTGCTATAACTTATTGAAAATGTATCGATCAATGCAATTTAAATAGACATTACTATTGAAATATTCAAATCTATATTCTGTTTAATGATAGCTAATAGTATTCTATAATATATTGATATTCAGTAATATTTTTAGTTTCACCTATGATTTCGTCTGCTGATGTGTTGTTAAAGTTCATTTTAACCTAAATTGATTAAGGTTATTTTTTTATACATAAATACCTGATTATTACTAATTATTATAATAAGTAACTATTTCAGTTAATTAGCAATCAAACCTTTTTTTAAGACACTGTCTGATTTATTACATTTTTTTATTTATGTTGTTCAAAAAAATCATAACGTGTAGTTGTAATATTAATTTTTTTTTTTTGAAGAATTTTTTTTTATAATACCAAGACAATTGTTTTAAGTATTTTTTATGGATAGATCAAAAACTAATTTCGAAAAAGTAATCTTTAAGTTGCATAGATAAGAAACTTGCATTAAATAAAAAAGAAATATAAATCTTATTTTAAGTAACTATAGAGATTATTTGTTTTCAAAAATTCGATTAACAAGCAAAATTAATTGTAAAAAAAAATTATATATATTTTACATTTTTTAAATTCGTATTTTTACTTAACAGCTAAATTTTGTTTCAATTATTATAACTGCTATCAAAATAATAAAAACTACATCAATAATTGCATAATTATTATTTTACTCAACTAGTACTTCAATTATATTTATCATTAAAAATTAAATAATTAAATTATGAATTCAAGTACGAGTACGTTTACGAAGTTTGTCTAAGACCTTGTGTAAAAAATTAAGTACTCATTAAAATTAATTACACTAGAACTATTCAGAAAATGACGCATTTAGCTTTCCGAAGAGCAGGTGTTCTGAATCAAGTTAGGTTGATGATAATTAGTTTACAATAGGGGCTACATATTTAGCAGTAAACAATAATGAAACGCAATAATTATTGAAAATAAAGCTTCCTTTTTTATTTATGTTTTCTGTATCTTTTTAAACAGAATAATATTCATTTTCTTTTACATAATGTATATGACACAATTACAATAAAATATTATTATTTTTAAAATAAAAATTAATTTAAATATTCACCTTGTGTCAAGTGGAAGTTTAGGATAAGGGTGGTCGAACTCAAGTAGTTGAGATTAAGGTGAGGAAGAAGAATAGTAAATATGCTTGTAGTTATTGTTATTTTTTAAATTAGTAAATAGTTTTGTTTATTCAAACTCTTATGTATAATATTTAACCTGGAATTGAATAAAACTATAAAAAGATAATTTGATTTTTGGAATAAGTTTTTAGTTAGACATATAAAATAAGAATGAAAAATACATTATTCAATCCATTAAATTTGAACAGATTAATTTAACCCATAATTTGTTTATAGATAATCGATATTTTATATAATATTTAAAAATTTGTTTTTTTTGTTTTGTTTTTCGTTAATTCAGTTTATTAATTTTGATAAGATCGACGGACTAATAATAAGTAGAGTTTTTAAATTTAAATATTTTGTTTCTTAATAGTTACAAAGTGTCTAATAAATTTATAAATTGTTGATAATTTTAATTAGTCAGGTGATTTCATTCGAACGATATAACTATACCAATTACACACAAATAGGATTTTTTTTTAAATTTTTTAAAAAATAAATATTGTTAATTTTTTAAACTAAAGATAACCAATAAAGTTAAAAATAATAAAATTCGATGATAATCCGAACTATTAAGCGCTATAAAAATAAATTTTAATATATCATAAAATTCAAAACAACTGTCATTTTTATGTAAATTAAATAATAATTTAATAGGATTTCGGAAAGGTGTTAAATTTGTATTTTTATTTTTTAAATCATTACGCCAAACAAATTATTTCTGCTAATTTTAAAAACTTTCAAAATTACTTTTAAGCTATTAATTAAATAGATAAAATCACCTATAAAAAAACCCAGCACGGGGGGTCACAGCACAGTGGTGACGTGGCATAGTTGGATCAAGTATAATGATATCTGACAGTGATTAATATCACTATAAAAAAAACGCTTCAATGCAAAACTTTAGATAGTGTTTAATTTAAAAAAATAGGTGTATTATTCCAAAAGCTACATGATCTGCTAGTTCCTTATTAATATTCTGATTAAGATAAAGTATGTTGAATGAAAAAGGGATTATTAAAAAATATTATTTCTCATAAAAAAATTGTATTAATCCATATATTTTTCAAAAAGTTATAGCATAATAAAGTTAAAAATGTAAAAAATAAAATCGAGAATTTTCACACAAAAATAGCATTCGGTAGCCATTTTCACCACGAAGACAAGTCCAGAGGTTAAATTTTTTTTTTCCATAATAAAGTACATTACATTAGCTTTAATTTAAGATATATATAAAAGTGTCAGACTTTCCGGAACACTTTCAAAAGTTAAGTTGAAAAAGTTCTACTTTCTACATGTATTTTTAGATTTGAACCCCCCTCGTATATAGGGAAATTTTTTAAATTTTTGATGGTAATGTCTTTGACTAGATACGATTTGTGATCTTTTGACGTATCGTTGAAAGAAATCTGTTCGGTGAGAGCTGAGAAAAAGTGGTATCAGACACAAAAAAAAAAATAAATAAATAAAAAAATAAACACATCTTAGTAAAACCAATACCTTCTCAGCTTCGCATCGAAGCTAAAATGTTCACTGTTACGAATAATATTTGTTACAAACAATTGAAGGATGTGTTTATTGATATGAAATTAATCAAATAAGATTAGTTTATTAACATAGATTCCAAAACCAAAATTTTGTAATATGAATATAACAGTAGCATATTTTGAGTTTATTGGAGTGATAAAAAATATAAATTTATTGTAACATTTGGGCTACATCTCATAAGGCCTTCCATATACTATTTGTACTTAGATGAGTACATTATTAAATCTTAAACTATTTGTATTTTTTTTATTGAGAGTTGATAGTTTTATGTTCAGTGTAAATAGCCCAACTATGGAATCTAATAGACTAGTAAGGATTATTACATAAATGTAAGAATGTAAAAACAATATAGAAATAATTATGACAAAACAAGTTAAAATTTGTTTTAAATGTAATCAGTTAAGTGATAAATGACGTTTTATCAAAAGCATCGTTACCATTACTATAACGGGTTTGGCTTTGATTTTTTTTGCACGAGCTGCATACCTTAATGTGCTTAAGGTTTCACTAGTATTTGAACGTGCTGGTGAAACACAAGCTATCTGTAATATAAAAATAATAAAATGGATAAAATAATTTTTTTCTTAAAATCGGGTAACTAAAAATATTTTATTCTTTTAATGTGCACGTGCTATTACTTGTGTACTGTTTTGTATTTTTGTAAACAAGTGAATATGTTTACACACCTGAACCCATTTTGAAATATATACGTTTTATAAAATCGGAAATAAAGCGTTTTTATTTACAACTAAAAACAATAAATAAGCATATACGGCAATGATACACTTTGTAAACGTACACAGTAGAATTTTTAGTAGTTTAAAAACAAATAAACGCTCTTTGATAACTTATTGATGCAACCCTATTAAATGATATACATACGGGCATAATAATAATAACAAATATAAGAGTCAAAAGTCAATAAAATTTCCATGTAATTTTTACCTTTTATTTTTTAGAAAAGGAGGTTATTTTTTTTATGTAAAAGTATAATATAATATATTGATGAAATACTTAATTAGTAAATAGTATCACGAAAGAGTGTTAAAAAGATCAGTATTTACCATAAGTGTAACTCCAGTGCCAGCTAAACTGTCGGATAATAGTTTTGTAAGCTTGCTATCTCGGTACGGTATATGACCTTTGCGTTTTTTTGGGTCACTTAATGATGCTATACAATAACCTTAAGAAGAAAAAAAAGTTTGTTAGCGTGACTGATGGTTTGCGCTTTGATATATTTTTTAACGTTTCCTCTACTAATAAGTTAACGGTCTCTATGCTGTTAGTTTGGTATGCCATTCTATAATGACACATGTTTTTATACAGGTTAAGTGTAAATCGATCGGTTGGTCAGTAATTCTTTTTTTTTTTGTGAAATAAAGAAAAAAGCCTCATTATTAATTCAACGACTAGTAAAGGTCAACACCCCAGGGTTATATTATTTTTACTTAAAGACATGTTATTGATTTCTAATTTTCTAAGTTTTAATAATTTAACATAAAAAATTTAAATAAAAGTTGCCTAGTTTTAATAAATTGTTATAGGCATCTATATAATTTCGTATATACAAAAATTTAAAAAAAGTAAAATGTTTTTAATTTAAATTTTAAAAACTTTTTGAAGAATTAAATAATAAAATCAAATTAATATGAAATTTAATTATTGGTATCATGGAAAAATGTTCAAAAAAAATACACGTTATGAAATAGATATTATATGTAATCAAATATTTCACAGTACTTGTATATATTAATATTTCTTAAGTAAAAAAAAATTTAATTGATTAATTTTTTTTATTAAACCTTATTTACACTGTTTATCAATTAATTCATTGATAAATTGGTAAAATTAAAACTTTTCAAAATTATTTGGTTCATTAAAGTAATATGTTTTTAAAATTCATTTGATCACTCACAGTCCTAATATTTTACTTAAATAGTATTTATGTTTAGTTAATTTTAATTTTAATAAATTATGTTTTTACCTAATACCATTAAACTTTTATTTATATTATTTGCTTCTTCTAAAGTTTTTCCTTCACTCATTGTTTTTTTAGTCATTTCACTGCCAGCTAAGTCTATAAAATTTATTTTACCTTGTTTTGTTATAAATACACCATCCTCAGATATCTAAAAAAAAATATTAATTAATGATTTAATAATGGTATACTTCAATTAATTAGGTTTTGTTTCTTGGGTGTTATTGTTCTATTTACTTGGGTCAGTTTTAATTAAGTTGTTTCTAAATAATGAAAACACAATAACTAAAATTTATATTTCATCTTATCATAATTAAGGAGACAGAAACAATCCTTATCTATTGAATAATAATGCAATTAATAATTATGCTGTATAAACATATAGTTATTTATAAAAAAAGTATTGTTTGATTTAAATATTTCTAAAAAGAATGTTTCTATATTATTTTTTAATTACAACTTATTAAAATATATATTTAGATAAACTGTTTATTAAAATTTAAATAGATAAAAATGTATGTTTAACACTCAACCAAATGTCGAAAGTGATTAAATAATAATTTAGTATATTATAACAATATATGTTTATGAATGACATGTTATTTTGTCTTTGTGAATTTTATTATATTTTGAAATTATAATGAATATGTTTTGACACTTTAAAAAGCATTCATAGTGAAATTAATAATATGAAAAAACGAAATATATGTGTGAATGTTTATTGAATATTAGTATTTCCAGGAAGCACATTATTTATTTTAATAATATCTTGTTAACACATTGTTTTAGAAAGTTATTTAGTATATTTGTAAATAATCTTTCTTTTTTATTACATAACTTTTAATGTTTTGTCTACACATTGTATAGACAATAAAGAAACTACTGTGTATCTGCAGAATACAGGTACAATAAAACTTAAAATAAAATGGTTTCTACAAGTTATATATTAAAAATTGTTGAGATATAACAATTGACTAAATTATTAATAATATAGTCTATTAACAATAATAATGATTAATTTATGTAAAATAAATTATAATTAAAATGATCACTTGTTGTTCAGATGTTATGTATACTGTTAACATTGTGTGGCTTCTACTGGAGCAGTCATTCATATTGTGGCTTCCGACAGTTCTATTTTTCATACCTGCCACATACATATTTTAACTAATTAAAGTAATGTTTAAAAATTGATAGTTTAAATCAATGTACAAAACAATATATTGAATATTAATTTAATAAACAAATATTTCATTCAAAGTAATAAATAGATGGTAGAAAACTAACAAATTAATAAAATTGGGAATTGTCCTATTAACAAGTATAGTAAATGAAATAGTTAGTTCTTATTAATGCCTAGAATATTTCAGGGTTTGCATTAAGTTAAATGTAAGGCCTAAGTATAAATAAAAAGTTATCCATAAAAATTCTCACTTTGTTAGCCGTATGTAGACTGACCCAAACACTTCATAGTCTTAGGCATGGTGTTTATGATATATTATGATTAATATGACTCTGGAATACTCTGAATTTCCTCAGAGGAGCACTAAAGGGAATTATTTGTTTTGACTTAGCAAACCCGGATCCCCGAATCACGGCTTACATTAATTAGTTGGCCCGAATTGTCTCTTTAATTTGGTATTTGAGTATGGGGCTAACAATCAGTTCTAGAAAAAAGGACTTAGTTGAGGAATCTAACAAATTGCCTGGGAAAAAATTTAAATCAACTTTGTTTTGGGACTTGGAACGAACGTACACTTTATCATCCAGGAGCAGCTCTAACCTAAGTAAAAGAAGCTGAGAGTTTTAATTTAAAAATATTAGCATTACAAGTAATAAGATGGAGTGGAAATTCTGCAATATTTTATGGACAACGTGATAACTGTAAACAAGCAAGTAGTGATTTTGTGGTAAGGAAAAATTTAGTAGCTGCAATAAATACTTCAAGATAATTAACTCTAGGTTGGCAGTGTTAATATTAGAAGCTAAATGGTTTAAGATAGTGTTTGTTATGCTCATATCACCACGGAAAAGAAAAGCGATAAGCAAAAGAAAGAGTTATATTCACCATTGGAAAACAGTTTAGAAGATTAAAAGTTAAAACGTGTTACATAATAATTTTACTTGGAGACTTAAACGCTAATATCGACAAAGCAGAATGTTATAGATCGATTATAGGCATACATAGCTTGTATCGGACTTTGTAAAATAATGGGATGTAGATTGATTGATTTATCAATCGAAAAAAGATTATAGATAGAAAGCATAATATTTCCACATAATGCCGTCTATAAAAAGACACGAAGATTTCCAAATGGTCAATATGTCAATCAAATATACCACGTATTAGTAAATTTGAAATTTAGTAATTACGTTCAAGATATACATTATAGAACATTCCATGGTGCACATTGAGGTCCGAAATAATTTTTTGTTCCAGGTATCCTAAAGTAAAATAATTTTACTTTAGACTTTTTTTCAATTATTATATTGAAAGAATATATTGATAGAATATTGAAATATTCTATATTTCAATATTATAATACAAATATTGAAAAAAATCTAAAATCGTTAGAAAAGCTAGCCGCCATCTAACATTTGACATCTAACAATTAGGTGATCCGATAGTCTGTGAAACATTTTATACAAACATATTAAGTGAAGTGAAAAAAAATCAATAACACTTCAGTATTAATAATGATGACATAGAAATAATGTGATCAAACATAAGGAATGTAATTTAGAAAGCAACAATGAAAACAGTTGTAGTGTAACGGCAGATTGGTTCAACCAGATATGTGAAGATGCATTAGAACTACGAAAAATGGTTAAATGATACACAAAATGAAGAAAAATATACCCCATATACATCTTATTAAATAGACTTTGAATATAGTAGAATACTTTTAGCATACAATAGAGGAAATTATGAAACAAATCATAAACTTAAAAAATCACAGGACTCCTATGAATATAAAATAACAGGGGAATTATTGAAAACAATGGGTCGTGATTTAGTTTAGTGTATACATTAGTCAGTTGATCTAATATGGCAAAAAGAAGTGATATCGAAAGAATGAGAACGGCGCTGGTGTATCTCATTGATAAAAAAGGAACAGGCAGTCATGTAATAATTACGAAGGAATATTTTTGCATACAAGATTTTGTCTTATTGCCCACTTAATAGAATCAAACTATGGGCGAAATAGATCTTTTGGGACTACCGTTGAGGTTAAAACAGTTTGAAATTCCTCGGAAGTTGATAGGTCTCATGAAAATGATCATAGACACACTTAAATTAAAGTTAAAGTAGGATTCAATCTCAAATGTAGTACAATTTGACAACTCAACAGAAAGTATTTTAGTTTGAATTTTCGCCTTCACTTACCTATTTATTTCATTGTGGTGTATTGAAATAGCACCTAGGTATTTGAACTATTTTACTGTATTAAGTTTACAACTTTCAATCAACTATTTTAAGTATCTGAAGGTACTTTTTTGGACTACCATGTATTTTGTTTTTTCTGTATATATCTATAGTCAGTGTTATACATTTCACAGCTTCTAAAACTTTTCTATCGAGTTGTTTTTTATTTTACATCAGCAAAACTATGTTGTCAATATATGCTAAGATTACATTGTTTGTTTCTCTTAGTCTTACACCTTCTTGATCTATTGATATTTCCATTATAACTTTCTCAAGGGCTATATTGATTGAAGACAAGGCTTATCTCAACTTCATTATTACGTGAACTATATTTGAGATTGAGTCCTAATTTAACCTTAATTTAAGTGTGTCGATGCTCATTTTTATGAGATTTATCATTTTCTGGGTCATTTTAAACTCATATAAAACAATAATCAAAGATTATCTACATTCTGAGACTAAGAATTTTTTGAAATCAATAAATTGGAATAGTACGTCATTATTTACAATGTTAATATGTATGTTATTACACAATAGTTTTCTTTTAATACTAATAATATCGATTTATGTATGAATTAGTATTATCTATAAACTTCAGTTATTGGTTATAATTTATTAGAAAGATTTATTTTTCCTAATTAACAATTTTTAATAATTTATTTACATAAAATGTGATATTTTACAACTTAATATGTTCTCTAATACATAAATAAAATTTGTTAGGGACAATTTGAAGTATGTAATTTTATCATTATAACTATTTTAAATAATTAAAACAATCATCTAATGTTTAAGTTTTAGTTACATATTAAGTTATTTTATTTACCTTCTTCTAGTACAGCTTGTAAATCATCTAGTTCTTCACAATCTACCATAAATAAATTATCTACATAAAAATTACGTGATTTTCTTGACCATCTAACATCTAATGGTTTCCTGGCAGTGCCCGGATTCAGTAAATCGATAACCTATTCATAAAAATATACTGTATATTTCCCTGAAGTAAATATATTTATATGCCAGTTTTATTTTAATAAATTATTAAAATAAAAGGATTTATTTAACACAATAAAAAAATTTCAATAACATCGATACAAGTTATATAGTTCATATTTACACGCAACTATTACCAAGTACCAATATTACTATTAAGTACTTTATCGCTTATATGAACATAATACATATAAAATATAGCAAGGGAAAAAACAGAGGTCAACGAACTACATTCGATTGATAAATGCCTAAAAAATGATTTGATAGAATATAAAATTATAATATGATACAATACATTACTTTTTCATTGTATATTTCTAGGAAAGATGCCTTGAGTACAAAATGATGGTCTTGTCTCTGTTGTAACAACCGGAATAGATACATGAATGATCGAAAGACAAGTCCGTGATTCTTTGAAAATGGCTCAATCCGCTTATGAAAAAACTAAAAATGTTATTAGCTCATAATAAACTTAGTTCGGATAATTATTGTGTAAATTTCATATACGTTTGTATTTGTGTGTTTAATAAGTTAAGAGAAATGTATTATTTTATTAAAAACCTAAAATCTAAGCAGCAATGTAAATTTTATCACAAAAAAAATATTGGTTTTAATGTTTACGAAAAATTAATTGAAATATGAAAATACAGTTAATATGTTTACTTAAAGGTCAAAAAATGTGATTTAAAATATATTATAGATTCTTTAGATTATTAACAACGGCCATACTTTACTCTCATTATCCTCACAAATACAAAAAAGTTTTAAAAATAAAATTTATAACCCTAGAGAAGTAAACACTTCTAATATTGACTAATGATTTAATTGGGTCAGGGATTTTTCTTAATATCATTAATCTATTTGGCAGACGGCAAAATTAGTTACATTGAAGCTTCAACCCATATTTAACTTCAATTAATTTTACAAAAAAAATGAGTATGTATGCATAACTAAGTGTGTAACAAAAAACGAAAAATATAATTTCACTTAATGAATAATGTAATATTCGTATTTTGACAGAATACGTTTATTCTATGTATACAAATAAAGTTTGCGTTGAAAAAAATATTTTTTTATGAACAAATAATTAATAATAATGCTTTATAAAATATGTTTGTCAAAAATAATAATTATTATAAAATTTCTAAAAAAAATAAATGTATAAAACTGGCTGAATAAGCATATCCTTGAACACAGATAAACATAATTAAATAAAAAATTAAAATTTATAAAAATATTGTGTAAAAAATGCTGAGATAATTTTAATAATTATTGTTTTGGTTTAAAACTGTGTATTTCTGAAATTAGTCAATTTTTCAATCATGAGCCTCTTTTTTATCGATAGAAATTACGATTTTTTAAAACCTAAGCTCTATTGAAGTTAAAAATAGGTTAATTTAGTGGTGTAGTGATACACGACTTTATAATCATAAAAGCAAGACAACGTATAATTCACATTATGATAACTACTGATATATCTCGGAGTATAATCAGCTAGTCAAGATGATCTGATTATGAAGTGGTATCGATATGTTGTAAAAAAATATGGGTTATCTGAAACTGAGTACTTTGTTGATGGCTGACAAAATATGATGATATAAGAACTAATTTGAAGAAGTAATTTTATTAATATTTAAATTGATATTAATTGAATGACCGTAAGAAACCAATTCATCAAAGAAGGTATCGCGGACGTATATTACTGCTCTAAATATTATGAGAATTGCATTCACAGGTCAGCCGTATCGTTTATCATAGCATGTACATACATTATAATTTTTTCTGATAAATTCTAGTTAAGTATAAGAGAACACAAGAATAGATATATTTTATCGGAATTTTTGTAAAATATCACATTTTATGTAAATAAATAAGTTGTTTATTATGGGAAAGAATTTGTTTATAATTCTCTTCAAAATTGAGATTTTAGAGACAAAATATTCAATATTTCATAATATATTTTTAAGTCGCCGAACTATTGGAAAAAGTAGAATATTCAAATGTATTAGCTCTCGCAAGTTATGTTGTATTGTAAAATAACAAATTGTTTTGAAATTTAAGATTCGATTTTCTCAGTTTACAACAAATTGACATACCTTGTTTTTTCCGTGTACCTTTAAGATTATTATATATTTGATTGAAATTTATAGATAGTATACATACATTTATATTATTAATATAAAAAGAATATCTGTAATGTTAATATTAAACATTGTGTAAGATTAATAAATTAACATTGTAAATAATAAAGTATCAATTCAGTGATGTACCCGAAACTCTATACAATATTTATATATTTTTGGTCTATACCAAAAATAAAAAAAAAATTAACATATATGGTATATTTAACACTATGCAATTATATGGTGTGTGTTCTAGTTTTAAATTTAATTCACTAATAGCAATAAATAAATAAATTTCAAAATAAATTAGCATACAAATTTTTACATTAGAATTAATGAAATTTTAGTTAATGCTCACTCGTGAAATAGGGATTCAAATTAAACTTATAGATTTGAATATTGAGATGTACGTTTGTTTTTAATAAACATAAAAGCAACTAGATTTATTTTCAATAATTTTATATTTAAATAATTTTTTTATTTAAAAAAATTTCTAAGGTTTGTATTACTATGGTTAAAATTTGGTTTCTTTTGAATTTTAACTGAGTTCATACATAATGTGTGTTTTTGGCTAGACGATCACTAGCTGAAACTACCTTTTTCTCTATTATAGTAATTTATTAAAAACGCACTTTAATCTAATTGGTCATAACCCTAATTCTTATATCATTCAAAACTTGATTTAGTTACTTCATACACTTACCATCCCTGGTGGACCTGTAAGAGTATGAGTTTTTCCACTGCCTGTTTGACCGTAACAAAAGCATGTTGTGTTAAATCCTTCAGCCGCCATTTCTATAAGTTTTTTAATACCGGAATACTGGAAGACATCTTCTTGGTTAGATGCTGGTTCAAAAACAACGTTAAAAGAAAATAACTTGTTTTTGGGCCCATTGGATCCCCCAATTGATGGTAAACTCTCGACCTAAAAGTAACCCAAAATATTTATTTTATAATAGATTTTTAATAAACAGGCGTAATACGTACTATAGTTTTATTTTACTTTCTATATCATTACTGGTGTTTATTGATATACAAGAATTTTAATGAAATGGGCAATTCCATTAATAATTAATAAGGAGTTTGACCTTGAGCTTTTTTTCAATCAATATTTTTTTATCGTTTATTATGCCTAAACTATGATAAAAACTATAAACAAATTTCTGTCGACCGATTTCAGAACTACGGTGAAACATGATCTAATTTAATTTTTTTTTTTTTAATTTTATATTATAATTTAATTATAATAAGCTGATATAAATAAAATAAAGCCTGAAGTTCAAAAATTTTAAAAATATATGTTGATTTTATTTGGAATTAATCAACTTTGACAAGAGGCTAATAATTATGTTTTATAATATTCACCATAAGTACTTAAAGCTAAACTAAATTCCATACTGTTTTTCTTACAAAAAGAAGATGTGTAATATAATTTTTATATACAGAGTGTTCAGGAAATGGGTTTCTATTGTTTTCATTGTTTGTAATTATTTACCTGTATCCCTTACATACTGAACATTATACAGGGTGTTCAGTAAATAAGGAAACGAATTTCTATTGTACTCATTGTTTGTAACAATTTAACTGTTTCCTAACTTACTGAACACTCTGTATATGTATGAGTGTGTGTAGAAGAAACGTTCTATGTCAATAACGAGAGTTTATACATAGAGTAACATTGAATAGTAAATTTAAGTCAAAGAAAACTCGAGTGTACAACCTTTTTAGTACATCTTAAATTTCACGCTACAGAGTACATTTATTACACAAATTAATTTATTATATTTAAAAAAATTATAGTTTATATTTCACTACTGCAAATCAATAATCAGTATTTGCTTTATTGACCAATTATTAAAAAATAACTTTAGAAGGTTACAACATAAAGCACAAATAAATAGTATTTTGATATTTCTATAGAGGATTTTAGTTATTACATCGAAATGTATACAGGAAAAATCTCATTCAAATAAAAGTTTACTAATAAATCATATGTTACAACAATATCATCGATGTAAATATAATAATAATTTTAATACTATTTTTTCAGAAAATGAAAAGTACATATGAGTATCCAATTAATAGAACTCAAAGAATCAATTAGCATTGTGTTTTGAACTTGTTATTGGTGTTAGTTTTATTTATAGTAAAAAAAAAACATTCATTAGAATTAATAAATGTGTCTGGATATTTTTTAGCTAACTAAAAGTAGCCAAAAAATATTTTAGTTATAGTAACCTAAAGAAAATTTAAAATATAAATATAAGAATGATATTTAAAGCAATATATTTACAACATTTATTATTGAGTGTTATTTACAATATCAAAAAAAAAAAACGGTCAGGAAATTTAAAAAACTTAATTTTACAACAAATATACAAAATAAAATTATTAGGTGTAATAATATTTAATTTTTTTTGTAATGTAACATGAACAGTATTAATAGAACAATGAATCGTAATGAAATATTAAGATAAGACTTCAATGATATTCTAACAAGTTTTGTATCAAAAGCATAAATAATAATAATAACAATACTAAAAATTTTATAAGATTGTTGGAAATTTGTGTACAGCACACGTGTTGCTAAATTGCCTACAAGTTTTGCCGTTGATCACAACTTATACATTTTTTACATTTTATATATTAGCTATATTTTTTAACATTCAAAACATTTTTTTATATACATTATTTTATTATATTCTTTATATTTTGAAATAAAATAGTGATGTGATACTTTATAAATTAATTTATTACAAAATTTGATAAATCAACTATAACAACTATCTTTAATTGATATTTACAGCAGATATTGAATGTATTTCGTGATGTTTAATTTATCTGTTTATCTATATCATATGAGATGATAAAAATGTTCATACTTTCATTATATAATTAATCTTAATTTATAGACTCAGTTTTAGTATTAGTTATATTACAACATATGACACGACTGCTAAGTATTGACGGCTGGTCATCGAAAGTATAAATGACAATCGTATGAAAAATAAAAGGCACAGTACGAGAACCCGTAACCTAAAGCATCTTACAAACCTTACATTGTACCGTGTCACATAATATGTAATACTGCATAGTTTTATACTAATAAAGAAGTCCTAAACTGAACTTAATATATCATAAGATTAAGATTTTTGTGATGTATATGACTGTCTTAAGATAAAAAAAAATACTCTTTTTAAAATTATCTCTTAAATGAAAATTTAGTAGTAAAAAAAAACCTAATAAAGATTTTGTATTTTTACAATATAGTTGGAAGAAATAATAGATGTTAAATATAATTATAAACACCTAGAAAATAAATTCAAATAAAAATATCTTTTTAGTATCACATCGAAGCTAAAAAATATTTAATTGTGATCTTTTAACTTACCACTATACGTCCATTTCCTGGAAATGATACAACTGATGTTTCATTAGCTTTATTTTCTTTGATACTTATAGGTCGCACCCTAAAGATCAACAGATAATCATTTTAGTTATTAACTTACTATAAACCACAAACATTCTGGGAAAAACGAATGAAAAATAACACTAATTTGTATTAGTGTTTCAGTGATTATTTACCTGACAACAACATAGATTCCATTTTCTTGATCTCCAAGATCATTAAAAGATCGGTTTAGTGATTCATTGGACTGATCCAATTTGTTAAGTGATGAAATAGAACTAAAATAGAAATTACGATGATATTACTAAAAATAAAGTGTTTATTTTACATTGTGTTTAAATGATTGGCTCATTATTTATTAAAAATTTAAATATGAGCATTAGAATTAACTGTATAAAACTTAAGACTATTATTTTTACTATAGTGTGATTAATCATTTAGGTCACTTGGTTCGAATTTTATTTAAAAAACAGAATTTGTTTTATCTTAAATTCAGTATGGTAATGACCTAATTAAATAGGAAATTTTATTTGTGTAAAATACCTTGAAAACTTCAAATTAATATGTTTGTAATCAATAAAATATGATAAGTAGTTATTATTTTACTACGTCGATAAAAATGTAGTTTGGTTATAAAATTTATATTTTAAGAGAGTAATAATACTTTTGGTTGAGGTTGGCTTAATTAATTTTATTTCGAAACTAGGGAAAGGATTGATAAACACATTAAATTATTGACTACATTTTTCCTAATTTTATTAAATACATAATTGCCAAGTGAGGTTATTGAATACTTTGCTTTGTCTAGCTGGGACTGCGCTTAAGGCCCCGGAACCCTACAAGTGGTGGTTACAATAGTATATTAATTTTGATATCAGTATCAGGCTACGCTGGGCACGAAAGGTAATTGAAGGCGAAAATCGACATATATATTAATAACACTTTGTTAAAATGAACATTAAAGTATTATAATTGAAAAATTATATACACACACAGATATATATATATGTATAAATAATACAATTTGTGTGAGTAAAATTATATAATAACTTCATCAAGGAATTAACGTGAAACAGAATGGCGTTCTGATCGTGTTATAAAAAAAAAAATAAAAAATTCACAATCCGGTCAAAACTGAACAGATTATAAAATAATTTTTAAAATACCTTTAGATTACTTAGTTTGATTGAAATTTCTTTTCTCATATAATGATATTGTAGCGTTACACTACAGTTTTATTGCTGTTTTTTCAGTTACATGAAAGTCCGTTAGAAAGCGTTGGACTACATATTAATTTTTATTGAAAAGATTATAGTATAATGTACTTTTAATTAATAAGATGGAATAATAATGAATATAAACTCTCTTTTTGTTACATATTAGTCAAATCAGGAACTTACAATTTGCAAGATAAAAAATCACCTTTATATACTACACACTATTAACAAAAAATAACCAATAAACAATTAAGCTATACAACCAAAGTAGTAGTGGTCTGTATAAAAAACGCCTTCGCTAACTTTCTTTTTATTTTGTTAACCGAGTAATCACAATAATTATTGCCTACTAGTCTCACATTGCTTGTATGTTTTACCTTTGGGTTAAGTTATATCTATTATTTTTTACCTAACGTTCCGAATAAAATATATATTGATCATTCAAACGGTGTTCGTAACTGTATTGATCTACTGTTATCAACCATGATCACAGATTTATACATTAAACTTCTATATATAAAGTTAGTTAATCATCAACGGTGATCATAACCTTTGTGTTATCAACCGTGATCAAAATTACTAGATTTTCCTTTTATCCCTTTAATCTTTGCTACGGTGCTCGTAACAATACATTACCAACCGTGATCCAAAGGGTTATACTTATCTCTTTCCTTAATTTAATTAATTCCTAAAGTAAGACTGATATGATTGGTAATTATTCATTATAGATATTTCTTTTCTTTTTAAGTAAAACGAAATAAGCTGATTATTTGAGAAAAACTGTGTTTTGCTTTCATATTATTGGTAATTTTAAGTTAAGTTATATAAACTTAAATAGAGTACGTAAGTAAAAACATTTCAATATTCAACAATACATTTTAATTATCTGGATAAAATATAAATCGAAATATATATATGCTAAAAATGTATACCCATTTAAGCATAAAAAGCGAACAATATTAAATTATGATGATATTGTTCTACTTAAATATCTGAAAATGACATAGATATGATAATAAGATTGATTATACTGCATAAAAATCAAATTACTCAAGTATTGTGTCAATATTTAAAGATTAGTAACGCAGTTTCAATGCTTTTATAGAAAGAATTTGAAAATAATTTGTAATATATTTAACAACGACAATGAAATTAATTCTAAGGAGGTATAACCGAAAAATATGAGATTTAATATTAGATTTTAATATATTAATACTTGGCTAAAAGTTATGTACTTATTTATAAATTGAAACGTTATTTTTATATAAACAATATTTTTATATGGTAATCGAATTCAGTTTCCAAGAAGAAAAATTTATAATTTTATGTCAAAATAAGACATTTATTCTTTATTTGTATGCTCAATTAGCAAAAAATGTTACTCTTAATTGCTCTATTTACCTGAGTAGGTTATAACAAATATGACCATAATAAATAAATATTAAATAATCGATTCATGGTAATAAAAATTCATTTTTAGGAGTATTATAACTAAAAATTTACTCTGAAACAATATTGATGTGGTATATTATTATTCATAAAATGTGGATTCTTATTAAAGAATATTTATAGGCTGTTAAAATTGTTTGGAATATTAGATGTGAAACTTTATGGTTTCTCTTTATTAAAGTGATATTTATAACTATGTCTTTCCTATTTATTATTACTGTTATGTATTACGGAATGCTTTTTTGTCTAGAACCTGTGTTGTCAACGGCTGTCAAGTTATTATTTTTGTTATGTGTTTGTGTTACACGAATGACATCAGTAATATTTCTATTTTATGATTTTAATTATTTATCAAGCTTAAGTTTTTAATAAAAGTCCCTAAACCGAAAATAAGAAGACACTTTAAATTTAATGATTTTCCTATAATGCTTGAATTGTATTTATTAATTTTGAATACATATAGTAATTTTTTATTATTAAGCTATATACCATATTTCATAAATATTTAATATTATGATAGAGCAATTTAAAATTTTTAAAAGTATTTAGCATTATTAATTTATTTTTTGTTCTAAATGTTTAAATAGTAATTTTAAATAGAAAATCAAAAATAGTGAGATTTTAAAATAGGCATTATTTAACATTTTTCTTGTAAAAAATTTTGAATGATTGATAACAGCTTTAGGATTGGTACTTATTGACTTACTAGCATTTTAATGTATTAAGTGGGTAATAGCGCCGATATACAGTTCGTACTGGTGTGTACTCAGCTTATGCTGAAATGAGAAATACACGCAAGCAGTTGTTTTGTGTGCCAGCGAATTTTTCGGATTTATTTTTCATGACTAGAAATTCAAAATAAGTTAAAGAAGCAGAAACTTTTTTAAAAATTTTGCGACTCCTAAAATGTGGCTAAAACTAAATCATAATTTAAAAATTATAATTTTAACGAATAATATGTTTCCCTTTACGCTACTTTTTAATGTCATACATAAGGTAAAATTGTTTTAAATAATTGTGATCATAATCAAATGACAATTTGTTTATACTAAAAAAAAAAACTATTTGTTGATACCAATGTTACATTGACTTTTAAGTTTATTTAGGAATTTATTTTAGATAATAAATAAAAATACTTTTTATTATTGATAAAGAAATGGAATTTTTTCATTAAAACAATGATAAGTCCGCTTTACTGATATATCTACATATAAAAGACAGTTATTTTAGGATCTAATATTTAATTTTGAAGCTCCTATGTTTTCCTTTTTAGTTCAAACTTAATAGTTTTAAAAACTATTGGGCTTTCATAGCTTTTTAATTATCATTTAATTGTTTGAATAGTACTGTTATAATTTAAGTTATATATAGCAAAATATGTACTCACTCGTCACTATATTTCGATGTCACCTTCATAACCATGTCTGCCATTAATCCATTGCTCAATCATTAAATTGTTATTAATAATTAAAACTTAATGATCTTTAAGACTATGGTATGATATTTAAAATAGCATATTATTTTTTTTAAAAATTACAAGCGAATATTATAAAAAGAAAGTGCGAGTGTTTTGTGTTAACGGGCACTTGGTAACTGAATTGAGGGTAACAAAACATTCCTAATAGTTGTTTGTCCACAGGTGATAGTATGTCGATATAAATTGGTGGAATTCTTGTATGTATAGGAAGGGTAAAATCGAACGTCATTCAACGAACGAATGGAGGGGTGCGATTTTACGATAATATTATGTTTAACGATTGTTGTCCTATTAAGTGTTTTCAGTTCATAACTCTTTTTATAATTCATATCATAAAAATTTACATGCTTTAAAATTAATTTTTAATAGCTGTCATTTTTAGTAATTTATAGCTTGCTATTTTTTCGTAAAAAAAAATTTAATTTTATATATTAATTGCTAATTTTTTTTGCCTCTAATCTGTAATTTAAATATTTATACATATTAGCTTCGATTAAAAGCTGAGAAAGTATTAATTTTACTATGATGTTTTTATTTTTTTGTGTGTTTGTTGCCACTTTTTCTCAGCTTTCACTGATTCAATTTTTTTCAATACGTCAAAAGATTAAAAATCGTATGTAGTTAAAAATATTGCTCTTGAAAATTGAAAAAAATTTCCTCGTTTCCTATAAATGGCGATAATCAGCCAAAAAATTACGATTTTTAAAATTTGTAAATTTTGACATTTTTTTATTTTTTTTTTTAAATTGTTATAATTTTTGAAAAATTAACAAATAAATATAACTTTTTTTTTATTGAAACCTTAAGTAATTCACTTTTATTTAATTTTATATTTTTGAAAATCTGACCCTTTATCTGCCCACAAGAGAGGATTCAAAATAGCAGTTTAAAAAATGTTCCGGAAATGCTGCATCCTTTAAACATATATCAAATTAAAGCTTATGTTACGTACTATAAATTAAAAAAATATAAATGTCACAATGACTTATCTTCTACGTGCAAACGGCTGCCGTAGTTAAAAAACATATTTTTTTGTTCAAATTTTATTTTTATTTATTTATTTTAAAATACCTTATAAGAGTTTTCCATAGTAATGAGTCCACCAATAAATATAAAATTTACATGAATCTAACTTACATTAAATATAAATTTATACTTATTTTGGTTGCCTCTTCAAAGTTAAGAAAAACTTTTTTGAATTTTTGAAAATTTTTGAATATAATTTTTCAAAATGTCCGGGAATACTGCCTCTTAAATATATGTTAAAATAAAGTTTAATTTATGTACTAGAAGTTAAAAAAAAAAAAATTTGTATCGACGGCCTATTTTCTATGTGCAAATAGCAGTCGGAGTAGAACAAAAAATAGGAGTTTATTTTGCTTTTGGAATAATCCACCAATTTCTTAAAATTAAACACTATCTACAGATTTACATCGACGCGTTTTTTATGATAGTGATGTTAATCATTGTCAGATAACATCTATACCTCTACGTCTCAGTTTTGCCACCTCCCATCTATGTTACGACTCCTTACAATGCTAGTTTTTTTTATTATAAATCATCTAGTATTTTTCTTATAAAATTCAAGTATTTTTCATAGATTGCTAACAGGATTATTGATAGTCCATTTATTCTGGTATTGTGATTTTTCTATTAGTATATATCATAGTTAAGAGTATCATAAAAGAATAAGTTAAAAGGATTACGCTACAGGAAGCATATGTTGTGTCCTTTTTTTTTATAAAATATTTGTGGAAAGTTCTATGCATCTAATATCAAGTAGTTCAATTATTATTTCGATTTTTTTTAGATTAAGTAATGTATCTTAATATTGTATCTATACCTCGTTTAATATGCATAAGTTGCATAATTATTTCTCAGTTTTTCCAATTGTAAAACATTTATTTATCAACAGTGAAAATATAAATATTTTTGATGTATTTTAGAAAGGTTACAATGTTGTCTATTTTTTATTTTTAATAATGTATTTTCTGTTTAAAAAGATTACAAGAACTTAGTTTTAAAAATAATGTCTAGGTTTACGGGATCAAGAAATAGATAAAAAATTGATTTAAAGTATCCTCTGTTTAAAATATAATGAATAATTTATAAAAGTCTCTATACTCTACTTACAACATATGAAACAACGCATGCCTTTATTTCTTTCTAATGAAATGAACACCATAAAATTTACCATCAATCAATTGAAAATTAATGATGAAAATTTAAAACAACTATCATTTAATTTTCTTTCTTGATATTTATCAAGAATCATGGCAAGATCCATTTCTAAAACTACTCTTGTTTTTTCTTATTAAGTGAGACGGGTTCAAATTAAATGTTTTTGGTATCTTAACGCATCTAATTTATTTATTTATTCCAAACCAGTACCGCAGAGTAAATAAAATATATAGTATTCAGTTATATCTCAGTTTTACAGCACCTACAGTTAAGTCAAAATATTATTGCAAAGCTCAAACGTTTTAGATGGAAAACCAAGTTTTGAATAAAGATAAACAATGTATATAACTATAAATATTAATACGTAATGTATTCAAAATCAAAAATGCTTTCAATGACTATGAGAGTGAAAATCTTTTGGTTATTGATATACATATTTGTGTAGTAGTAAAGAACTCATACAATAGTACGTGTTCTATATTTATATAAAATTGACTTAATAGACTTTTTATAGAATTTTAGAATGATTGAATATTAATTAGATTATTATTGTTTTTGCTATATTTTAGTATTAAGTTGTATATATTGTAAGATTATAACAGAACTTACGATCTTTAAACTATTTAAAAATTATTATCAGTCGACATTTTTTTTAAAGAAAACACTAAATTACTTAATATAATTAAAAATATTTTCTGAAGTTTATTAAAAAGAAAATTATTCAAATTGCCTTTGTTGATATAATAGTAGCATTTAAACTCCATACAAAAATCATTTTTTTTAGGCGTGGTGTAGTACAGTAGATTATTCAGTTGACGCCTTAACACTGATGTTCAGTTGGACTGTTTGTTGTTGGCTGCCAGATATATGCAATACGCGAACTTATACAGTGACACGCTTTACCTCTTACTGGCTTCCTTGACCGTATTAAGGTTCCGACAGCCGGTAAAAAAAACCTGTCAAATTATTTGAGGTGGAGCCGGCGCCAAATAGTTTGGATATAGGCTAAAGTGATGATGACAACTTCCGAATTCTTCTTCGGAGCGAGCTCGTCTTCCTCTTCTCCTTTTTCCTTTTCCCCACTTCACAACTTAGTTGGTTTCTAAGAGATTAAGGATAAGGGGATTCAGTGAGTGAACCAGCTATTACCTCACTATGAAGTCTGTTCGATTACAATCGTTCTTTTGTTACTCGCAACTTCCTGAAACTCTGTTTGCGTCGAGGAATTGACGGTCGGAAGTACCTCCTCCGGTGTATAGGTAAACTCCAGGTCGTAAAACAAATACTATGAATGATGGCTTTGGCATCACCAGTTCATACAAGGAAATAATATGAAAAACGTTCTCCAATCTTTTCGCCTGTTTACCAGCCAAAGCGAGACTAGCTGTGAGTACGGACTTCGAACTGGCTTTGTTCAACTTCGAACGCCGCATGCCGTCCTCATGGAAGAAATCGATAAACGCAATTTCACCACATTTTCTTCTTTTCGTTCCCGGTGCCCTGCCAGGTGTATCCATGGGCGGGATTGGTGCACCTGTAGTATTGCTGTCCAAGGCTGTCAACAGCTGTCAGCGACCGTTTATTCGCCAGTCCCCAAAAAAGCGACTACTTATTTTGCGACTAACTTGCATATTTCCAAGCCGTTCCTTTATCCATAACCCGAGGACGTACCCAGTTTCCCTAGCAAGGAACTTGCACTCATTATAAATGCAAAAGTGGCAACGCCACTTTTAATCGAGAAAAACAATTTTGAAATTTATGGAGTTCTCTAATACAAGATTCTGTGAAGGCACATTTCGCACATGCCTAGAGCTAATACCGTACTTGTAAAATTTTTTTTGTGTACATTTTATTATAATTTTATATTTAATAGCTGTGTTACTGTTGTATTTTTTAGGGGTTTTTCATGTGTACATAAGTTATTTTTTATTTTTATAAAAGCTTAAATTCATTAAGTAAAGAAAGTTATCCACGAAGTTATAATATATTATTATAAAATATTCAATTACATCACCAAAACAATTCTAATAAAACATTTTTTTTTTATGCATTGATATGATTTATACTTTTCCTCTTGTATTTTTCTATGGTTCGTTATTAACCCTTTTTGGAAAAACTGTCCAAACCTCCCTTAATATGATTGTATAATTCCTTTTTTGTTGTAAGAAAATTACTCTCAAAATAGTAAAAAATATAACAGTAAAAGTGTGTAATGTATTTATTTTTGATAAAATTCCAATGATAAAATTACTTTTAGATCGAAATATTATCAAACTTTTTATTATTGTAATTTATAATTTTTTTATAATATTTAATCTAAAAATATATACATTATGAATAATGATACAATTTTAACTTATAAAACGTTATATTATCAAAGAATTATTTGTTTTTGAATTCAAATTAAATATTTAAATTAATAAAGTAGAAATTGAGTAAAAATTAACGATTGAAATGTTAAATGGCAAAAAGAAGTTTTAATGTTTTATTTATTTCTTTTAGGACAGCTACTTTTTCTGTATTTATTTCTTTATCTTGTTTTGATTGTAATATACTTTTTATGGTATATTCTCTGAAATTGTTCCGCTTGTATTAGGATATCGTACAAATTGCTTTCAAATAAAGTACCAATAAAATAGTTTCGTTTAGGATATATTTATATGTGTTTTTTTTTTCAACGCTTAATGATAAGTCTATTTTTTTCATAAGGTTCGTTTAATATAAAATGGTAAGTGCAGATTCATAGTCTTTTTTATGCTATTTGTTATAAATTTTAAAATGATTTATTTTAATAGAAACGATTCATTGAAAGTGTACAAGTTGTTTTTTATGTATATTTTAAGAATTTTGTAATAGTAAAGTAAAATAATCTTAGTAAAACAATAACATCAATCTTAAATTCTACTGTATCAGTATAAAGAAAAATAATTCTTTTAACAAAATAAGTACAAAATATTTTTTATACAACGTAACAAGAAAAGTGATTTATTTTAATTGATTTTATTAATTTTAAATTATAAGATAAAACTTTTATCAGAGTTTCATACATTTATTATTTAAGTTTTAATAATTTTAATGATAATCAGCTTATTTTATATTAAAATTAGTAATAATATTTTGAAAACCATTATAATGATTAAATAATTACTATTAAAAGATTGTTGTTTCATAATTTAATATGAAAAATTTATGATTAGAAAATATTCTCTCCTTATTCCTGATAATCCACCCAACATAATTGCTGTAACAATGACCATTTGTTATAAATATATTAAGTAAAAGTTTGTTAAAAGTTAATAAATTTAATAGACATCTCTTACATCATCAAATAATTCTGTGTTTAAATATTCCTGTTTTATTACTATTGTAGTCAATAATAATTTAGAAAAAATTAGAATATTATGGAACTTCACTCTACACTGCTATAATTTTATATCAAGGGGGAAATTTGGCTCCTTTGGACCCTTTCTGTAAATATGTAATATTTATAAAACGATCACATACAGTGCTCATATCTCAGTTACTATAATTACCATAAAACTGGCCATTCGATATTGGGACATTAACGCAGTAACACATAATAATTATAACGAAAGTTCAAACTCTACACATAAACACATTTGATTTTCGTAGTCATCTTATTAAGTACATACGGGCAAAACGTAAGTTACCTTTCAACCATCTTTGTAAAAATATAAATTTAATATATTTGTATATACATGATATCGATTTATCATAAATCACTGGATTAATTGCAAAATAAAAATAGCATTTGTAAAAAGAATTTGTTTTAGTTATATATATTTTTTGATTTATCAGCTTATAATTAATTTTTAGAATTATCCCTTATAACTTAAACAGTTAGTAAGTGTCTACTTTATTTTTTTTTAATGGCAACATACATGTTTAACTAGCTTATATGATAGAAAATAATCTAATTAAGAGAATAACTAGTCGGTAACTACTTTTGGACAAGTACTTCGGAAGTTATTCTCATTTTTATACTTAGGCAGGACGAAGGGTACGGTCGGGAAATGACTAGTGATAAATATAGCAGCACCAACTCCTGACCTTCAGACAATACTTTAAATTATTAATAATTTCTGAAACACTGGTCGAAAAGTTGTTTTCGACCAGTCATTTTCTTAATTAGATAATTTTCTACTTCATAAGTTAATTAAATATGTATGTTATTATTTAAAAAAATAAAGTTGATACCCTTTTAAATTATAAGGGATGATCCTTAAAAGTTATAAATAGCTATTAAATCAAGAAATATATTGTAGTAAATAGCTGAGAAGGTATTAAATGACTTCGGTATTAGTATAGTATAAGTTTTTAACAAAGTAGTAAGTCATTTTAAATTCTTAAGTAAAATAATAATGTCATATAAAGGGAAAATGCAGGGTAAGTAAATTAACAATGGTGGGAACAAGAATATATGTAAAGGGAAACAAAAAAAGTAATGTGGGAATGACGTTTTGACTAAGAAACGTCTATTGACGTTTAGCGCGTGAAATTTTGTATTAATCGGCTCAATTTACATTGTTATATTGTAATTTGATTTTGTGTTTTTTACGTTCCGTAAATAAAAGATAACTGTTCGAAACCTGCACTTGGTATACATATTTTATATCCACCGTGTTATTAAAATTGTGTGTGTGTGCGGCTAGAATCAAGGTTGGACTGCTGGTCCTTTAATTGATCTTAACAATTAGTGTGCGTGCTGACTAGTTTTTGGGCTTAACCGTTCTTTAGTAGGTACAGTGAAAAGGTAGTTGTGCTGATGGCTGACGAGGAGCCATCCTTCAGTCTGCTACTTTTATCAGTCTACTACCGCGCTGATGGGTCTAAAATCTACCCTTTTAGTGTACGTCGGTTCTACAGACGTATGGTTATATGTAACTAAAAGAAATCGAAATTTTTGTTCTAATATTGTATTTATTTTGCAAATAACTGAGAGGTTTATGACAAACCGATCGCTCTGTATATAACTTAAATTAAAGTTAAGTGTGTGCCTTAGTCAGTGTTGGAGTAAGATCATTTTTACGTGTCCAGCAAGTTTTAATTATACTGTTCTATTATCATATTACGATAAATAACTTAATCGTTGCCTTAATCAAAAGTCTTATATAGGATGATTCATTTAACATAAACTAATTAATTTTCGAAAAATAAAAATAATAACAGGGAGCTTAAAAAAAGGTCACCAAGAGCTTTTGGATTAGGTGCGATCACGACTTTTAGGTAAAAATCTCGATGGGCCTTTTCCCTTAATCTAGCTCTATTGATAATGCTTCGCAAGTTTTAATAATAATTTCAAATATTAACATCCAGAATATTGAATAGTTTCCCTTTCGATATGAAAAAAAAAGTTAATTTTGTTTATAACAATGGTATTGAATTATACTGTAGCATTATTGTATTAAAAAAATTCTATAAAACTCCAATTTTTAATTTTTTAAACTCTTCAATCTTTTATGTGTTTATTTTTAATTTACTATATATATATTTAGTTTTAAGAAATACATACATATTTATATGTATTTATTAAAACTGTTTCATCCATTTAAAAACAATAAAAAAATATATTTATATTTTTCAATAAAAAAAAAAAACCCAGCACAGGGGGGTCGCGGCACAGTGGTTTGAGACTTTTATTATGAAATTGACACAGTACTGTGTTTCCCTCACCCTCAACACGTTATCAGCCTATACAGAAGTGTAATTATAAGTGTGCAGTGCTGGTAAGATTTGTCTCTACGACATCTTGTATCGAGGGTTCTGATCCCGTACCGTGCCTCTTTTTCACATGATTTCTGGTACACTTTCGCCGTCAATTCCTGGCAGTTCCACGTTAAAATTTAAAAAAATGTCTTCATCCTTACTCTCAAATCACTTTAAAATTGGCAATACCTATGTATAAGTATGTTTTCTGACATTGAACATTTGAACATTTATTAGAATTATAAGGTATAATATATATATATATATATATATATTACATATTTAATAAAATTAAAATGCTCTAAAGATTTTCGTTCAAGTTTTTGAAATAATTAAGTGAAAAAGGGACAGTTGCCCGTATGGAGTATGTGTAAAATGTGTTATAATACTCAAACAGCCTGTAGGAGCTTGCGCGGGTTGGAGAAACAGATGTCGTGTACCCGTTCGACCGGCTTCTTATCCGTCACAGCGTTTGCCATTTGGTCGTCCGCTACTTTGCTGTTAGTATCTAACCGTCGCGCATTCCGTTACCAACGTTTAAATTACTATCAATAACGAACTTGTCTTATGTCTAGTTGTAAGTGGTTGAAAAATACAACTATAACTTTTTGTAAAATATAGTTTTAAAACATTGGCGGAGAAGCTAAATAAACCGAAAACGTGAGTACTTTACAATATAAAAAGTTTAAAATATGAAAAATATTTTTCTAAATAAACAGTTGAATGGGTAATAGTATAAATAATTTTTATTTTTCAAAACACGAAATATTATGACGAGAGAGATTAAATTAGTCATATAGAGCATATTTTTAACTTTTTTTATTTTAGGAGTAATGAAAAAAAGAGATCCTAAAAAATACTGTTTAAGTAAAAAAATTCAAAATTTTTATTTATTTTTTATTCAAAAATAAAACAATTTTTTTTAAGTGTAATTACTTATAATTCAGTTAAATAGAAACATTTTCAGTTTTCCAAAATTGTGTGGAAATATTTCAGAAAAGAAAAAATTAACAAATGTAAATCAATTAATTTAATATAAATTATGATCAAGCAAGTATCAGATAACAAAAAAGTTTTTATTTTTATTTTATTTGTTGGACGTTACTCTCATTCTGGTGCATTGTTTCTCACACTAGCTAACTAAATGAATATATTTGAAACGACCATAACATTCATAAGTTTTTATGTTCGTTTCATCACTTTTTACTATCAATAAAAAAATTTTTATTTTAACATTAAAAAAGTAATAGGTAAATCTTAATTACATTTTATTCAACATTTAATGTGTGTATTTTAATAGTTTTATTCGAAGTAAAATAATAATAAAAACAATTAGTGGAATTTATTGAATAAAATATATATATAGTACAACAAAATCGCGTACTTTAAACTTTACAATTATCAAAAAAACGTTAAGATTATAAAATTCTACTTAATTTTCTTAAGCATCAAAAAGTTATAATATATATTTAATTAAATAAAAAATAACAATATTAGTATAAAATTATTTATTAATTTTAAATTATTTCAAAATTAAGTTTTGGAACTATACAACAATTTTTGTTAGTATTTCAATTGTTATGCTGAAAATTAAATTATCACAAAAATAATATAACATTCATTGTTATCAAGTAGATATTTTAAAGTGTAAATAATATTTATTTATGTACAAACTTTGTTTTAATAGTACTGTAAAACTCGTAAACGGCATAATAATTGTTCAATAGAATTTATTAATATAATTTACTCAAAACATCCACTACGAAGGTATTTCGAATAGTTTTAATGGCAGGTATAAAATTTAGCAGTGCACATATTCATTTTGAATTCCCATTTCTGAGCTATATGGTGGGCATTCAGTATTTCCATTACACTCTGAAAGAAGTCTGAAATTTAGGATGATTTGTGCTTAATTTTGATAAACTAATCACTTGTCTTGGAAAGTTGTTAAAAATTATTTCAAAAAAGTATTAGAATACTTCTTCATTATTAATTTCTCTGTAGGAATCATTGGAACAAATTTTTTATAAATAATACTGTAAAACAGCTATAATCTTTATTTTGGCCTTTATATTAGTGATATTGTATGATTAATTTTTATCAAAAATACTTAATAGTGAAAATTAATTATTATATATAAATAAGTGTTAGGCATTATGATAAATTTATTTTAATAATTATGAATCATTAATTTAACTAATTATAATTAAATAATAACAAAATATTTTTTATTTTATTATATTTCTGGATTTAGCAATTTTTAATTATTTTATTAATTCAACCCGTATTAAATATAAGGTTGTCAAGTTTATTTTTTTAAATGACAACATATATATTTAATTATCTTATAAAATAAGAAAATGTTCTTATTATACAAATGACAGGTCGATAACAAATTATTTAGTAAGTTATTATCATTTTAGAATATATACTAGAAGTGAGGCGTGGGTATGGCAATATTTATTATTAAACATTTCTTGGTTGCATCTATCTTCATACCCTGGATTAAAAATGTTCATAACTTTCAATATAAAGTCCAAAAGTTGTTACCGACAAGTAATTTTTTCAATTAGATCTTTTAATTATTTATAAGGTAGTTCAATATGTATGTCGCCATTAAAAAAATAATTTTTGAGCTCTTTATAATGTATAAAATATACTTCTTGACTGATAAATTGAGCAAACTATAAATGGAACCAATAAAAAGTTTTAATATTATAAGGGATAAATTAAAAAAGTTATTTATGACTTATAAATCAAGAAAAATACTAAAAAAACTAAAAATATAATTTTTTAACATAATTATAATTTTAAGAGATATAAGGTGGTGTTTAGCGTTAAAAGAATCACTTTGTATTTTAATTAGTAATTTAAATTCTAATTTATTATCCTGTTCATCTCATCATTTCAATATTAGTGGGTTTATAAGTCACTTCTAATCATATTTAGTATTTTCATTTTCATAACTAAAGCAATATGAGTGACATAAACAATTTAAAACCGTCATTATTATCAGTAAACAAATTTATGCTTAACAGAAATAGTGCATGTATTATTTGCCGTTCTAAAATTACAGGATACACTTTGACAAATTACTTATAGGCAATTTTTAATACTTTCATTATGTAGTTTTTTATTTTTTTTTACAAATATAATTTTTAATAATAATAATTTATACTAATAAATGTTTAAAAAGATAAATCAAACTTTTATTTTTATCTTTAATACAATATTGAACCCTCTGTATAGGATAAATTAATACCTTCTTAGATTAGCATAAAATATGTTATAATATGTTTTTAACATAGTTCACAACTGTAAAAATTATTTAACAAAAAAGTATTACAAAATTTATTAGTTTATTAATTTATTTTTCATTTTTAGGAGATATAGCTCTTTTTTTTTATTAAAAGCTTATTACAATTAAAGTAACAATTCTAATATAAATAATTTTTCGTTTTCACTAAAAATATTATGCATATGTTCATTGTATTTTTTCATTGACATTTCACAGTGGCTATAGCCTTTGTTATCTGCATATAAAATATTTAATTTGAAATGTGCATTGATGTTTATTAAAAAATATTAGAGTGTGATAAATTTTATATATGAATCATTATTATTTTTAAAGAATATTTTATTTCTTTTATTTTTGTCAGAATGAATATAAAAAAATGATACATAATTTAATTTTTTAATTCCTGGAGTAGAATTTCATTGATAAAAACAACATTAAATGACTCATAATGTTCTGATTTGGTTCAAAGTTTACTTGTGAGAGTATATGAGTAAAATGGTATATTTATACATTTGATTTTAATATTAAAAATTGATATTAAAAATTCAATACTTTGAATCAACAAAATAAAATAGAGGATTATTCGAGAGATCTTCTTTATAGGTCACAAAAGGATTTCAAGTGTAATAAAATTAGATTGATAGTGATACAGATCAACCAATTTTGTGTATTTGATGTAAATAATTTTTGTTGTTCTATTATCGAAAAGAGCACGTAATATTAATTGAAATATTAAGATAACATTGTACTATCAAATAAAAATAACTTCGATCTTAAATCATTATCAAGGACTGGTAGTGTATTTGAGTAGCCTTGTCAATGAGTGCTAGACATTATAAAAAGGAAACAAAATGGTGCAATTCTGCTTAAACATACTTGAATCTCGTTCAGAGAAATTCGCTTTGGGCAATTTAATGTACACTATATTTGTTATTATTTTTTTTATGTATAACATATAAGTTTAATTTAAAATTTTCACGTGAATAAATATTTTAAATTAAAGCACTAAAAGTGTACTTAAAACTGGTAACTACAGTTATATACTATCATTAATTTTAAAACATTTAACGTAAAAAATGTTAAAATTAATCATAAATTATAAATATATTTAAATGTACCATATGATTTATAATACTCTCTTTTTTTTTTGTTAAATAATGTTTTTTTATATGAACAATAATAAATATTAAGTTTATCGTTTCGTTTTTTATGGTTCAATAAAATTGTTTGTAATTTTTTTGTCTATCATACTATCAAGTCAAAAATAGGGGTTCCCCATGTAAAAAAAAGTTGAAGTTAAGGTTTTTTATCCTTGAAGAAATGACAAAAAATTATTTAACAACATAATACTGTAAAGTTTATAGAACCAAATCATTTTTCTCTATACAAAAATTAAATTTTTGTAATAAATTCATAGTAAATGACTGTCTTACCCAATATTAGTCATCTTGTAAATGATATTAAAACGAAAACAGACAGTCAACGTAAAATGTTGTCTAATCTATATAAAATGGTTGTTATTAAAATTTTAGATGTTTTAATATTAATATTTAATTAAATTACTTTATTTATAGTTTACACTTTAATTTTAAACAGACAATATTATCTTATACTGAACTAAATCAGTATAAGTTCTGTGCAGTTAAAGATTAAATTGTTCCTATTTTAATCCGTTCCCGTTTAGTTTAAATGACTCTGATCTTATATCTGGTCAAATATTGAACACTTAAACTATATAGGTACGTTTCGATCTGTCAAACCGACATCATAATAAGTTTAAAATAGGTTTAAAAATTGAATTTGCACTTTCTATACATAGTTTTGTCGGTTCAATATTACTAACACCTTAATTTTGTATGTTGTCACAGACTGATATTAGTGTATTATTCAATATAATTGATCACTAAACTTATTTCCTAATATCAAATATAAACTTTGCAATATTATCTTTATAGTGAAATATGGATAAAAAAATAGTTGGATCAAGTATAATGATATCTGACAGTGATTAAAATCACTATCAAAAATAAACGCTTCGATGCAAATCTTTAGATAGTGTTTAATTTTAAAAAAATTGGTGTTTTATTCCAAAAGCTACTTGATCTGCTGGTTCCTTAATATCTCGATTAAGATAAAGTATGTCGAATGAAAAAGGGTTTATTAAAAAATATTATTTCTCATAAAAAAATTGTGTGGATCCATAAACTTTTCAATAAGTTATAGCATTATAAAGTTAAATATAATATAAATAATAAAATCGAGAATTTTCACACGAAAATAGCATTCGGTAGCCATTTTCGCCGTGAAGACAAGTCCAGAGGTCAAATTTTTTTTTTTCAAATTAAAGTATATTACATTAGCTTTAATTTAAGATATATATAAAAGTGTCAGACCTTCCGGAACATTTTCAAAAGTTAAGTTGAAAAAGTTAATTTTTTGTGAAAAAGTTGTCATTTTAAATCTCCCCCTGTGGGCAGAAAAAATGTCGAATTTACAAAAAAAATATACCAACTGATAAGTAAAGACATATATATTATATTGATATGTTCATTTTTGAAAAAGTTACGGCAATTTTTAGTAAAAAAAATTGAAAAAATTTCGAAAATTAGCGATTTTTAAATTTGTAATTTTTTTGGAGGTTTCCCCCATTTACGGGGAACGAGGGAAATTTTTTCAATTTTGAAGGGTAATGTCTTTGACTAGATACGATTTGTGATCTTTTGACGTATCGTTGAAAGAAATCCGTTCGGTGAGAGCTGAGAAAAAGTGGTAACAGACACAAAAAAAAAAACACATCATAGTAAAACCAATACCTTCTCAGCTTCGCATCGAAGCTAAAAATAGTATAGTCATGTGACACGCAAAATAAGTGAAACTAATATTATTTAGAATTAATACTGATCTATTACATAGATATTTTCTTCAAAAATTAATGTAATTTTCTTCTAGTTCCAAAAATAACGACAAACTATTAAAAATAACTTCACGCTGGTTTGTTGTACATTAAAATAAAAAAATATTAATTAAAATTGATAGATCTGCCAACCCATACAATTTATTTATTTTGATTATTCAGTATATAATGAAGAAAATATAAAAATATTGTATACATATGTATAATAAATCTCAATTACATAAAAAGTTTTTAACTAATTTAATTCCACTAAAAATAGTTCTTAAAGGTATAAGTGCAGTTAGAAAAAGTTTATCGTCCGATTTATAGCCAAAGAAAAGAGGAAAATTTTTTTTATTTATTAAGGAAATTTTATAATTACTATTTACAATAAATTTATCAGAAAAGCTCAATATTTTTTTTGCATTTTTATCGTAATAAATCACTTAGATAGAAATTATAATAATCATTTCTAAGTAGCTTTTGGTGTTTAAAAAGATTCTACAATTGAAATATCGAGAAGATAATTAATTTTAATGATTTATTTTAACTAAAAAAACCAATCAAAATGTTGTTAAAAAAATCTACTCAATTGGGTGTATTAGTTGTGATAATTTGATGTAACATAAAATAAAGTTGGTCAAGAGAGCTGAGAAAATAAATAAGAGCCATAAAAATAAAATTACATAGTAAAAAAACTTTAATAATTCAGTTCTGTATATTTCATACAGAAATTAATTATTTTAATGATTTACTGTAACTAAAAAAACTAACTAAAATGTCGTTAAAAATCTTAACAATTGAGCATTTTATAAAATTTGATTATAATTGTAAAAATTTATTGTTAAATTCAAGTGAAACTAAAAATAGTTTTAATTATCTACATTAAGACAAAGAAAGAGAAGACGAATTTAAATTATTTAAACTATTTAATGATCCATTATTAATCGTAGAATTATATATTAAATAATAACAAATATCTTTTAAAAAGAAACAAAATAATGTTATTTTTTTTAAATAGTATCACTAATAACGGTCATCAATAACAAAATTTTATAAAATAGGTGTAGCAGAGAAACAGATTGTGTCTTTGTATCGAAGAGGTGTTAGTTTAAATTTCATTCACACATAAAAATGTTTGGAATTTTTTTCAATAGAAGATATTATATATAATTAAATTAAATTTTTATACAATGTTAAAAATGTTTGTATTTTACAATTGTGGATATTCCAATTTTTAAAATAATTTTATATTATATTTGAGTTGTACGTTTACATTAAATAGTCGTTAAATTATTTATATTAAAAGTTAAGTTAATAACAGAAAAAGTTATATGCCTAACATAATTAATAGTTTGCGTGTATTAAATTTGATAATCAAACTAGATAAGGATAATTGAAATAAATATAATTGGTATGATACAGAAATTATAAGAAATAACATATATATATGTTATATATTTGTGTACATATTAACCGTTCTATTTTCAACGCCCCCGAGTATGTTATGAATGTAAAGTTACCACAAACAAGTGATAAGTTAAGATATAATGTTAATATTAGGATTGAAAAATTTAAATAGAAAAACAACGAAAAGGATTACTTTACATATATTAATTTAAATTTTAAATACACAATAACATTAATATCAACCAACTTTCAAATAAATTCTCATTTATTATCAATAATATTTCATATTTATTAATTATAAGTATTACCTAAATAATTTTTAAATGAATCAAATTAATTAACTTTATGTGAGACAATTAAAAGAAAATATAGGGAAAGAAGAAAAAGCTGTGTATGGTATTTATAGATTTGGATAAAGCGTATAAGAGACAAAAAGGTAGAGGAAGACCACAAAAGAGATAAAGGGATGTTATCAATACAATATGAGGATGGCTGATGTGAGCGTAGATGATGTAGGGATCGTGTATAGGAGAAATTTAGGATAAAAGTGGCTCATATCATATGATTGGGATTAAGGCGAGGAAAAAGAAGAAGAAAAATTAAATTAATTAACTTTTAAATTATTCAAACATTTGTAATGTTACCCGTTAAAAAAGATGGATTAAAACTATGGTCAATAAAAATCAATAGAACTTTATTCAACATCATAATATTTTTTGTAATAATAAAGTAGGGGCAGTATTTTTAATTAATAACACTATATATACATTAGGGATTTCTTTCATTTATGGTTTTGATACGAAATTAAAAAGCTAAAGTATATGTTTAACGTTAATAATAGTAACATTGTTTTCGAAATATGTATTCGCGATTATTTAGTGGTTTTTGTAGCTTTTTAGGTTAAATATTTTTCATATTTTTTATTTTTAAATTAATATTTTAAAAAAAATTTCAGTTTTAAATCATTTTTTTAACATTATTAATTTTAAAAAGCTTTAAAATTTAAAAAAGTAATACATCAAATTAAAATTTTTTTGGATGATTTATCATCACTATATATTAGTTCAACTAGGTTTAATGCGCGTTATTTTGACGCATAAACCAAGAAAATCAGTCTAGTAAGAGAAAAAATTTTCATGGACAGAAAACAAAAAAAACAAAATTATGACAAAACCTTTTTAGCTTTGGATCGCTAAAATATAATTATGTTTTATTATTATATACAAATTTTTTAATTCATTTATAAATTAATGAATTTTTAATTATTCAAAAATTTATATGCTCTACATTATTATTATTATTATTGAGCATATTTTTTTAAATTTAAATATATTTATTATTTATTTCTATATAATCTAATAATCAAACACAATTGTGATTAAATTTAAGTAAATATAAGAATTTTCCAATGAACATACAGTTAAGTAGTAATAATATAGAAATATATTGTTATTATTTCGTCCTCTGGTGTGTTGTTGGATTTCATTTTCTTTCATGAAATGTTTTGTGTAAGTGTATGTTTTTATTTATGTTTGTCTATTAAAATTTTTAGTTCTCGCTGGACCAAGTTAATGATCAATTGTTCAAAAGAACCTGATTTTAATTTAGTTGAATTTATCAGCAACGACAATTTATAAACCTCATCATTTTTAGAAATTAAGAAAATAACTCAACATAAGGCTACCGTAAGAATAGAATTTTCAAACAAAAATTTCTATATTTTAAAACACTGAAAACACATTTCTAAAAAAACTTCAATAGAATATACAAGCTACAATAAGCTTTCGTTTGGTATGAGATTGATAAAAATCCAATGAAAAATCTAAGTACAGAAAAGGTTTCAAAGAGATTATTATTTAAGCATGCATAAAACCTTTTTTTCATCTACATTTTTGAAAATGTTCCTAATAGTCTGAAAACTTCTATATCTAATTAAAAATTTTCAAATGTATTGCAATATTTTTTAGCCAAACAAAGTTTTGGTAGAAATTTTAACATTCTTAATTATAAACATTCCTGAAAATCAACCATAAGGACCAAAAAATTGGTTAAACATGATATCTTGGATCGAAATTTCATTTTTGTTTTTCAGATATATGACCATAAAGGAACTTTAAGAGTGACACACACTTTACCCCCTTACTAGCTTCCTCAGCCATAATAAGGTTTAGTTAGGTCGACAACTGTGGTAAAACTCCCATCAAATCGTTAGATAAAGTGATCAAATAGTTGGATAAAGGCTTAGGAGGTGATGATGACAATGAACTATATTATTACAATTAAGACACTCTTGAAAAATAAATAATTTAGTTTAAAAATTAGAATTTTTTATTGCATTAAATTTATTTAAATTATCAATTTTTAGAATCGTCTCTAATATTTAATATTCATAAAAAACTTTTAAGTATAACTCATATAAGTGTTGTTATTGATAACATATTGAAAAGTTTTTACTGAATGTTAAAACTTGTACAGCTATATAAAATATAAGTAACCATAAATATCTCACAGATTTATGTTCCTCTAGCTTTAATATTATAAATCCCTAAACAATTTATATTAAAATCATAGATTGCTAAAACCTTTTAAACGTTTGGGTTGGATTTTTAAACTCTTTAACATCAAAAGAAATATAAAAATTAAAAACATAATATTATTTTTCATTTTAAATATCTATGTAATAATTTTTTTAAATAATAATGTTCAAACTTTAGGGTTTTGTTACTTTTTAAATTTATGCGTTTTAAATATAAAGAGAAGGAATTTAAATGTATGCATATGAAAACATTAAGATAACTAATTTATAAAGGGAATGTTTGTTAATAACATAAATAATAAATGAATATTCATATTTTCCTGAAATATATTGACCCTGTCAAAATTAATTTTAAGTAAACAAAATATAAGTAAAAAAAAACCATTTGTATAAAAGAATATTCCTCCTTATGTGAATTAACTTTCAATGAAAACTTGGTTTAATAGTATAAAGTTATTAAAATAATACTTGTATTATATATTTGAGAATATGTGATTATTCTAAACGGATTTAAGTGGGAAATTAATAATGCATAAGTTTTTACTATTTTTACAATTATAAATTAAGGAATATAAAAAATATTCTCTGTATTTAATTCATGATAGTTTTATTTTACATGTTTTTCAACTTTTTTAATGCTACAATAATAAATGTGTTTTGCGACTCCTCCTTTATAGTGTTTGCCTGGTTTTGTCAAATGTATTATGTAACATCTGCAAAATACCTAAGTATCTATGAGCGATATAATAATACAACAAATTTTGGCCAAATAATATAAAAGTTTTATCTAAGATCAAATGTAACATGAAATATATTCAAGCCAATTTATTTGTATGATTTAAAATTTAAAATTTGGGAATTTTTTTATTTATATTAACGGTATTGTTAAAATATTTTTAAATATATAATTTTTATAATATATTATTGATCATTAAAAAGAAAAAACTAACTATTTTACAACATTTTTAACATCTCTAATAGTTATTAAGTATTTTTCTTTATTATTATATCCATAAGTTAAAGTTTTTAAATAAAATCATTAATTATAATAATTATAATTAATGACAATTATTGTCATAAGTTTAAATTAAAAAATTTAATGAAAAAAAAATTAATAGCTTTATGTATTGTTATACTTTGCGTATAATAATTATTTTATAATTTAGTTGATTTTTTTACTTCCAAATTTAGTTATCTATCGTAATTTGTAAATTATTTGTGACTTTTATTTCATAATTTGTTGAATATCTGAGTACTAAGGAACGCCATATATAATTACACCATTTTCGTAAGCGTAAAAATAATATAAATTATACAACATCTATTTCATAATTTAGATCGTTTTACCAACATTGTCAAATATTTTTTTAAAATCATGTATTAAAACATTTTTACAAATTTTTGATCTAGAAAATTAAAAATATTATTTTAAAAGTAAAAAATGTTTAAAGTATTTAACTTACTAGGCTTCGTCTAGTTGGGGTTCCGCCCTAGACAATGTGACCTGCGGACTGTCTTTACAGATAGGAGACTGATTCTAGAAGGAGTACCACACCCAACCTGTAATAAAAAATTTGTTACATGGTGTTAAACACACACAGTATGCTAAAAAAATTTTCCCCATTTTCGCAAATAATTCTTCTGAAATAACGTAGTCGAGCTTTTTCATTTAAAAAAAAAAATTTAAATCGTATGTCGTTAAGTAATTTTTCCAGCATTGGCTAGTTTTTCAATGTTTTATATTATAATAATAATATTATTGATCTCAAATTGATATAGTCATTTGAGTTTACAAAAATGTAAATTGCATGAGCATATTAAAGTCAGAAAGTTTAACCTAATCCATTTAAAATAAAAGTTTTCTTGTGTACTTAGTATAAATAAATGTAAAGGATTTTAAACAAAGAATTAATAAAAGGGTTATATTGTATATTTACAAAAACTACCTACGTTTCTATGGTCTTAAGTAATTATAAAAGACTACTTTGACTCATCCTAATGACTATTACAGTAATAGTTTCTACTATAAAACTAACAAAATTGTTTGCATAAAGAATATCTATTATACATATATATATTTTATAGATTATATTTTGTTTAACTTTTTAACTGTACGTAAATGTACAAAAATTATTTTTTATTACCTCATACAGATTTATATTATATAATCAATATAATAAATAAATGTACAACTTTATTATATGTATGTATACTCAAGACTCATATAATCTTAAATAGTCACTAGTTCTTTTTTTAAGTTAATTAATAATTTAAGCTACTCGCGCAATAAAATAAATATTATTGTTAAGATTAATAAGGAAATTTAATTTAATTGTTAAAAAACAAAAACAAAAATTAAGTTAAACAAGGACAAAAATACAAATGTATCAAAAATTATGTCTACAAAGTAAGGTTTAGCGTTAGCTAGATGAAAGAGGAAAACACGTATTCTTTACACATAAATAAAATAAAATAAAATAAATGTATAATAAAATATAATAGAATAAAGTAATTAATAAAACACACACCATTATATAAACAAAATTATAAAATAAGAAAAGAATATGCGGTCTCCGATAAGATCCATCCGATGGTCTGGATGTCCAAAAAACCGGGCTGTATGTCGTTAGCGGCTCATCATTGAGAACAACAGAGACCAAAATCGAGAGACATGTGCACTATAGTACGGTCAATGGCAGAAGGAAAAAAGCCAATTCTGATCTGAAAGCAATTTCAAATTGATAACGGTCAATTTTTATGGAAGGGATCAATACCGATAAACAATTTAATTTTAATTGTATTTATTCTCCCTTGTCCACCTTATCTAAGATTCAACATCAGAAATAATAATTGTTGACATCGTTGTGTCAGAAAAACGTTCATTCGCGCATTTTCTTTCGCAATAAAAAAAAGCAGATCGATAGCAAAAATTATAAATGTTTATCTTTGAAATCGTGATATTGCAAGTATATTAAGTAATGTATTATGTAAAAGAAAAACTAGCAATAAATACTTTTTCAGACTTAAAAATTCAATTCCATAATTTTCTCCATTTTACTATACTAGATTATTTAGTTACAATTTTACAAATATAAGCAATTAGATCACCAATAATATTATTGAAAAAAATTTCCTTTAGAAATATTTGGTATTATTTGTATGAATATAAGTTTTAAGTAAAACTTTTTTGATCCACTTTACACATTTCAGTAAATTTGACATAGATCTTGTGGTATAGAATTAAGTTGATAATTTATAAATCTTATAATCCTTTTATATAAAACTGAACTGTATAAAAATACAGAAAATATTTTTAATTTTATCATATTTTACTAGCCCAAACGTGGGAGGAGTGTAGTGTAAAAGATCATTCAGTTGCCGCCTTAGCACTGATTTTCCGCTGCGCTGTTTGTTGATGGGTGACCATACGGGGATTTTAACAGTGACGCACACTTTGCCTCCTTACAGGTTCCCTCAGCCCTAAAAAAGTTACGTTAAGTCAACAGATGTTGTAAAATAACGTCAAATCGTTATGGTAGTGCCGACCCCAATTAATGAGATGGATAGTATGGTAATGTGATGATGATATAAGCTAAAACGTGATTCTTTTATCTAAGTTGTTTTATGAATGAAGAAAAAGAAAATCCCATCTTAAGTTAATTTTAAAGTTCTAAGCTTTATTTTATTATGTTCTAAATGCATGTCTCATGATTTGATTTAGTATAAAACGTATAATCCTACTCTATAATAAAAACATAAAAATAAATTATGTTTTGCTTATTTTTTGTATTTTATTTAATTATTATTTCAGTCAATAAGTAATTACAAATCATGACCTTCGAGATAGAACGCCATTTCAAGAACTATATTTTACCTAGTTTTTGACATATCACAACAAAATAATTATATTATTGAAAAAGTAATTGTTTCAATAAATATATATATATATATATATATAAGTATAATGGATTGCTTAATGAAAATAAAAATTATACTATAAACTAAACAGTAAATGGTTTTAGAAAAAACTGATTTTATCACGCATAAATATTTACATGTTTGTTGTATTTGACTGAGGGTTTTATTATTATACATTAATAGTTAAAAAAAAAATTGATTGCTACTCGGTAAAATATATTGATTTAAAGGTTTTAATATGTTTAATGTTTTTTACTTTTCAATCAAATATTTTTTTTATATTGTCATTAAAATTTATGTAGCAGAATTAAACTGCAATAAAAAATTGTCAGACCTTCACACTTAAATAATTGTTTAATCAAGGCAAATTTATACATTTTCGAATTGAGATATTTGTTAGTTAAGTTTTCCTCAATTTTTCATGTTATAATGTAAAATTTCAATGAAAACTCTAATGAGTTAATGTGTATCATAACACTATCTCTAGTGCTAATTCATTTTGTTTTAAATTTTCAAAGGATTCCAAACTAAAAATATTAATTTTGATACTAGTTAACTGAAACTAAAAGGCGTTTATAAATATAAAAATAATAAAGTTAAAATTTTTTGACGTGTTCTAAAAATTTACATTTTACAGCTTAAACTTATTAAGGTCTGTAATATTTATGAGTTTGTAAACAACAAATTGTTTAAAATATTAGTTATGTTTGATGGAAACAAATTATTATTTTTCGCTAATTAATAAATTATTATTTAATTTATTTTAATATTAGAAAATTTGATGTTTAATATTGCGAAGCCAATTCTAAAAAAACATTTTAGTGGAACCCTTTTTACTTAGTATTTACTTTTAATTACGCTTAGAACTAAGCATGGAACTAGTGCATGATACTAAGCAAGTAAATTGGTGACTTTGCCATTTCGCCGGACTCGTATTAATAGTTCCAAAATTTTTTAGATAATTACTTTATAAATCATTAAAGAAATGTGTATAATTTTTTCTTTTGAACAATCAAAGAATTTATGTTCTTTTTTTAAAAATAACGTATTTAATATTTCTATAAGAAAATAAATTTATTTTTTAAGTAATCATTCTTTTAGCTTCGATGCAAAGCTGAGAAGGTATTAATTTTACTATGATGTGTTTTTTTGAGTGTCTGTTACCAGAACAGTTCTTACAGAACTGATTTCTTTCAACAATACATTAAAAGAACACAAATTGTATCTAGTCGAAAACATAACCTTCAAAAATTGAAAAAAAAATTTTCTCGTTCAAATGGGGAAATCTCCAAAAAAAATTACATATTTCAAAAATGCTAATTTTCGACATTTTTTCAATTTTTTTTACTTAAAACTGCCATAACTTTTTTAAAAATGACCAAATCAATATAATTTTTTTTTATATAGATACGTGAGNACTTTTTTAAAAATGACCAAATCAATATAATTTTTTTTTATATAGATACGTGAGGACATTTTCTGACCCTTTACCTGCCCAGAGAATGAGATTCAATATGACAACTTTTTCTCAAAAAATTAACTTTTTCAGCTTTAGAAAGTGTTCCGGAAATATTGACACTTTTATATATATCTTAAATTAAAGTTTATGTAATATAATTTATTATGGAAAAAAAAAATTTCGAACTTTATTTTGTCTTCATTGTGAAAATGATACCGTATGCTACATTTGTATTAAAATTCTCGATTTTAGATTTTACATTTTTAACTTTATATAACTATAACTTTTTTTAAAAAATATTGGTGATGGAAAACATATAATTCCTGATTTGAAATTAGCACGAAAAATTAAATAATAAAAGTATCTATTTTACTCTGATAAAAATTTTTTGCACACCATTTATTCATAATTAACAACAAATTATTATCAAACCAGTTCTGTGCCAAGCCTTTAATTTTTATATACGTTTGCTATAAAAATAATAACTACTTTATAATTTTTTATAAATTCCCCGAAAAAATTACAATACTAAATTATTAAATATCAATTTCATACTATGTTGAATTGCTATAATAGATATTTATTCATAAATTATACTTATAAATTACTCTAAAATTTCGTAATTAATACGTAAACTTAATATTTAGAGAAAATTTTCTATGATATTTTTAAATAATGATTTACTTATATTAAACATTTTAAAAGTTTGGCTTATTTAAGTAATATTTTTTTCTTGATTTATAAGTGGTTAAATACTTTTTTAGGTCCATCCCTTATCTTATAAGGGTAACAACTTAAATTGCAACATACATATAACTGTTTAATATAATAGAAAAATATCCAACTTAAAAAATGACTGGTCATAACAACTATTATACTAGTAATAAATATTATACTCTATAGAATAAATTGTTTATTGTCTTGTGTTTGTTTAATGGATAATACCAGCAATTAAAATTATTAATTTTATTAAATAAGTTTTAATTTAGTTTTAAAACTTCTTAGCTAAATCAAAAACCAACAAAGTAATCGGAATTACCTTAAAATTAATTTATATAAAACAATAATTGTTAATCAACTAATTTGGTTATTATTGTAATGTTGTAACATTCAAAAGACTGATTTTTTATTAACATTGACGTGAAGCTAAGAAAGTAATAATTTTATATGGGTTTATTTTGTGTCTGTCGCCACATTTTATCACCTCCTATTGGATCCATTTTGTCTAACTATACGTCAAAAAATCACAACTCGTACCTAGTTAAAGACATAACCTTTAAAAATTAAACAAATTTCCCTCGTTCTACGTGAATAGAGGAAATTCTCCAAAAAATTACGATTTTTAAAGTTCGTAAATTTCAATAAAATTAAAAATTTTTAATTAAAACTTAATATTAATATTAATATCATTTATATTAGAAAATAGATTTAAAATAATTTATTTGTATATTAGCTTGGGTAATTATTCGATCATTAGCAATCGTTTTTCTTAACTTGATCCTATAATTTTCCATAGGCGGATTCAAAACTTGAAACATATATATTAAGTAGGGCTTTTCATCTTAAATTTAAAAAAACATAATTGTCCCGTCACCTTAACTTCTATGTGCAAATAGTCACCGTAGTTAAACAAAAAATATTAATTTTGTGCAAGTAATAACACGTTTTATAATTTTCTATTTCTTTTTTTTTTTTTATTTAATTTTTCTCTTTTAAAAGAAAATTTTGGTGGTGGGCTTTCACTATTTTTAGAGTAAGAGCTATAAGTGGAAAATAGGACCTCTTTTTAGAAAATAATTCTAATTTAAGAGTATTATTTTAATGGTCCACCCTTGTATACAAACATAAATTTAATTAATTGTATAAAATTTAAGAAAGTTTTGTTATTATCGAAATTCATCTCTTGTCAAACATTCACCGGTCAGTAAATAAAAAATTGACATAAACTTGAGTCTGTAAACCTTTAAGCTTTGTATAAAAGTTTTGGATTGCGCTTAATTTCATTATTTTAAAAGTATTAAAATACTACCATGTATAGTTTTGACAATACCTTTATTGTAAATGTATAAAATGCATAAATGTTAAAATCTGATTAAGATATAAAATAATTATACAACATAATTATTATCATAATGTAGTGTATTGTGTAATAATACAAAAATAAGGATGCAATGTGGGAGTATATGTGTATTGTTTATATAAATATGTATTGACCATGTTTGGGGATTTGGTCTATTGGTGAGCAACGAGGTTTTATCGGGGTTATAGAATCCGAAGGTTTAGAAAAATAAAGACATGTAGATATAAAAAGAAATAATTAAGGTTCCTCTTATAGAAATATTAT